GAGGGTTGGGAGTCTGGTAGACTCCTGAACCAACCTCACCCACGTTTGCATCTGCAGCTGCAGCTGCAACTGCAACTGCGTCTGTGTCTTCGTCCACGTCTACGTCTACTTTCGCGTTGACCATCGCGAGAGTGCACACATTAGACGATGCAATAACAGAGTGGTGGGAGGGCGATTTGGAGCAATTCAGTCAGTCAGCGTCAGTTCAGTCCTTGTGACAAAATTGGTGGTGTTGCTGCACATGAGGAGTGAGGACAGCGTCAGACCAGATGTGAGGATGCTTCGGGAGTTTGGGAAGGAAGCGAGAAGTGTGGTTGGGGAAGGAACAAGGCATGGCTAAGGTAACGCCGTCTTGAAGCAACCTTACATTTCAGTACTAGTAGAGGACGTAGAGGCGAGGGAAGAAAGAATGATGGTAATCAAGAGGAATCGCAAGTCTCGACTTCGTTCACTCGCATTCTTAAATCAGTTGCAATGATCCAATCGTTGCGATTTTTGAAACAATTTGTATCATTTAGCCTCTTGCACTTTGTCCAATACCTTGTGCCAATTGTATGTCAGATTAAACTTAAATTTGAGCCATTTTCGTTCCAAAAGTTTATTGAAACTTCTAACATTTCCTAAACTACTTGTAACCGGCAACATAAAACTCTTCTCGCCTGAACTAGAGCATATTTAAGATGGTTTCCTGGACATAAGCACGTTTCCTTTGCAACCATTCACTTTCAAAAGTAGTGAAAGTAGCCTGTGTTGCCCTCTCCTTTTCTGCATAATGTTAATAATTTATAAATGGAATGATTTTGGAAGCAAAATTCACCTCACTAAGCCTAGTTGCTCCTCTTCTTCACCAAACTTTTCCGTTCCTTAATTTTGCAATTCCTTGACTTAAAACTGTACCGTTTCCGCACATGGAGTGGAGTAAAAAAGAAAAAAAAACGATGCATAAACAATCAAAAACTTTGTCACTTGATTTGCAGAAATGTACCGCCGTCATGAGCTAATAATCTATTCTTGTGACGACAAAGTCAATTTACATACAAGTACGGTTAAAATGAAATTATATTCGGTTTTTCTTTCCACTCTATTTCCGTTATAGCCAAGAGAGCTCAAGCATTTGATTAACGTCCACATCTTAATGCTCTTTTAAAATTTCTTTAAACAATTATTTACTTCTATTACTGATAAAGTGTTTCATGAGAGAGTCCTTCTGTGGAGATAATGAAAAAAACACAAAATTCCACAATTACTTGGAAAGGTGGAGAATAGTGCTGTGTTATGCCACTAAGTGGGAAAGACAACCTGTCGGGGCAATCGGTGACGTGGTGGTCTGGCTGGAGTGATGAATTTAACGCCATTTCAAGCGTCAGATGATAATGCAAAAGTTGGCAATCTGTTTTCATCCAACTTAGCCTCAAATGACCCATTTTTGTCAAAAAAAAACAATGCAGCATGCACTCATACAAATCCATGAAAATACTCTTCACCGACTATCTTTTCAAATTAGCACTTGTATGTTTGACATCTGCTGTACAAATGCATTACCAAGGACTTAAGCGTTGTAAAAGTATTACCTTAGTTGAAACCGCCAGAGTGACTATTTAAACCATACCTCAAAAAAAGCACCCTGCCGATTGTTTTGTGTCTTTTTTTCAAACAATGAATACCTAGAAACGTATACTTGAGGGTAGAGGATGCAGGAGACACGCCCAAAGACAGTTGCAAGATGTCAGCTAAAAAAAAACTTTTCAGTTTTATCTCAAAATAGCCAATAAAAGGGATACATTTGGCAACAGGCGACTTACAAAGTGAAGAAAAATAATGTAAATAATTGAACCTACGATTGACTAGGGATAATGCAAAGGCTCAAGAAGGACGGCACTTTTTGTCACATTCTTTTCCAATGCCTAACAATTTCAGACATGGAGTGTGATAATCCAATTCAATCTGACAAGACGTCAAAGACAGATGGTGTAGAAATCACTTTTTATAAAAAAAAAGACCATGGAAGAGTGCATGAGTAGGTGAAAAAATAACTGTCACGCAGCTGATAAGGCATGCGACTCCAATCATAAGTACTAATTTCCAAAAATCAGGTTACCTAGTCTATCCAACACTTCAAAATTCAATTTCAATGGAAAGACTTGTTAGATGACAACAAACCGTAGTGAGAAAAGTGAATAAAAGTGGTAATTATGACAAAAATGTGGACATTCACTGGATCAAATGCAGCCATTGTAAGTCACTTTCCAAAATGAGACGCATCACTGTGCGTAAAATCAGTAAAAAGGGATGAGCACGCCTCCAGACTTGCTAATGCGGAATTTGTTCAAAACTAACCATTTGTCAGGATTTGCGATGCTATCGCATTCATCGGACGAAGGTTACTAGCAATGGTCTTGAGTGAACTGCTCACATTCATGACAGTCATTTTGGTTGCAAAGCCAGTGTCGCATGTGTGTGACCTCGTCAGTCTGAGGTCTATTGGAATGCGGCATGTGACTTCTGTCGTCTCGTAAACTATTTTTACCCTTGAGTAGACCGTGGAACAGTTGTTTCGGTTTATTGCATACTCTCTTGTTCCGTTGAAACAATAAAGCACTTGGATAATGGAGATGGGCTTCTCCTCTACCACCACGCAAATGCATGTGGTCAATTACTGAGCAAATGGAAAACCATTCCCTTGTCCATAAATAAAGTTTTGATTTCATTGTAAAAAAAAAAATGATGACATTTAATTTGGCATCTCAATCTACAAGATGCCTAGTGAAATGCCGCTTTAGGTTAAAAAAAAAGTTCCCATCACAAGTGAACTGTACAAATGGCAAAATGGCAGTTTTGGACTTGAAGTAACCTAAGAACTATTTTTCTCACTATTCAGTTTCAACTGGAGGCGATTTGCACCCCATAACATTAAATGCGATTACAATTATTGTCGTAGATCATGAATTAGAGATCGAGTCCTGTATCAAAAAAAATGGATTGACAACTCATGGCCTGAGAAGAAGAGCCAAGCAAAAGCACATTGTATGACTTCCTCCTAAAATCTAAATGAACCAAACAGAGGACCTTAAAAGTGGACAAAGGGAACTTATTACAATTGAGAGCAGGCTTTGGTGAACACGATACACCTCCTTCGCCGAGTGCAGGGGCATACCACGATGGATTAATGGCCAATTGCAGTTTTGACATCGGCGTCAAGCTACTTCCCATGTGTTTATTAAGCGGACCAATTTCAGTTTACTAGCATATTAATCAAACATGTTCTCATTCTTCACATACATAGCGAATTTATTACCGCTTCTCTCTCATTTCCTGAGAGAACAAAGTTCGACATACCAAGTAAACAAATGCCCTAATTTACACCAAAGAAAGAACTATGAGATCCTTACATTGGATGGGGATTTTTAAACGCTTCACCAGTCTTATTTCACTGCTTAAAGGATATGCATTAGTCAACTCCTAGTCACAATCCTCGCCTCTACATAACGAGTCAGTGTCAAGCTTTATCACCTGATCACGGCACTCTGTCTCGTCATAGTGGCACAAGTGATACCGTTTCTGAAATCTTTATGGAGCCCAATGAGTCTCAACGAATAAAATGTACAGGCCTCCCCCTTTATAGGCCTTCAAATCCCATAACTCAAGAGAATCCTGACTGACAAACAAAATCGTATTCAATCAATCTTTGAAAAATTGCATCTTTTGCATTTAACACATGCGTATGAAACGGTGCACCTGTATATTTGAAAAAGTCGTGTGCAAATACCGCTGCTTTTACAACTTCATTTGTGCCTGTATTTGTGTATTTGAGTGGTGGTTTTTCGCAAAACTATGTACTCTCAGCTGCACACACCAATTATTTAATTAATGAATAATTCCAACTAATTAGAGATGCTGCTTCCATTGAATGGCCCTGAATGACCCAATTTCATCGACTTAGTAGGTTCAATAAAAGACTGATTTATGTGGTAAGGTCGATAATGAAAAGCAATGGTCTCACAAGAGAGCTCTCGATGTTGGAGATCGAAAGTTATTTTCACAATTAAAAGAAATCAAACTTGCAACCACGTAGACATCATCTACGTTCATGCAAATGAAGGTTATGCAGTGACACAGATACTTCTTCCGATGAAAATAACTACGAGTTTGCGCTGACCAAAACTACTCGCTAAATACGACCGGATGGTTTCTAAATCCTAAGCAGAGGACTATTGCATCGCAAAGTTCTGGGCCCTTGACCCTCAAAGCCATCATCGACAGCAGAAGTTAATCAAAATTTTTACTGCAGAAAATGTCGGTTACACCCACATGGATAAGGTTCATCTGAAAAGGTATAAAAGTTATAACTACAGGAAACGATGTACCTACATGGCAACGAGATGCAGTTGCTCAAATCAGGTCAGTTTGAAAGAGGTCAGTGGTGAGTCATGAGAAAGCCAGATTGGCAAAATTTTGCACCAAATGCAGCGATCAAAAAGGACTGTACCAAATTGACCATTTCACAAGCATACACAGTACAATTCATGTAAAACATAAAATATTGTCCATTTAAAATGAAATCATAAAGGCAAATTGTTAAGTATTTGTAAACTCCTAGCAAACCTCAACGATTTTCATTGCAAAGTTTTTTTCCGGATGGGACACAAAAGAAAAGCTAAAAAACAGTAAAGTGATAATAACCGATGAGCTATATCACAGTTTATCATGGATGGAAGAACCCACTATAAAAGCAACGCCAAGGTTGTAGAAGTGTACTTAATGGAAAAAAACAATGGACAGTTCAGCCGGGATAAAAAGGAATACCCTACAGTCTAACACAAAACGACTTCACCCAGTGGCGAAAAAAATCCCAAACACAGTACAGGAAGCCTAGCGTAACATTAAAGTGATATGACAAACTGGGGAAAAAGGAAGGTTAGATCACATTTCCCCTGATTCAAGATAAGCGATTGCTAAAAGATAGCAGTGTCAATGGAGCAAACTAGCGCAACGTAATCACATTCAAAGATTAAGGCCACCAATCAAAGCTAAGGACAAGGTTTCGTAGGTCTAAGAGGGTTGCAGGTTGGCCAAATTACAGCAAGCGACTACCATTATTCTGAAGCGCAAGTTAGTTACCACACTTACAAAATCTCTTTGCGGTAGAAGTCCTCGATTGTGGGGTCGTACTTTTCCTCAAACCTTCCTGTAACGAACCGAACAGTTAAAGCGCTCTTTCCAACCCCACCATCACCGAGGACAACAACCTTGTATTCGTCCATCTCCTTTCAGCGAGTGCATGAAAATGATTTGCGAAAATAATTTAATTAGTTCGTATCCAACAGTTCAATGATGCTCAAAAATTATTATCACATTCATTGAGTCGTGAATACAGCAGGGTGAGTTAGATTGTCAGATAAATTTTGACAAAGTAATGAGGAAGAGTAGCAAGAATTTAATGAGCAAAATTAGGCAAAAATGCCCTCAATATAAAAAAGAAAGAAACAGCCTAACCAAAAATTTTCACCTTCGTTAAATGCAACTTAAACGAGTTACAGACAACGCAGACTTTAAACGGCACCCGGCGAAGACGGACCCTAGTTCCCGTGTAAAATATAAGGTAGCCGCTCTAGATTGCTGTCCTTTAACGTTGACATATTAAAACAGCACATAATTGTAAATTAATTTATTGGCGCTAGGCTACATACCACATATTAGTTGCGAAAACACATAAATATTGGCATCAAGCAAATCAAAGGTACATAATTTGATCGAATTACAACGCGTATACAAATCGTTTAGGAGAACAAATGGCAATGTGCACAATCTACTAAGTTTTTTTGAGCTAAAGTGTGAAAGCACAAAATTCTTAATTTTGACAATCGTTAGCTATAATAAAGCAAAAATTGTCAGAAGGCACCTATAAGGGCTTCTCGATTGCGGTGTGACCGGACTAGCTTAAAGGTAATGGGGGAGAGGAACGTACATAGTTGAAAGTAAGGTAGTGCTAACTATGTAGGCGTAATACATAGTAATGTGTTTGAGTTACTTTAATTGGGGAGAGGCGGATGATCATTTCAAACGCAAATCCCGTGCGTGAGTACTGTGAAGATACGTTCCAAGAGTAACATCGGCATGTTGCCGAATGACGCCTCCTCAACTAACTCTATACTGAAGTCAGGGTTTTGGAGAATCTGAGTGCCAGCAGACAAGTTGTGCACGAAACAACATCATTTTTTCTGCAAAATATGCCTAATCGATCCTCCCAAACAATCCCTTAATAAAGCCAGACGTTAAGGTGCCTGAGGGTAGGTTGAGAGATCTTACACCTTCCATCCCTCAAAATCCACAAGTTTGGCCAACCGATTGAAAACCAGGCCAAGGAACGGACCAACAAAACTGGGATCAAGTATTTGTTTATTTGCTTGTCCTTAAGATTGACGATCACTTTGGATTCTCACTTACCTTTACATGAACTCTAATCGATGCATCTGTTGATTTTATCTTTAAGCGAATCTCATTAAAGGCCTAAGTAATGGCTAGTTGCTTGTATTGGGTGTAGGGCCTCCGTACCTACCGTCAGGTTCCTGAGCCTCAAACTTGATGAGGGAGATGGTTGAGGAAAGTTTATTTGGCATCACGTACAGTAAGAAAGGAAATGGGGGAGAACCGAGGAGATGGGAAGCTAATGTCACTTTGAGAACGTCTTGTTACGCTCCTGACGAATCGAATTCGCGTTCAAATTGCTTTCCTGCCTATCCTTTAAAAAGGTAAACTTAATCACAGTAGTATATATTGCATTAAGATTAAAAGGAAAGAAATGGGACTATAAGACCGAACCATGCCCTAGCTCACACAGTTTCTGTTTAAGCCTAATGCCAGACATGCTTGGTTAGCTTGTATGTCTAAAAAGGAAGCCACGGTACTGTACATTGGTATCAGCGGAATGCACGTTCGAATATTTTTAAATGTCAATCCTGGTTTCAGCGTTTCGGCGAAACCTCCACTGGCTAAAACTCCCTTACTTCACAGAAGAATGGGGTCAGAAGGACGTCCATTTCGGCATTCAACCCTTTCAAGTTTACACTAATAAGCTATTAACAATTGAGACCACATTACAATGAGCCAGTTAGAATCATTTAGCAATTCGTCTTATCGAATTTGCCTACAGCTGTCGTAGATGAATTCAACACTTACTTGCTTTAATGCCTGAGACTTCCTAGTAATTCAAAAAAGGTATTAACTTAAACTGAGTCCAATTTTTAGGAGAAGAAGAAGAACTTGAACCTGGGAGTGGCCACACGGTTAATTAATGCGTACAGGAGCAGAACGAATGCCAAGTCACAGCCAAACCGATAGGTAGGTACAGTTAATTTGGTATTCTTCTTGATCTTATACACAATGGATGTTCTCCTTATCCTTTAGAAAACATTCATTCATCCTAGAATCAACGCCTTTTGTACCTAGTGGGAAGATTTGGTTGTTATAATGACATTAAGCTAAACATCATGGTCAGTGCCGTGTTGTTGTGCCGTAGGCACAATTAATGATCCGGGTAAAATAAGTGGGGTTGGATTTATGTATTCGAAGAAGGACAAAGCAACTAGGGCTGAGTATGGCTCGAAGACCAGACCTACCTTAAAGTGACCGCCAAATGTCAGGTGGTAATAAAAAAACAACGCGTCACAGAACGTACCTTAAGTTCCGCGCAAACCCTTTATCTCATGATAATACATGGCTAGTTGGTTATTTAGGGTAAATCCGAATAAACAGTGCGTAATATATGCTAGGGTGTTTAAGTGGACCTTTATAGGGAAGAGGCGGGAACTGAATTGGAGTGCGAATCAGATGCGTGAGGACCGCGGGGGATCCCTCTCCGGGTGATATCTGCTATCCGAAGCATCCGTATTCCTATTCCCGTTCTTCCTGCATCCAATGCCTAATAAATCTACTGCAAAAACCGAGAGTTTCGAGAGCTTGAGGTTAGGCAGGCAGTTCCTACACTGTGATGTCTGAAAAGGGGAGATAGACAGTGGAAATCGCTGTGGCTGCCGTCTATATGATCGGCGGTCGATTTAGTATTTAACGTACTGTAGTGTGCATGAGCCGGTCTTCGGACCAAGACGAAGCCTAATCTCTCGCTCGTGACCTTGGCATATGTGTGTAATGATTTGTCTACTTAACTGCCTGAAGTTTGACGGTGATTTTAGGAGTTGTCCGGCCCTTGTACTTGTGGGCTGGCCTTCGGGCCATACTCGCGCCTAATTGATTTGTCTTCCTAAAATACACGTATCCAGATCCACAAACTGTTTTTCTTTGTCCAGTGAAAGCCTTGGGGCGCTAAAATATGTAAGGACGTCAATTTTAGTGCGTAGGTTGGATACTGACCTGCAAATCACGCATCATTTTATCACTTAATTTTTATCTAAAGCTGCTGATGTATTTGGAAATCATTTTATAAAATTTACCACTTTTAGCTTTAAATTATATTTTTAAATTATATACTTTTTAAGCGGACATAAGTGAACGCGATTGTTTTGACTGTTTGTAGTCGTCACACCGCTACTTACGACTATCTTGGTGTGGGCTTGATTGATCTGACTCATGGGGCCAAAGAAGGAAGTTGCCAAGTCTGGTAAGGCTACTAAGAGCAAGAAACCTCCAACGAGTGGCTCGGTAAAAAAGCAGATGGGAAAGTCTGCACGTGCTGGTAAGAATTCTGCCAAAACTCTCGCGAAGAAGTCTCCGAAGAAGCTTCACGCGGTGAAGGATGGGAAGATTGCGAAATCTAGATCTAGTAAGCGTAGTGCACTTTGTGGAATTCGTTAATATCTTTAGAGAAGGCTATGGTTGCTAGGGCTTTGAAAGTTCAGAAAGCTATGAATGTCGGTGCACACACGCAAGGCAAGAAGAAAGTTATGAAGAACATTCGATTTCGTCGACCAAAGACATATAAGCCGCCACGTTGCCCTAAAGACCGCCGTTTTGAGATTCCTAAGAGGAACAAGTGCGTTGATTATTCTGTTTTTACTTGTTTATAGGTTGGACGCTTTTCGCATCATTCGTCATCCGGTCACAACCGAAGCGGCAATGAAGAAGATTGAAGACAACGATACTCTTGTATTTGTTGTTGACCGGCGGGCTAATAAGCCTGCAATCAAGGCAGCAGTTCAGGAAATGTACAAAATCAAGGTTGCGAAGGTGAATACTCTTAACTGTCCGAAGAACATAAAAAAGGCCTATGTGAAACTGCCTCCGGACTTTGACGCGCTGGACGTTGCGAACAAGATCGGTATAATATAAATAAACTGGTGCTTGTACAGGTTAATGCACTTCTTTGATTCGATAAAATAATTGAGGAATTTTCGCTTGGGTTGGCGATAGTAATGGTTCATCTAGTCGTCGGTTGTAGTTTATTGCCACCGTTCTGCCTTCGATTACTCAATTTTTTTTCGATTTCAATTCTCTCAGATTTGATTCATCTTCATTTTACGGATATACTCTCATCTTTGTGTTCTTTGTTTGGTGTGCTTCAATTAGGTGTGATCAGGCGGCTTTAGGATGGGCTGGTGCATCGGTGCTGACAGTTTGTGTTTTCCGTAGTTGTTAATTGTTGGTAGTGGGAACTTTGTGTGAGCATCTTATTGAGTTGGATTCTTAGTACGGTCACTTCGAGACGGTGTTGCATCAGTTAAGTTCTGGAAAATTGGGCGGTGAGGTGACCTTTGTTACGTTCGTTGTATACGTTAAATGGTTCATTTGAGTACGCTACTGCGAAGCAATCAGCAGAGGAATGACGTTGCAGAAATTCAAAGGTGAACAAAAAGTGCAGAGATGGAACAATGCTTCAAAATAACAAGATACGAACTGATCACCTAGCAGTGGTGGCTGTTTCTTAGTCACATAATCATGGTGACAAGACACTTTGGAAGTGAATAACGAACTTCATCAAGAAATAACTTAGTGATAAGGCTGGCGAGTCGATGGTTCTTTGACTCTGCGTTAGGTTAGTTAGGCTTCGGAGTTCAAGGTCGGGGTTGCTTCAGCTCATCGCTATCTCCGGACTTCCAATCTCGAAGTACCCTTGAAATTCGATTGGAAAATGTGTAGTCTGTAAGCTTAGTATATGAGTCTGGTTGCTCAGTCATCTGTTGATTTAGAAGGCGTGGTGCTAGCTGTAGCCTCGACGTTAATGCCGTCTGGTTCCCAAATTAATGAAATTCTCAAAAGTAAGTCTTCTCCAAGATGCTTTAATGGACATGGTGATGCAAAGCGTGAGTAGAATGCAGAGGAAGGGTGAAGGATATTTACTCTTGTCCTGAAGCCGAGTCAGCCGTTACCTACAGCATTGGGAATTTCCAACTCATGCTACGCATCCCCTCTATGAAGGTGCATTCTAGGTCATCTAGTTTCTTTCTTTTGTCCTCGTAGACGACCGGGTAGAGAGGAGTGGTTCTGTGCAGGACCATATCTTGTCATGCTGAACAGTTGTTGGATGGGTTTGGAGCTCCGCATTTCGGACTATGTGGTTCATGGGGGAGAGAACATCTGCTACACGGAACGAATCCCTGTTCCAAGAATGCTAACATTTCGGTGGCCTTCAGTTAGTCGTGAACCACACTTGAAAGCCGTATTTGTCGCAGCTTTCTAGTTGGGTAGAGGAATGTCGGAGTGGATCCTCATTTCACTACTCGTGAGCTAATTGAAAAATGAGAATCCATTCCAATTGCAGAGCCAAATCGTAGGTTTACGCACCTTTGATCGAGTCCTTTAGAAGCTCAATAATGACACGATTTATCCCTTTTCCCTCCCCATATACTCTGACGGTGTCCTGCTGCTGTTCACTTCTTGCGAATTGAGGAAGTTTCGCTTAGCTCCGCTAATGGACAACTTTCGAAACTATGCTAAGGCGGTTAGTGTTAGCAGATGCAGCGGTTGGCGAACCCTGTCTCCGTACCTTGTACTTTTAAGGGTTCTGCTTCAGCTATTTTCAGTGAAATAGTCATCACTAAAATGCAACGATTGCCTCCATTGTTTGTTGGAAGTGAGGTAATGATGCCTAAAATCCCGTAGGCGCTAGTTGAAGGGATGCACTACTGGGCTATGGGGTCTCTTAACCCCCCATCGCACGTAATTCAGTTTCAACAAAAATAGCAAACGTCAGAGGTCAATAAGGACCACTAATACCTCTTTCTTACGGTCTCTATCACCATCTCTACACCTGCTTGCACATCCAACTCTTGTAAAACTGATTGTGCCAAAGATTCTGGAATTATTAAGCCTTTAGGGCTTTCTTCATCGCCCTGCTGTTATAGGAATTTGTCCTCCAGAGAGAGCTCCTACAAGTTCTGCCATATTTGCCTGAATGACCTGCTTGACGGGTTCACCTTTTCTGCTGTAGACTTATCGAAGGATGTCCAAAGTTCCTCGTATAAGAGAGGCCTATCAGGGTCAGCATTCTGAGTGCTTTGCCAGTGATGACTGGTAGGCTTGCTCGACATCAGCATGCTCCTGGAATTCCGAATGCCAGCTAGACGTATTCCTTCATTGTTTCAATCGTGCCATTTCCTAATAGTCTGTACGCATGATAAACTGTTTTGTGACAATAAAGTGCCTGACCTTTGCATAAATAGCAAACAGCCCACGTTCTCTTCCAATTTCCTGCCTTAAGCATCTGTTCAGTTTAGAGATGGCGCAGACGACGGTTTGTTCTGCCTCATCTTTGTCCCTTTGTGCACTGCTCACAGCTAAGTAAGCATGGTGGAGCTTTAGCTCCAAAAGTTGGAGAGGCTAGCGCTTTTGCGGCACTGAGTGTGTGTTTCAGTTCATTAGACGATGCAATTTATTCCGATGAGGTGGTGGTGCGCGCCTGGTTGGTTGCCATACCAACTTCGAACCATGGTGGTGTGACCCGACTTCGTCCCCTCGAAGAGATTATTTCAAAGCGTATGCTTAGTAAGAAGGTTTTTTCCCTTTTCCCATTATCATCTGTAATGCTTTGTTTATGCGACTACCGGACGTTTGGCGGTCACTTTAGAATTGGTCTGGTCCCTGTGCAAGTAAGCTGGACTTCGAGCCACGCTCGGACCCCATTTGCCTTACTGTCTTCGGAATACATGTATCCAACTTCACTTATGCCTCGGGACGCTACATCAGCAACGATTGCCTATGTGTTTTGCGGTATTGGCTGCTGCGGTGGAGAAAAGTAGATAAAATCGGAATCTGTGGCGCTTCTAGAATTTCCCAGCAGGCAGAAAGCATTAGGCTGGGCAGAACGCTTGTATTCTAAGAGGAGAAGCAAGGACAGGGCGGTGGTATGGACAAAAGGCCAGCCAAAGCATACAAGAACAAAACGAATAAAGTTGTAACTGCCAAACGTCAAATGCTCCCAAGACGTAGAATTTTTAATCATTGCCACATCTCAGGCTGTCCTTCTGTAATACTCTATATATATGTCGAAATGGTGTCTAGCGATTACTTTAAATTTCTTCTGGGCCTTGTACAGGAAGATTATCCATCGGGTTAGGATCAGGCCTAATCACCTAAAGGCTAATCATTATAACGGCGAGTCACATAACTACGTAGAAACCATAAAAAAGGTGGACACAAAAGTGAGAATTTGGGCTAATGCGTCATAGAATTACGAACAAAGAGAAGTGTTGTAGTAACGCAATGTTCGAATATCTGAATTTAAGCTCACTATCACCTCTAAGCTATAATAAATTTACCTCTTAATTTATTTAAAAAGATGTAGTTTTGTGAGTACGCTTGAGTCTTAGCATACATGGGATAATAGTAGTTATAACAAACTTAGTTTCGGAGACCTGTTAATTTTTAGGCCACGATCATTTAGCCAATGAACCATTGAAGATCTAAGGACGTTCTAGCCTGCATTATTTGGCCCGACAATCCAATTCTGATGCCACTTTTGAGAGGTGGTAGGTACGCCGTTACTAGGACAAAAAAGTATCTTGATGCCGGTAGAATCATTTTTCGTGAAAACATAAAAGTTATGATTATTAATACCTTGTCCCAAGGCAAAATATCGGAAGGAGCTCGCGAGTTTATCCGATGGCACCTACCTCCTCTTCAATACAAAAATCCCGATGTGCAAGTACTTAACGGCTTATTTAATATCAGTGTTGCAGATAGTTACTTTTCGAGACATTTGTCCTACTCCTTTTATAAAGTTCTACCTATCAGATGGTAGAGAATTAGACGTCGATTGTTCCTTTCATACCGCTGATAGTATTCAAGACCATATTGCGGCTGTTTACGCCAAAACCTATGAAACAATAAAGAGGGAGGAAGTTGAAAATCAAAAAATTGTGAATCCGGCAAATTTTGGGGCGAAGTAGGGGTAATTCTTCTTTACCTTGAACTGTAATTATCTCCTCGTAGGTATCCACGACAGTGCATATGCGAGGTATACGGTCAGGTTCCTTGCTCATCTCAGCAGGGTAGACCGAGGCCGTGGGAGGGTCAGGAACCTAATTTACCCCCCATGTCGGAGTAGGCAGACGGGTAGTCTTAATCTTCGTTTTTGTCCTGCTTTCAAAGACTTCCAACCAATGTGCACAGTTCTGATATGCATTGTGCAGTAGCAAATCTACCTTGTTTTACGATGTCGATTGTTGGGAACTCTTGTACAAGTTAGACCATAAAGAGTTGTCCTTTTCAGCCACTAACTTAGTCTATTTCTCTTGAGAAAGCAGGTGTGGTGTTATTGTTGAAAATCTGAGATCGTTTGGTTCCCATTTGTTTCAAGCCTTTGTGTAGCCATCAGCAAACTTCTGGCTCCGTTAGTATGTGGCGGACATCTCTATCCACCTCTGCTTAACGAGATAGTAATTGGAAGCTTTTCATCATTTGGCCTGCTTAGCTTAAAAAGGCAGATGCTTACAAGCTGGCTGAGTTTGCATCACGGTATTCTAAATTTGCAGATGAAGGTGCTGCCATTTACCAAGCGTGGTTGAGTTGAGAAGTTTTGACGTGACCTGAATTTATGAATAGCTATTCTCAGTGATACGTGAATCGTCAGGCTACATCGAGGGGTAATCGCTTGTAATATCGAAATTTATGGCCACGGCAGTTGGAATGTCAGGCCAGGTGAAAAACGGTGCTGGTTTGCTTCATTTGACTACAAATTGCGTTGAGCTAGTGGTTCGTGCATATTGTAAGATATAGCTTTAGGGATTGTGGAGTAGCATTGCTCAACAAAAAGGTAAAATTTTAGTTAATGCTACTGTAGCATCCAAGGTTTTTGCAAAACGGGGTCCTGCCAACACACAAATAAGAGATGATTTCGAAAAACGCTCCACAGTTTTGAATGCGATTTCGCCGTTTTCACCTTTTTAACCAAATTCGCGTCCACAAAAGGTGGAAAGTATTAGTCATGAAATGTTCTCCCAGTACTATTGTTAAACAAATTGATCGGGAAGTACGCTTTACTTATCTTCCGTCGTGCATTTTTGACTAATCGACAGTGGAACACTAACGAAGTCAGCACTTAAGGCGGGTCAAAGGGCGCACCTCAAGTGGCCACAAGTTGGGAACATGCATGCTAAAATCGCCCTCCCAAAAGTGTAGTGTCGAACAATGTCTACTACCGCAAACTTTAGCCTCATGTGAATGTAATTTTTGCCTCAAAACACATTTACCTACAGGTAGAGCATTAACAAGTGGGATTGTGAACGAGGTATCATATTTCTGAGAAAATGGCAAAAAAATTCCTCGGGTATAGAGGAGCACGTGGTGTAAAATTTCGGCGTGAAACAAATCCGTTCATTCGCGTAAAATTCTATGCATCCATTAATACGAATGAGAGAATTACTGGATTTGAAAATTTGCCCTAGTCTATGAACAATAAGGAATGAGGACATCATTGGCAGGGGCCAATGTGGTTGCATCTTAGTGTCGTCAACCTCGCGCTTAGGGTGAGTTGGGGGCTGTCGACCTCGGTAACACACAATCTGAGGTTGGGACATCTGTGTTAAATAAAGAAAGGGAGATGCTTCCACATTTCGGTCTTAGTTCCAAGTTCGACTTGAGTAATTGATTGGTCGCGGACAGCCCTTCACAACCAAACAATAATTATTTGGGGGTGCTAATGTTTTGTACCCCTGTTTCTGCTCTTCCTGCATGCCTTAAGGGAGAGATCAATAATGTGGTCCAGGTCACGGGGTGGACTCCAGTCCCTCTATGCCATCGAAACAGGTTTGTTCAATTGGACATGAGCTGCCCTGTCGGTGAACATATGTCAGTTTAAGTTTCTTTTAAATGCATACACATTCTGGTCAAAAATGTACCTTTTAACAGATAATTGTGGTTCTTATACGACCTCGGGTCTAACGAGGTTGGTCCATCAATTTTTGCTCCATTTTTCCTTCAATCAGAGAGATGAACTTTGCGAGATTACTGTACACGAGTGTAGTACTCGAGTTCAGCTTTTTGAATGCCCAATGTGATGATCTTCCACCTTCTTCCTGTCTCAAAACTGCCGAATTAATCGGCACAGTATTTTGCTGCCTGACTAGTCGGGTTTAAAAAGGCATCAGTTGGAATGACCTCCATAGCACGTGATTAGATGCGGACGCTCACCAGATCCATACATCCTCGTCCAGTCCGCTGGCGTGCGTGCCTGCTACCGTCGGATGGGATTTGTTCAATTGATTGGCTGTCCTGAACGGTGCTCACGCCATCGCAATTATCCACTCGCACTACCGGTCAGTCGTGCGTACGTGTGCTCGCCTCCTCTTGGAATGCTCTAACCTGGATTCGTCCATCGGACAACCTCATTTGGAGTATAAAATTAGTGGGAAAGCAGCAAAGGGCTGCTCTGAAACGCTGTCGCATAAAGTGTAGTAATGGTTAGACGGACCGAATCGGTCTCATTTTGCTATGAAGAAGCTTTAGCTGATGGCTATAGGGAAAGGAGGGGAGAAATCGGTCACCCAAGCCGTTGTACCTTTCTTTTTACCTATCAGCCGAAATTGCTTCCCTCATGCTTATGTTTTAAGAACGCGAACGCTATCCTCGCTCTGTACGCTGAGTAGGGAACAGAGGGGTTAGCGTCTCGCACTGCAAATAACGTTGTGACCTTCTAGGCTCTCATGAACCTCAGTATCGACAGTGAGGGACCTAAAGAGAATGCGAAATAGTTGATGGTTCACGTGTCACATCGCTCACACCCTCTACTCGGGTCGTCGAAACTCCCAGAGAGTTGTGCTCACACTGGTTGAAAACAGCGTTTCCGACTGTCAGGAGTGATGAGGTCTAACCAAGCAATAACACAACCATTGGAAGGATGGGCGAGAATGTCACGTGGCATTACGTGCATTGATGAGGATTTGATTGTTCCTCGCTAAGCAACACGTAAACATGTTACATCAATAGGTAACAATGGTAACAATACCAGGTTAAACCTTGTTCCAGACCTTGAAAAAAAAGGAGAAAATGATGGAATTTCTGAGCAGGAAAGAAGCAAATTTAAGTACTATATAAGCCTTCGTTCATCTACTCGAAATCTATCCCGTAATTAACCTATCATCCACCTCATATCTGTTCCCTTATGTTGTCACCATGCCTCTATTTTGCGGCTATTCTATTCTAACATCCCGAAATTAAACAGTCCCCTTCCACTGGTCCACCGCGTTCCCCGCCAGTCATTAACCATCCTTCCCACTATCTTATATCCATGCTCCAATTTATCCACTCATCTATGCATTAGTCTGTCGCCTATGTCCTCATGGCACATGCTCTTCTCCGCCAACCTATTCTTCTTTTCACTCGCACACTTCACTGCGCCTAATTTTCGTTAAGCTTGAGAATTCGTAAATGGGATTAGCAAAATTTGATAAAAAAAGATCCTAATCTCTTTCTCTCGCCTTTCTCTGAAGTGAGTACTTTCCGCCCACTCCACTTATGACACTGCTGCCCTCTCACCTAATCCCTCTAGTTTCGTGTTGGTGATCCCTGTGAATTGTTACCCACTCAGCATATTGCAAACCGACATGAGAGAAGTCGTTTACCATTACATGGTAAAGGCCTTACCTCGGTGTGCTGCTAACTGCCGAGCCGTGGTTCACCAAGCCGCTATGTAACAAAACCGATGTACGCGAATGAGATCGAGCAAATACGCAATCACAATCACAACTCTACACCTCCAGTCAACAAGCCAAACCATCGATGTGTTTAACTGCTCTCTTTTGACAAGCACATGCGATAGAAAAGCGGGCAAGGTCGGGGAACCGAGTAATTGATATCAAAATAGAGCTGTTAAATTGTCGGTAGTACCGAAATTCATGCATTACTGAATCAAGGGGGCAGAATCAACACTCGTTTTTTTTTTATTTTTTTTTTTCACCTATGCACTGCGTTCCTTACCCCTAGCACCGATTCTACGCCACGAAGGTTACAATACTGTTCCTGAGCAAGTTTCGGTTGCTCATTTGACTCACCATCGCTAGCACCTCATGACTAGACCAGATTTGCGCTTTCTTGGGTTACAAAAAAAGCTTTGTTCATCGCAATGAGTTGTGAACAGTAATGGAGTGTACCGCGTTCATAGTCCAGAACTTTAAATCAACGGAAACAAGTGGTTGTATTGGGCTCGGATACACAGAACAGATTCAACAAATGAGACCCTAAGGCGTTATAACCTCGTCATTCATGCATTGGGGATGCCCTTACAGCAGCTTTCCTTTATCACAGCTCTAAATTACTGCATTAAGAAATCTATGATGATCGCATAATTACCTCGAAGAACACCTCACACCCCATTGAGCATATTTCCATCCATTGATTCAACTTAGTGATTTTTATTCGTTGTTCGAGGACAAAAACGCAATTGGACGTTTATGTTTACATTGGTTACGGTCAGGTATACACGCACGTACGCACGCAGACTCGTGGTTGCGTGGTCAAAGTTCATGATTTGCACACACGCACACATGACATGAGCCAATCAACTCACACCTCAAACGTCATTGGCTCACTTCTTTCATTTATCTCAACACAGACATGCTCGAAGCTCACAACATTTAGCGATTATGAGGGTCTTTCTTATCACCCTACTCTGTGTCTCCGTGTGCCTTGCGCAGGACTCGACTTCCGATTCCTCTGTGTCTGATTCTACAACAACGACGACGACTACAGTCACCACTCCCGCCCAAACAACGGAACCAACGACACAAACCACTACATCACCGTCCACGACAGTATACACTGCTGCTCATGGTAAGCATTTATCTCTAAGCTTTCTGCATCTGGTCCGTTGTAAGCATACACTCCCTGTCTTCCCTTTGGATAGCATTGTTCATTTCTACAGGTCTGAATGTCGCCTTGACATTGGTTACCACGACTCTTGGAGCAGCTGTCTTCTTGGACCACTGATACACGCAAATTTCTGCTTTCTCTCTCCTTTTTTCTTTTTTGGTAATGGTTTCGACCCATTTGTGTAACGATAAAGCTTTTTAAATTCGATTGCTGTTCTGATTTCAGAGGAGGGGAAGCATAGATGATCCCTTAAAAAAGCAATTTTGATTCGTTTATGTTTGGCTTGAACGCCTCTTAGAGAAGCGGAATACATTTAGAGCTTAAGGAATGATATACTGCGTGCATTTGGCGCACGAAAATCAGTTGAGTAGGCTGCTTCCAGTATGGGAAGAGAAAGGAGTACTTCTGGTAGGAGAGGTAGGCTTTTGGGCTTGGAACTTTTTGGAGTCGGAGTTGCGGCAACACTCAGTGCTCGGTTGGAGTTCAGTGCGCGTAACAGAAAGGGTGTGTTCAGAGTACCGCAGTCTTTTTCCATTGAGTAATTACCCCACACGCACGGTGAATGGACGTGGCGCCTAGCAACAGGGAGTTAATGAGGCATGCTAGCAAGGGAGGAAGGCGGAGAGACTCTCCACTTTAAAAGCCCCTCTTAACACAAAAGGTCTACTTAAAAAAGTTGATGGAAAAAGGATTAAATCCCTACCCGAAGGCGGTTTTAGGGCGCAACCTACAAGCACGTCACGATAGAAATGCATGGACACGTATTAATTATGCATTGTTAAAATTTTTTCAGCTTTAAACGCCAAATAGAATTTTCCGACGCACTGCAATTTCTTCTTCACCTGTTTCGAGACAAGCATATGCAAAGCGTATGTTAACACAGAGTAGTTGTCTAATTAACCCAGAGTCACAACTACTGCCTTGACATCTTGGTAGGCTCGATGCCTGCAGGTACAAGGCAAAGTCGAGCGGAACAAAGGTGCCGAAAAGTGTTCATCAAAAGAGACTTTCATTTCGGCCAGTTTGTTTTTTCGTCCACCCCCAACTTGGCTACAGTATTCAGGCCACGTAAAATCACATCACGGTGTCGTGACACCGAGTCAAGGTCAACCCTTCAAAATATCCTAATCATGCAAATATATCAAACTTGACAAGGCCTAGTTAACATGGTGATGGTATTTGGAGTAAGCAAGGTGCTAAAAATTGGGGCTCACCTTAAGTAGCCTTACATTTGACACCTTTTTATCCAAGACACAGGCGTCAGATACACACAGGGCCAAATGGGATAAAGGATCGACATTTTGGGAGCATAGATCACCCATCTACTTAGGTGTAAACATTGCTCAAGCCTCCCTCAGCTCAAGGACACACCAAACCCGTTCTGGGTTGGGTATTACCTTGCTAAGGCGAACAGTTTTCACTCACTTGTTCTTCGGTCAAGCTGTGTTTAAATACTCCGCCAATCGCGGATCCGACCGAAGTTGCTTCTCAAGCAGCATATACTTCGATGGCGCCGTTTGCTTGTGCCTTAAGAGCATGGTCTCCAAGGTGGTAATTTTGAATATGGCGTCATTGCAGTACTGCAAGTAGGCCGCTTCGTCCTCCTTTGTGAGGTTGATTTGGTTCAACTGGAACCATTGCTGTTTCCGTTGCAGAGCTGACGTCTCCGCCTCGAATCGAGCTTGAATAATGTTGGCCTTCTTAATTAGACGCTCTTTTAGATCCTGTAGACAGGCCTCTCGAACAGCGTAGGCATCTTCCTGAGTTAAGTTGTCCTCGTCTATATCACGCATATGGAAGTAGGGTGCCAGGTAGTCGAGATCCTTTTCCTTCTGTTTTCGACGCTCCTGTTCAGCGTGTTGTTCCAATGCTATGCGTAGATTGTGCATCTCCGCATTGCGCAGAGTATCCCATAAACCCACTTCCAATTCAGGTTTGGCTTCTTCTGCATTGCGTTTGTCCAGAATTGCCTGGACTTCGCTTTCCGAATTCCTTACCGTCTCTTTGGCGGCCTTTTCAAGATCAATCAGTCCAAGAAGCATCTGATAGATCTCCACATTGGTTTTGTGAGGTGGATTAAGACTGGTCTAAAAAATTTAAATTTACCCGTAAATTGACCCTTCATTGCGCCAATATTTTCAACGGTTCTGACAAAGGAGATGCACCAAATTATAACGCTTAAAACGCACTGGCTACTGAAATACTTCAGTGCAATTTCTCACATGGAATGAGTTATGGGTATCAGGATGCAATTCAATGACATGCCGACGATCACCACTGTCGGGAGGCTTGTTAAACTCCCGTCGACAGGGGAAGATACATTCATCTGCGATATGATACGTGAGAAAGTACTTTTCTCCAACTATGTCAAACACGCGCTCCTCCACATCCTCATCTGCAGGTATTTCGGGGTTCCTTGCAAAGCGCTCTTTTATCCTAAGGGAAAAGTCAAAGTTTGCATTGATGTAAGCTCTTCGAAATCTCGACAGACGTAATCCATAGACCTGATTGGTTGGGTCAAGGTCATTTTATATAGTCATCCAATGAGTCAATCTCACTTTTTGCTAGACAAATAGGAGTTGGTTAGGGCGAAAAGAACTTGAACGGGGATTGGTTTCCATTTAGCGGATAATTCCACGAGTATAGTATTCAAGTTACGAATGATTCAACGCGTTGGCTAGGGTGTGAAGGTTTGCCGCCAATATTTACGCAACTATAAAGTTAGGCTAAGAAGTATGCGTATTATTTATGCGAATTTAATACGATGGTCTTAGGTAAGCGCCACTGTTTAGAATGGTTTACAAAGTGAAGTGGATCTGTGGTCTGTTCCATTCAAAAAGGACTTTTGATATCATAGCTAGGCGATAAAATTTGCGTTTCGCAGCCCCGTTGCACGTATCAGTAACTAACCCAAAAGTGCTCACACAGATGAGGATTCAAATAAATTCCTACGGTAATTGCACAAAAAGAGGGCGAAAGTAGAGCAGTTCGCTTCATAGATAACAGGTCCCAAAAGAAGTTCTAAGCGTATGGGCGATCGCAGAATAAAATGCACACGTTTTAACAATTAACTTATTAACAGAGGTACCACTATGGTCACAAAGTATAAGGCCAAGCAAATTAAAATCCAAGGCTTTAAATTGTCATTTTTTGTCAGCGATGCAATTCTGATACATTGCGAAATCCTTTCTGAAATGATCGACACAATTGTGGGCGAATAAAACGCACATAAAAACATTTCAGCACAATCAAGCTGTTTGATTTCGCCTCCTACAAGCAATGCTTTGCATGAATAGGACATGTGAAACACTATGAAAGTGGAGAACTATGCAGAGTAACAGATTTGATTGTAATTTTCACCATCGGTTCGCCCAACAACTACGAAGTCCACAAGCACCTGAACACAGTACCTATGACGATCACTTATATTTGCGTTGATGGAAGGAACTGCCACGTCTGTGTATGGTAAATATTAGACAGCCGCAGAGTTTTTTTGGAACCTTATGAACTGGCTAAAAACTATAAAGCGGATCAATATCGTTAATGACGATCCAATCAGCACTTGGTATTAGTCGAGATTTGATTGGTTCAGAGGCAGATAAAAGATACTTACACGTCAATTTCCTTGTAGCTCTTTTTTGTAACTTTTGTTCCGGCACTTCCTTGCTCTGAAGACGACATTATAATTACTGGAGGGCCAAACTTCCTTACTGTCCGACCGAAATGTGTTTCACGATAAATCAGCCGATCTTCGCGGTTATTGTACCACTCCTTCATGACGTTGCCTTCACGCTGACGTTTTAAAAGGCCGTCGATCCTCATCTTTTGATAGAACTCCATTATTCTATTGGAGTCTGGTCCCACATTTTTCGACATGTATTCATGATCTCTTAGATGATGCTCCATTCGACCATGATCAAAGGTCTCCTTCACCCACAATGTCTTCAGGTCAGTCACTCGTACCTTCAACTTGTCCTTTCGGTGTTCAAAATACTCCGTCTCTTCAAGTGCGTTCTGAAGATCACGATCCTGGTAGACAACCAACCGTAAAACAATCCCGCACTCCTGAGAATAAGGCGTATACTTGACCACACGAGCCCGATTGTAGATTATTTCCTTCTCGCAGTTTGGATATCTCTGAAAATACTGAGCGTCGGAAAGGGTGATTGGTAGAGTCCATGACATTGGCAAATCAACCAGAAGAAGGGTATCTAATAGGTCTGCATCCATTTTTTTCTTTTCATTCTTTTGCGTCTTTACGTTCAAATCATCTTCACGCGCCTGGAGACCATAGTCCAAACCTAGATCATAGTTTGCTAGGGTCTCAGTGACATCCATTGATCCATTGAGGATGTTTACTAACTGATCCCCAGCTGCCATAAGCTTTGTATTAAGTAGACCTGATGGCAAGACAAACTCCCAATCTTCAAGATTGTTTAAATCGTAGTGCATTTCCTTAATCCCATTGGTGCAGTCTTGCATATTCACCCAATAATTATTGTGGTTCCACACACTTTCTATGCCCAAATACATATTGGTGTCAAGAGCAACTGGTTCCCCAGTAAAAGGCTCAATAAAGAAGGCTTCTTTAACATCTCTGCTTCCTGGGAGGATTAAAATCCAAGAGTGCACCCTCAGACCGTAGAGAGGATCTGGTTTTGGTTCTTCTGATTTCTCCAGTGCCTGTTTCTCCTCCAATGCTTTCTTTTCTGCTGCTTCTTCGGCCTCGATGAGTTTTTTTACTTTCATTGTTATTTCGTATTTAGATAAAAAGTCCCTTATTGGTTTCACCTGGTACTTGCTTGCCTGTGGTTCCTGATACATTTCCACACATTTCTTTGGTTGCACAAGCAGTGGACACTGCTTTCGAGACTCATCTTTGTAGCAGCACTCACGTGTTGCATATCCACTCACCACGAAGGCATTGTATCCCACACCCGTAAGAAGGGAACAGAGGAGAGTAGTATAGTCGAAACAGGTACCCAGCTGAAGGGAGAGCGTTGTTCTTGGACTCAGAAGTCGTGGGGGTAGTTCCGTACAGGGGAGCAGTGGAGCGAAATCAAGAAAGTCGGCCACGAAAGCTGCAGCTCCTAAAGCTTCGTGAAGCTCGGGAAAGGGTAGTTTTGTTGGACGTATGGTAGTGGATACAAACTTACGAACATCACATTCATTGCGAGGAGTAATGAAGAGTGGAGTGCGATCGTGGAAGCGACCGGTGTATTGTCGACAAAAATTGTCAGCGTAGGCAAGAAGACGTGTCTCTCGGGCACTGTTTTCACTGTAGGAAGATGGAAAACTATGCTCCTTGGGATCGAAGGATTGTGGCAAGGAACGAAACTCGTGGGGTAAATAGAGTGGATTAATTTCAATTAATTGTTGCTTTAAATGAAGATCCTCCGACGACACCTCAGTTTCTTCTGCTGATTTCGCTGTAGAAATGTTAGCATCGGGATCCTGGTCGACATTCTCATCGATGGTATCGATAATGATAGGGCCAAAATCTTCCTGCTTTTTTATACGGCCTTCATTCATTATTCGAGGTGAGGATGTTGTCAGTATAAAGGGGAGTAGGTCTGTTAACAATGTGGTTTAGTGAAAGAGAATGTATTTGCCAATAGCATTCTATAACTCTTATACTAAAAGGACAATACAATTATAGTGCTCTTCTAACTAAGTTTGAGTGCATAGTGGGTTAAACATTTGAATTTTTGAGATAGGAAATCCTGTAGAGATTACAGTTTTGTTATATCCTCGTTTAAAAGCAGATTTGAGGGTTAGGAATCTTTGCTCACCTTATATGCTAGCAACTGCATCGATAGCCAGAAATTCATTGAGGTTTAATTTTATTTGGAAAAGTTACGATACGGTTTAAGTAATTTAGATACAAATTGGTTTTTCAATATTCATATACAAAGCAACGCTTTGTGTTCCTATAGCAATAAGCTTTGTTAGCATCTTGGAATTATGCGAAGGTCAATCTATAAAAGGTAGTGGGATAAAACGGATCCGATGGAAGAAATATCCTGATTTATTTCTGACGGTGACCAAATGCATACCTTGTGTTACAATTTTTATACAATACTCTAAGTGTTATGCCTCAACTACGACATATTTGCACCATTGCATAATATTAAATACGCAAGACAAATTTATGTTTTTAGATCAATCTGCTCCCCTCTAGGTTTTATTTTCCGATTTACAAAATAGTTTGCACTTTGCGTATTTTACAAAGGGGGATACTATTGTAGAATACCGATATGGCGTCCCGAGACTTTCTCTATGGTGAAAGAAGGCATAAATGAGATCGAGTACATGTACTCGAAGACGAAAGGTTAAACGGAGCTGGAGCGTGGCCCAAAGGCCAGCCCACGCGTACAGGAAGCAAAAAACTCTAAAGTGACCGCCAAACGTCAGGTAGTCAAATAAACAACGTATTACAACCGACGCCTTCCGTATGGTGATAGAGGGCATATGGTCCAGCCGATTGCCAGCATTCATAGAGGAGAGATAGGCACGGGTTTTAACTTGGTTCAAAAGCCAATCCATCCAGTAAAAAAGAATGAACACTATAGAGATTCCTGTATGGCAAGCGGCCAGTTTACCGGTCCGCATGCTTTCTGTCCAGCGCTAAACTTAGAACCTAAAAACGGTATCATTTCCACCACTTCTGTTCAACTATAAGCTTTTGACCATACTCAATACCTTCTTATTTTTAAAGAATGTCTAAGCCATCGTATCAGCTAGTCCCGAGTCCAATAAAATGAACTTGGCATAACAAATATTTTTCATTTATGAGAATAAACTTCTTTAACCTGCTTCGTCACAGATTTTGAAATGCAGGGGTTAGTAAGCGAGCTCTACCTTACCTTTTTGATATCTGCATGTATAGTGATTAATTTAACGAAAACCTTGCTTATACCCTATAATTCCGCTGTCAGCAAAGTGCATAGGTTTAAATCCACTCCTCCTGGCTGACTGAGCACTTATTCAAATTTTATGCCTACCCTTACTGAATTCGACATCTTGAGGTGCTGTACTTAAGGTTGCAGTGTGCAAATCCTGTTATAGTTTATTTATGAGACAGCCTATTGACTGGTAATCCGTTTTGGTGTTTACTTTTCCTTTGGCTGTGTAGGTCGGTTTTGTTTCAGGTTGAGATGCAAATTCATACAAAGTTCCATTTAATGTCTTCAGCCAAGTAAGAAGCCTCGAGGCAGTAAGATAGTAACAGCGAAAGCGACTTCATTACTGGATTCTAAGGTCACTTCCGGTGAATCACAGGAAATGTTTTAATAAAGCGAAAATTGAAATGCCTTGTTTAAGCTACATTCTGACTTTCGGCGGTTACTATGGGATTTGTCGGGCTCTTGTATTCGTGGGCTGGCCTTCCGGCCGCGCTCAAGTCCAGTTGCTTTGACCTCTTTAGAACAATGCACCCAGCTTCACTTATTATCTTCTTCCACTCTATAGGAAGTTTCAAGAATTTACAAAAATACTGTGTGTAATCTTGCTTATAAGATTTCGTGGTTAAATTTTTTTAATAAAAACACAACCCACCTTCAAAATTGCAGTAACAAAAGGGCCATCACTTATCACGTTCACACAGTACTTTCAACTACCTTAAAACTTAATTTTAAGACTGGACCCAAAAACTCTGTAATTACATCTTTCTCGCAACAAAAAGTGCAGGAACTAAAATAACATTAATTAACAACATTCGTTTTATTACATCATTATCTGCTTAGAGCTTTTAAAAGCGTTTTGGTGGGATGTTATGGCTATGTCAACTGATTGGCTCCGGCGTTTCTTAGATGAAGTTCAGTTGCCAGACTTTTACGACGCCTTTAAAAATGTTCTCCAAGTTACACAGTAATATTGACTTGTTTTAATAAGATGTTGGAGTCTGTATTACCTTGCATCTTTTGTGGCTTTGGTGAACCTAGCACCTCTTATGCGATGGTTACGATTTCAGTTAAATGTGTTTTGTTTGGAAGTCATTAATCTTGCTGCATCGATGTTGGATGTAACTACATTGTGTCAGGCGTGGAACTTTTTGGTCTTTGAAATGTTTGTTTCTGCTCATTTCAGGCTTCAACACTTTGATTTTGTTCGGACAGCTGACCTTCATCGGATTGGTTTGAGCGCCCCCGCCATAGGACGCATTAAGGAAGCCATCAAAATTCATCGTGAAAATGCTGGATTGCCTCGGAACCCGCGCAAAAAGCATCATTATGGACTTTCCTTCGGCATTCCTCTCCTAGATCTTGTACGATGACTGCTTAGTACTTTTTGATTTCGCCTTAGTTTAGTCTAAACTATACCGATTCCTTTTTAGTTACGCTATGGTCCACCTCGTGATGCTCCGATTTTGGCAGCTCTTGGAGAGTCGACATCGGTTCGTCGTTGCCATTCGGGCATCACAACACCCACCATCTCGACCTCACCTTATCCTTCCTCTTCTGTTACGGATCCCCTCCTTCCATGCCAACTCATTCGACAAGAGGATGTGAATTTGCATAAAGAAAACAACGGCCATTTAGGATCAGGTTCTTTCGGTGTAGTTCGAAGGGGTGACTGGAAAACGCCCACTGGAAAAACGGTATGACAATAGTGTCGAAGAAGGCAGTAAACTTTGGGACATTGATTCAAGCGTCTATCCTCTTTTTTATCTACTAGATCCCAGTAGCGCTGAAGATCCTTCGTCGCAGTCGAACAGACGATGCTGCAAATTTTTTCTCTACTGTTTTATCGGAGGTGATGCTTATGCAGTCGGTCTCGCATCCCAATCTCGTTCGCATCTATGGAATCATTCCTCTCAATCCACTCGTTATTGTATTGTTTCGATTCTCCAGTTTACATCCTTTTCATTAGGTTACAGAACTGGCTCCGTTGGGAAGTCTACTCACGGCTTTGCGAGCGCATTCACGTCGCCTCACTCTGAATATTGGTAGTAGTAGTATGGAAGGCCACCCAGCCACGGCATTCAGTGTAGACGTTCTTTGGGACATAGGAATTCAGCTGGCACGTGGAATGGCCCATCTAGCCGCCTGTCATCTCATCCATCGCGATTTGGCGGCTCGGAATGTCCTGCTTTTTAGTGCTCCATCTGATGTGGTTGTAAAAATTGGAGACTTTGGACTGCTTCGAAGAGGCTCTGTAGTAGATGAGGACAAAAGAGACGGCATAAATGAAGAGCCAAGAGTGCCTGGATGTGTATATGTTGGTATTGGGAAACAGAAGATTCCCTTTGCTTGGTGAGTTTTTATTCTTAATAATTGATGGCAACTTTGGTTCAAAGCTGAATGCCACGTAAATTGCGTGTCATTAAAAGGCCAATTGAGAGGCAATTCAAGTTAACGTACTTGCTTATTCATAAGAAGCTACCAGTTGCATTTCCTATCCTCTCGTCTACCTATAGTCTTTTTTCCTCTTTCTATCCAGTCATCATAGTTTTTACGCAGGGGCAAACCTATCAACCGTTAGCTCCACTTTTGAGAATTTGTTTTGTCCAACTGCACCATCACTGAAGTGACTTCCAAGTTATGATTGAAGTTGATACCTGTTTATCTTTAACATGATCTGCGGCCTCGGGATTGAGAGGATAAGGTGTATGGCTCGGTAGCCACTGTAGACACTTGGATGATTGCTTAGCTTTATGACTTATTCCAGACTCACCAATGTGTGTTTTATTCTCAAGTTGGGTCCCTCATTTGTACGCCACACCACTTATTTGCTATTTCAAAGTACTTTTATATCAGTACTCTCAAAAGAAAAGTTAAAGTTCGCTCAAACCCATTTGTCAGAATGGTCCATTTACTTGAGGGCTGTGAAAGTCGTATAAAATCTTCCGTTTTACCTCAAATGGGAGGTGAAATAGCTTCTTATTTAGTTATTGAAAGGTGCTTTGATGGGTCTTTTTTACTTTATTTTCCTATTCTGCATCGTTCGGTTTGCCCCTTCAGTTCAGCTCTTTCGGATACAGGTCACTTCATTGATACATATTTGCCTCATGTTGCACCTCTCAAGATAAGTAAAATAGCTGGCATTAGGTAAAGGTGTTTATTTGGCATGGTGGATCTCTTTCCTACCAAACTTGAGGGCGAGAGTAAATAATGCGAATGTGGTGCTGCTTTCTAAGATGGATTGTGAGAGAGCATAAGGCCATTTGGTTACTTTTTATCATGCAACCAAATAAAATAGCAGCAATGGTGGTGGTGGATGTGCAGGTGAATGTCTTCACGTGAAATGGATTTTTTTTACTCGATTCCATCTCGTATTTGAGGGAATTGTAATACTTTTTGAGCAGTTGCTTGATATCTCGTGTATTCTCGCATGTCGCATTGCACTTGGTACGAAAAGCATTTCATGGCCTAATTGATGATGGAAATAAGTTGAAAAAACGTCTAAACTGAGTTTAGGTTATATTTTCTAGCTTCTATTTATCGTTTTTACCTGTGGTAGGGGGCGTGGTGTACCGATTCACACTGTGTTCAAAGGCGATTGCTTGTCAGCTATCGTGGCCAACTAACGCAGCTATTTTGCGATATTTCGGCCATGCCTTCGGTTAGCTAGTTAGAGAGAAATTTGTTCAAAATTGATAGGGTTATTAGTACTTATGGTGTTGCTTAGAAGTACTTTGGATTCTCCGAAGTGGTTTGTGTATGGAAGACTACCGATAGGATAAAGAAGGTCAATTCAGTGTGCATGTGATTAGTCGACCCACAACCATGGTAAATCTGAATAGTATGTGTTGCTTATTGTCTTGCTGTTTAAATTGCTGAAGAAGTTCCAATGGTTCAAATTAATGTCAAATACATAGTGACCGACGGAATTTTGCCCTCTTTTTGGCATTTCATAGATCACGGTAACTTGAATTGACCTTTGGGAATCGACCTTTCCTATAATAATGGGAATCGGTCACTTTTTTCGTGCCGCCTCCTTGAACTGCCCGATTTCTGCTTCACCTCCTAGAATATGAATTCTAAATTTGACTTAAAGCATGTTTGCTTGAAGTTATCAAACACTCCGAAGGAAGCAATTATTCTAACCTTTGCCTATTTACTTTTATTTGACAGCTTTATCTCTAGATTACATCCCTTGAAAAGCGAACCGGTATATAGTCGGGGCTCAGTACTAGAACAGTGTTGATGAGGTAGTCAACTGGTTCAAGTGGAGTAAATGGCACACCTTCAGCTCTTGCGTTCCGACAGTTACCACTATCTGTTACTAAATCGGTCTTTCAACTGATACTGACGTCCACCAAGAAATTTTCGCAGAAATTAAGGCCTACGGTTCAAGATAAAGCCTTGCCTGTGAATGTATCATTTTTTTGCGGCTTCGGAGCCACTCAAAGAATTACAAAGCTACGGTAAGGCAGTTCTAGTGTTTCCTCTTTGCAGGATTCAGAACATTTCTGAAATTCTGCTCTTCCAAAACGGTGGTCCAGATCACCGGGATGAGTCTGTTCTCCTCCTCCCTAGGTGGAGGTATTAGACTATCAAGATTTTGGTGTTTCGTCCCATGCCGCCGAATTTGCATCTCTCGTTCCTCATTGACCCTTTGCCACTCACTTTTAATCATCCGACGAACCTGACGCATCTCTTGCAGTTAAAGTCGCCGATGCATTACAGTTTTTGTGTTAACACTGCCGAATTTACAATTTTAATGACAATATATTGCCATAAAACAAACTTGTGTATGCTACTGATATTTCCAGTGGCTTGTGTAGCAAGTAGCAAGTTGGGCTTCTATTGTTGTCTCTTTAAAATACATTTCTGCGTTTGTAGATTCTCATCTCTTGACCTGACCTTGGTGACATTCCAAAATGGTCACCCGGGTGTAATTTCATGGGTCTTTGATGCATGGTCTTTTTGATCTTCAGGTATTTTACGCAGGTTTGAGACAGGATGTCTTCGGGACGAATAGTGTTGCAACGTACATTCTTAATGCATCGTGTCTCGCTGTAATTTTTTGCAGCTAAACCCGAGTAAAAATTGAAAGTTATGACAGCATACATTGTCAAGATGTAAACCAAATTGTTTGAGTTGTGGTGCTTTATTTACACCCCAAGGATGGATTCTTCGGGCTGTGATCTCTTGACTTATGTCAAACTAAGACTAGACCTCAAAACCACTGTGCATCTTTGTGCGCCGCTTTTTGGGTCACTGTGCCTCCGCAGATGGTGGAATCGCATTATATTGTATCCAAATGCCTAATGGATCTGCGTATCTTCCATTGCGCTGCGGTGCCATTGCTACTTCACTCTCGCATGTCCTCCATCTATTCATTGTGTGGGGCTGTTGGCTGTCTTAATCAGCTTGCTTTGCTCCTATCACCTTCACTTCTCATTCACTTCCACTCCCCTCCTCGATGCTCCTGTAGATTATTTTAAAAAGAGCTGGAACACGCATCTCTACTAAAATATTGCAAACATTTTCGGTTGCACTCTTATAATTTGAGGTTAGTGAATGTCTTTTTTACACCACATAGATCATTTCCACCAACTGAATCTCCTACTGCAACGGTAATTGGATATAATTTCAGAGGTTTTAGTGCTCCTCTCACATTCCTCAAACCCCCACTTAAAGCTACTTTTTTGATCTTGTCTGTCCATCAACTTCGGCTTTGGTCGTTTATCCTAGGGGTGGAGTTATTCGAACCGCATATCAGCAATACAACTCTTCACTCTCCTATGCTTGGTTCGCTCTTTTTCTTCAGGAGCCTAGTCTACAGGAGATGTGTAGTTTTAATGTATTCAGCATTGTGAATTGGGTTTATTGTGCGTCTGGCAAATAACTCTGTCTTCTTTTTCGTTTATGTGCTATGCGTTAGTGAGTTAATTGACAATTTGACAAACTGTAGCTGTAGCATTGGAAACTGAATCAATGGAAAGCTGTGTGAATATCTCAACGCTTAACTAATACGTGATCTGGGAGGCACAAAGTACGGTTCACTCATCTTGGAGCATCCTGCTTCACTTCCTTACAGCTGGTGATTTGGTGATTTCCACGGTTTTTTGGCTGATGGGAGCTTACAAATCCTCACTCCCCTCGCTGAAATGCTTAATTTCAACACAATGCATTCCATTTCATTCGTTGGTGGTCAAAAGCGTTGGCGTCTTGATTCTCATGTTGAGTTCTTGTGTGTAGATCTAGCATCCGCGATCAGGCCTACCGAACACAGTGTTTAGCATTGCTTCTGGTGCAAGTACGACAGGCGGTTCCCCTCTGCCTGCACAAAATAAAGCTTATTTTGACTTGAACACCCCTTGTTACCTAATGCAACCAATTGTCCCACGATAAGCCACTTGTCAAAGTTCATCCTATCGACTGCCCATAACCTATATCGGCTGGGTATTTGACGAGTAAACCTGTTTTGCACGTAAAAGCTTAAAGCCACTGCAAAATTGCCCGCTGCTGAGCAAAAAGAATGACTACGAGATGTTCATCAAAGAGGCGCTTGCACTCACCCTGACGGTGATGCAATAGCGGTTGCATTGATGCTGGCGTATAAAGCCACCAGTACTTTTATGCTTATAAAGGAGAGGTTCTATGGTAATTACGCCGCCTTTTGAGAAAATTTAGTGTGACTGCAAGAAGTAGTAGTTTTTTGACAACCGGTGATCAGGCTGTGTTTTGCAATCCCTAAAAGTGACAGCAATAAAAATGGGAGTGGGCTCTCGTTCCTGTTGTTTCATGTGTAACGCATTGCTGCTTCTCCCTTGGTGAGTAGGTTATTACTCATTACTCAAGAAGGAGACGGTAAGGTTGACTGGCCGGGCAAATAATGAACAGTATTTCTTCGTATACTTGGTATCAGCGGCAGAGTATTTATTGATGTCATTGGCTCGGTGTCTTGCGACATTTGTTCTGCTATTGACCTTGAGGCTGTTTTAGCACATTAGCCTGTTGACCTCCATCTGGTAGAATTTATTTCATCATACACCCGAAACCGAGTCATCTACTCACCTGCCTCTAGCCCATTGATGGCGGGCTGGTTGGAAACACCTTCCATGGCGTTATCACCTGGTAAATGAGTTGAAGAGGCTATTATTTCGCGGGTTGGCATTCTCTCTGCATAGGTCACCACCCGAGGCGATCTGCGGTCGTTGTTTTTCTCAGGCGTCCGACGTATGGAGTTGGGGTGTGACCGTGTGGGAGGTATGGACTGGGGGCGCGGAGCCCTGGCCCGGTCTCTCTTCCGATGCCGTATTAGCTGAGCTGAAGGCTGCGCACCGATTAACCTGGCCTCGAACCACCTGTCCTCGACGACTTTATCAGCTCTTGCTGGCAGCGTGGCGATATGATCCTGCGCATCGGCCATCATTTGAGTACCTAGTGGGGCGGCTGGATAAGGTTTGTTCAGTTATTTGTAATTTGTTGATTGAATCTTGTGACTGGCATTTAACGTCCCCGAGTAAATCGGCAATTTGTGAGCTCTGGAATTGTCGTTTGGCTATTCAATCAGTTCATTCACTTCAGCTTGTAGAACCTATCTACATTTGATCGGTCAACCTCTTTTCTCTGGATAAACTTCAGACTTCGAGTTGCTTGCTTAACCCTCTTGCATCTAGGCCGTCTACCATTAAAGTGAATGAATTCGATGTGGTTTTCTTTTTTTGCTGAATTTACTGGGTCTTTAAATATGTTGAATTTACTTGATAAGGTTTTTTTACAATTTTGACAATCTTTCTGGTCGTCCGACTTCTTAACGAAATCAAAATTGTGGAAATCATTGGAGTTGCACAAATGGGATGCTTTTTACAACGAACTTTTGGACTCTGGTCAATGACATTTGCCATAATTGCACAACAATGGTTGCTTTTTGCCTATATTTTTCCTTCCGTTTGCACCTTGATAGCTTACGCTTCGACAATGTAATTGCCAGGCCTCCAGTGGCCTGTTGAGCTTATGGCATGCCCGCATGACTGCAGATTTTCATTTGGCTAAACCTCTAAACGGCCTATGGAGGTGTGTGATTTGGTTTTGAGCGTTAGCTGTACATTTTTTAATTTACTCCTCTAAACGTATGGTTTTCTCTCCATCGCATACTTCAGAGCTCCTAGCTTTCTGAAAAAAAAAGCGACATTTCGTTTGTCCATTGGTGCTTTACTAACTCAGGGTCTTGGAGGAATGTCAGTCAGCACAATTCGCCACAGATAGTTGATTTATTTTTTGCTGTCTACAGGTCAAATATCGTTCTCCCAAACTGAATACCTTTATTGTAAGCGTAATGAAAACATTTCATAAACTGATTATGAGTTCTTAAACTCATATGCAATAGTCAAAGCAAGTAACGAAGGGGCGAGCAGCTGTTGTCTGGGAAAGTCATTTTAATTATACGATTGGTTGTTGCTCGTCCAGGTGCTATAATTCATGTTTTCTTTTTTGGAATGTTCGGCAATAAAACAGTGTGAGTATTTATGGGTCAGTAGCGTTGAAAAGGGGATCGTGTGCTGTTTGATTTCCTCGCTGTTGTTCGTAGAGCCACTCGATTAGAGAGGCCATTTTTCAGCTCAAAATGTGGAATCATCAATAAAGCAAAAATGCTTATATCCACTTGTTCTTACTTTAAATTTACAGTCTCTCTGTTTGCTACGTGTATTCCATTTTTCACTTTTCAAGCGAAATTCCATATCCAAAAGTTGTCCAAATGATCTGCTATTTTTTTTGTGTGATAGCCAACTCCAAATGCCCTTTCATGGCATTGAATTTCCCCTCCTGGAGTATCTGCTTCAAAGCTTGCTGAATTTGCGGAAATTGGAGTCTTTTTAAAACGGCTCTACTTTTGCCAGAGAGGAAATTTGTCGATATTAAGCGCTTTCAATGTTCTACGGGGAAAACTGTTTCTTTCCTGTTCAGACGCTTTTGGGATAAAGCCTCTTAGTCCCTTTTAACTGGGGAAAAACCGTCTCCTAACTGTCAGCTTACTAGACTGTAGTGTTCACATGAAGTGTCTAGACTAGACTGGCTACCATTCCGATTGCAGCCACTCTTTCTGCCAAAAAATATTCAAACCCCGAAATCTGAGGATTTTAACATTCCATTCCTCGTGTTCTAGCAATATTTGGAATTTTAACATGTTCACCGCTTTTTTCTTCTTGCGTCTACCCTTTTCTGCAACCCCATACCTGGTCCAGTTGGGTTCTGGCTGTCGGTTCGATATGAAACGCTAAATAATTCATCGTCTACCGTTTGGGTCACTTTGTGCACTGCGAAGGCACATTTCAATCAGTCCTCGTTCCTCCTCCCCTTTTAATCCAATTTCTCACCTTCGGACAAGAAGACTAGCAGCAAATTGTGTAACATTTTATGCAGCTTTTGAGTGGTACGGCAGTTCTACTTTAGCAGGTCATGTAAAAGTGCTCCTTTTGTCTAAAAGATCCCACTTTGCAACCTGCAAGCCTTTTTCTATGAATGTCGTATACGTAGAGTTCAACTACAAAGCCCTTGGCAACAAATCACTTCCGTGTCTTTTTAATTTGTTTCCCAACCGTCCATTGCATTTTTATGCAATTTTCTTAGGTCAAGAGAATGTGAAAAACCCTTGGGGAAATACCAAAGCAGTCAGCACTACCTTTCTCTTACCTTGATTGGATTTATGTTGTGTGAAATCTTTCATTGGGATATCTCACAATTGCTGACTTATTGGCTCCTGCTTCTTTTACACTAGTTTCCTTCTTGCTCTCCAGTGGAGTTAAGCGTGTAAATCTCACCCGTACTTACCTGAGCCTCAACTATTCTTGAAGGAAGGGACGAAAAACAAATTTATCATTGGGGTCCCTCTTCACTATCTGTTGCTTGGGTAGGGTTGGTTTGCTCGACGCCTTCTGACGTGACTTCTCGTTTGTAAAATACTTGATTTGCTTCTTCCGGCAGTGACCCATAACTCATCATTTTCCTTAAGAATGCACAGTTTTGCGTAAAATCGGCGCAAAATCGTTTGTGGTAGCTTCTCTTAATGTTGCTTTACGAATTCTGATGGCGTCTCGCTCTGGAGGCTGTAGAAGAAGATGGAATGAAATCAGTTCCCTCTCGTTAAGTCAGTCATATTCTAGGGTATAAAGTGCAGCGCATGGCAGCAATAGTTCACTGCATAATTAATATTGCTGTACTTTCAGGCGGTTGTAGTCACGGATTTTGCACTTTATGCAACACAAACTATCGCCATTGTCTTTTACAAGCCCTTCCTGGTTATAACTTTTTGAAGCGGTGCCTATTAGAGGCCTATATTTCGGTTCAAAGGATTATTGTGGCTATTCTGGGGCCATTACAATGCTGAGGAGTCTTTATGTTCGGAAGACCTTTGTCCATAATTTCTGAGCCTTTCTTCCAGTTAGCTCACGCCTCTTGTGAACCCTAGTGCCTATAACTAGCAGACATCAATCTCTGATGTTGATATTGTGGGCATTTGTGCTATTCCCCACCATTAAATGTCTCAATTACATTCGTGTCGCGCCTGTGACGCCTTGGTTTCATCGCCTGAGTCTGTGTTTGTAGCAGCGTGTGGCACGTTTGATTAAACACCCAAAAGTATTTAGCTCCAATAGTTATGGAGTGAATTTTCTTTTCCCATCTATTCGCCATTCCTTTGTACCATTTTTCTTCTCGAAAGTTTCTTCCTCGCCGGCACCTAACGGACGATTGATGCGAAATTGAATTCTTCCGACCTGTCTTACAAGACTGCATTTTCGAGGTAGCCTCTTGCTTCTAAATGACGATTTTGTGTCTACACATTCCAGCTTTATTGTTGCATTTACTATTATTATTATCATTTTTCTAGTCTTAAAACAAATCCACTGAATTTACTCACTATGATTGAAAGCCACTTTTGTTCCACGTGCTGAAGTTGTTGGAGAGCGCTGTACTGACGTGATGTGAACTGCACTCGGAGTTTCAAATCAGTTACCAATACCTACTACGATAGTTGGTAAAAGTGCTCTTGAAGCATGACGGTCGGGGCGATTATGGAATGCGAGTGTCGAGTCAGAGGATTTCGCACAACTTTTTACGGAAGCTATGCTGGAGGCATTGCTTTAAAGCGGTCACCATAGACCAAAAAGGTAGTTGGCGTTGTGACAATTTTTTTTTCTGAAAGGCTCATGCATTGTATCCCATTGTGAAGGCGCAAAGGTCCCTTAAAAAGTGTCGCCATGGAACCTTCAGGTGGGAAGGTCCTGGAAAGATGTTTACGATTCTGGAAAATGCTTCCGTTTTTATCCTTAATAACTTTTTACCCTTATGTCTAGTCTTCGACTTTGTGAAGGAACTCGAATACCGATGCTCTCGGTAGCTTTCATTGATTGCCCAATGCCATATACAATCTGGCTTAAAATGCGCTGTGCTAAAATAAATCACTATTCTACAACTTCAAAGAATAGTACTATTTTGTGTTCAGTTGGGCAGCCGTCACGTATGCACGCACTATAACTCTCGATTTACTCACTCACTAAAACCTTTATTGGCTGGACGCTCAACATTATTCAAGTCCGAGCACTCGAACACCAGTTTGCCACACATCTCTCCACTTTTATTGGTCCAAACTCAAAAAAATCCATTTGTAGATTCCATTTCAATGCAATCAGCTAGAATGAGCCGACAATTAAGAAATTCCAAACCTTGGGCATACTTTTTACTGGTAAGGGGCGTGCTAAAGAAATGTCAACCACCTCCTCCAACTCGACTACAGCTACAACAACGAATCGACAGTGTTCTCAAAATCTTTTTGGTGCTTTAATCTGGTCACCTTTTTGTTTGATGCCAAAAAACTTGAGTATCTGCTTTTTATCGCGCGGCTGGAGGACGATGAAGGGGCTATCGAGTGAATCATGGGGCACCTTTAATGTTGCTTAAATGACTTCGCTCCCTTGTCAAAAACAACAAACAACCGTTTTTTTTTAGATTTTCGCACTATCGATCAGTGGGGCGTTTACGTGCAAGATCTTGAGATGTTTTGTGGTTCTGAATAACTGTAATTTATGAAAACACTTTTGACACATCCAGATGCGAAAATATTTTTGCCTGTTGTGCAGGCGGGTGGTGCTGAGGTGGTTTCATGGAGCAAATGCTGTGTTTGCTCGCCCTTTTGTTTTTTACAAATTACATGGGGATGTCATTTTGGTGTCGAACCCCTTTTCATTGTTCACTTTTTAGGGGAGTGATAATTGTGTGTATTTACGTGTGCCTAATGCCGAATGGCATAGCTTTCATGGAGAGGGAGTTTTAGTGGGACCTCATATACTAAAAATCGAGAGCGAAATGTGTCCATCCCTTCTCCTTATCCTCCTCTTCCTCCTCCTAGGCGGTGTGAGGAGGACCGAAGAATCCCTCTTATTAAGCTTTTTGCATGTGGAGAATGTCAGTGTTCGGAATTTGTCATCATTCGCTGCTGACGGCTGCTGCACCCATGTGGGAGGAAGCAATATTCCTTGAAGGAAAGGCCTGGAATGATTTTTATGGTTGTTTTTTTGAAAATGATTCAAATTAATAAGGGGTGGTGAGTGAATGTCCGGGGCGTAGTGCAACCTACTCTCTGCGTTAGTTTTGGAAATCTTCGAATTGGCATCGACTCGCACCTTTGAGCTGTGGTTGCACCGCCACGCAGTGTGCCTGTGTCCTTTTTTATTAAACGACCTTTTCCTGCTTTTGAGCTACCAGATGAAAATATAAGTTTCAGTTCTTTTGCCACTTACGCCTTAAGTTGGCTCAGAACCCCGATTTTTGCGATTTGAAGGATCCTCTTGAACAATAGGTTTTTCATTTTAGTTTTTCTCTCGAAATATGTATTTCTTCATCTGGTTTCAGCTTTGTGTGTAGTAATTGCTAACTTTCCCTCCTCTCTCTCGTCCTCCTCTTCCCTTTTCAACTACGCGGATTGAATTTAGCATGCTTCTCCCTGGGGCTGGAAAATTGAATCGGTCAAAATGGGGAGTCGTTGCGAACATAAATTAGAGAAAGCTTTTCTCACCTCATTTTCGAGGCAAAGATGTTCGTGCTTATCTTTTCTATCTCATTATTCCATTGACTTGCATAAATCCAACTGTAAACATGTTTGGCGATCGTTACCAGTCGAGTTACCACCTTTTCATTAACATAAAATTTGTAACCAAATCATGTCGAATGCACTTGACTTACTCGTCATTTTTCCCCTGTGAATAAAAAATGAACTTGTTTAATTTCAGCGGTGAGTAAGCAGTGTACGAAAGTTTTATGCTTTTCCCCCTGGATTCCTCTTATCTCATCCCATCAGCCAATTTTTTTGCGTGATGCTACAAAGCATGGCTGACGCCTAGTACGCCGATTAAGTGGAGGGGATGGAGGTGACAATGCTCTTTTTCTTTCAATATAAATAATAAAATGGTGGTAAGACGTCCATGTTTAGTTTATGCGAGAGTGTAGCATTCTAACAACTGATCCCTTCTCCGAGAAACAGGTCGGTTTGTGTTTAGCGATTGTTCCCCCATTGGCGAAGCGGTGCTCTCTTTCTTTACCTTTGAAAGTGTTCATCGTGTGTGGTTTTTCTTCTATCCAACTGAACGCCCACATCTGGTTAAACGACGCACCACGAATAGGTTTATTTTTAGGCCTCCTACATCTCCTCATGCGTCTGCGGAGGCTGCGAATATCACCACTCGCCCACTTACGAGATCGTCCTTTCTTGTTCTTTAATGCGATTGACGTTTAACTTTCAGTTCCCACATTTGGATCGGATTGTAGAAGCTCTTAATTTGAAGGTCGGTTGCTCTGTCCGGTGGTAGAAATAGCTTTACACTCTCCGACAGGACCAGTGAACGGTTATTTTTCAATTTTTTGTTGGCTTTGAAGGGCCCCTATTTTCGACGTTTTCGACCACTTCAGTCATTTCTACAAAGAACGCTTGCCTTCGATGGATTCCTGCCTCTAAATTTCCCAAATTGTACCTTGAATTGAAGCACTGTCCTAACCCTCAATTAGTGCGTTGACTTAATTGCAAAACGATTTAGTAATTACGAAGCAGAAAGATTTAAGCCTGGGCCACTTTGCTTTTGTCACTTTGACCGTCTTCCATTTCAGAATTTGTCTGAGCTTTAATTGCTTGGTGTGATAAAACTGTGAGGCGACAAGTTTCTTTAAACGAGATTAACGCATATTCTTCTTTGGCGCCGTCAGTCCCCGTGCACACCTGTATTTACTCATGGGCGAAAGAGCTGAAGAGCTGTCTTATCTGGAAGAATCACAATCTGTTGATGACTGACTGAGTCATGTAGATGCATAACATTTCCACAGTATGTTGCTTTTATTTACAAAATTTCATTAATTGGTCTTTGTCGAATGTCCAGAACGTTTTTTGTTCACTCTTGTACTAACGTCGATCATTTAAACATGTCGCGTGGCTACTTCTGCTTGAAAGTTCAATCATTTTCAGTACTCTACTTGATTGGCACAGGCTGTGTAAGGTAAGGGTGACAGGTAAGGGAACGTCCTGTCGATTTAGCGCCTTATGCATCAGTGCACAGTGCTTTAGGCAACTCACTCAGATATTTCTTTTGCACACTTTATAGGTACATGTAGTTCCTGGCTGTGGTCTCATGCTTTTACTTGTGCACAACGATTTCATCAGCTACCACCGCTCCCCATTGAGCATTTCTTTTGATCATGGAATATTTGGTAGGCGTGGTTATCAACTTTCCCATAAGAATTAAAGGCTGTGGGTATCCTTACACTGTGAACATCCTATGTGTATCCATTTACTATAATCTCGGTCTATACATTGTTGGTGGTAAAGGCTCCAAGGCGATAGGGGAGAATTGAGAAGGGTATCACCATAATTAGTATGGCAAAGTGGCGAGATCGACGTCTAAGAAATCCAAAAACCACATCAAAATGAGTAATTCAAACGGGGATCGTTCTTTAGATTCGGCCTTCCGAAGTGGTTGCAACACAGAACTTCGATGAAGCTGATCGAATGGACGTAGTAGCCGGAGATCGCATCCTTGTGATCGAGGGACGGGCAGAGAACTTTTGGTGGAGGGGGCAGAATCGACGCACTGGAGAAATAGCCTCTTTTCCCCGTGAAATCGTTCGTCTTCAGCGACATCTGCAATGTAAGTTGCCCTTGTAGCTTCTTAGTCTTCTCTGAAGGGGCTGTCATAGGGTGTTCGTTAGTGAACTTTGTTTTTGCAGCAAATTTCCACCTTTTTTTCCGTTGCTGCTGCTGATACAACACCTGAGTCATCTCCTCTGTGTGCTAGTTGTGTTTTGTTGGACGCTGATTTGGCTGTGTGATCAGTCATGCGATTATTTGCACTCGGCTTCGCACCAGCTCATTCGTTTTGAGTGGTATCTTCTTGCTACTTTTGTTAACACCTCTGTTTCAGTAGCTTCTTATTTTGTCAACAGCATTGCATCCTGTGCGTTTTGAAGAGATCTTTTGCATATTGTGCCAGTTGATAGATAAGAAATCCTTCTTCTTGATAACAGTGCTTAAGTATGGACTACGTTCTTTATCGTGGATCTTCTCTATGGATCAACTTTGAATACGTTCTTTTGGTCCTTCTGCCTTGAATCCCTGTGATTTCAACAATCCTTGAAGGATAAATTCTTTAGTTGAACTCTTGAAGTACTATCCAACTAAGTGTGGATTTTATTTATTTAAAATATAACCAACGTAAAGCCTTAGTTATTGGTAAAGGCACCACGATGGAGCTTCATTGGTCGGGGAGACGGCTCACACAGATAGCATTCACAGGACTGTGCCATCAGTGCAGTGGTCGAATCGTGAGAGGCGGAATGGACAGCTTTTCGGACTCTATCATTCGATGGAAATCCGATGTATCTTTTGTTGGATAGCGCCTCATTTTATTGCATTCAACGTTTTGTTCTATCCACTTGTTCCCCTTTTGCCCGACATAGCCCTTGGGACACAATAGGCAGTTTGGAGCGTCATCAGACAGGCAAAGCGGTTTACGGGTGAGGCTATCTCTAGCTAATCCACGCCTTTACGGTTTTCCCTCAAAATTTTCATGTCGATGTCCAACCTTTTACAAACTGGCAGGTCCAGTACTTGCATCTACGGACTGACAAATTAGCTTAGTAATCATAAACCTAGAAAATGAACTGATTTCCCACACTTGAACTATCCAGCGTCTACCTTCGTACTCTGGGCTTACCCGTTTCATTACTGGCATCCATTGGTACCTACAGTTGAGGAACAGCTGAGAGGTGTCAATATTTTTGAAGCTTCCTTTGGTTACTTTCTTCTGTTTCTCATAAACCTCGTCTTGTCTTGTTTGCCCACTGGCCCTGTTGGGTAAGAAAGAAGTAGATGGCTCAAGTGCACCAGATTGATGATGATGATCTTGACTGACGTTTTAGCGTTTAATGGAAGAAGTGGTCTAAAAAAGTATCCAGGAGTTCCTTGATAACATTTAAAACGTACTTATTATTATTATTATTATCACAAAGCCATTGTAATTGGTGGTGGCTAAGTTGTTAATTGATGGTCTTGCCTTTTTGCTCCGCTATTCTCCTTGCTTGATTACAGGTCAAGACATCAGTCGGCCGATCGAAAATTCCTTTGTGCATGTCGGTCACCACGGCTTCGAGGGCAGGGCTTGGGGCCATGTTGATCGTGTCGATCCGTAAGTGATCTCGCTCATATCTGTTCCGAAGTTTTTATTAAATCTTTCTGCCCCCCAACTATTTCTTATTTACTCTTCTCAATTGATTTCTGTTTGGATTTGCATTCCTCAAAATACTCTCATTCGTGATTTCATAAAAATTTGGCAGTATTGCAGTGATTTTCCAACCGTTGTTTTTACAATTACCTGTTTGCATAACGCTTTCTTAAGGAGGAAAACATTTTCAAATTCTGTTGTTAAGATAAATGTTGTCTCCAGAAGCCAGGCCACAAGATCAAAACCCTATCATATAATTTTATTTATCTTACACCTCTTAATCTACTCTGAATATGACCATGCGGTTGTCAAACCTTGGTGCCATAAAATGGTTTTATGTGTCCCTTGGGTGACTATCATCGGAGGAATAAAGAGAATGTATAAAGGGGGTGCGACTGTGTCCACTTCCACATTGCTCATTCTCCTTTGCCTATGTGTTTTCTTGGAAGACCTAGAACACGCTCTTCTTATTGGTTCCTTTACTAGTGCTGTTACTGTTTTTGAGCAAGAAGGGAACCTAGACTCCACGTCAGGCGGGTCTCAAGTATAGGTTTTTGGCCCTAATCTGTAAATAAATAAGCAAAAAATGTCTATCTATGTTTTTTTTTTTAGTTGACATGATTTGCATCCCTCGGTTGTGGCATAAGTAGTCGCATAATCATGCATGAGTTAGTCGTTTAATAAAAGCATCCGAACGGTGTCTTTTTCACAACCATGTAGAAGAAGTGAGAGCTAATAAAATAGCAGCCTTTGAAATTGATTGTCACTTCCTTTGTTTGGCGCGGGAACTATTTGATTGTTTCATCACTGACGATACCTCTTTATCACCACATGCTATTCCTCCTCACGTTAATCTCGACCTCTTTTGCTGATGCTAAGTTGTGCTTTATTTACCCCTTTTTCATATTCTCCTTCGTCACAAATAAAATTAAGTTTGTTTTGAGAACAAATGTTAGAGCTTGCTCTTCACGTTTCGCAAATACCAAGTGTTGCGAATCAAGAGTTTAAGCAAACTTGTACCTCCTCTTTTTTAACTGTTTTTGACATCCATCCGGCACACATGGAAGCTAACTGAAATTTGACGATTGCAAGCCGTGCTGTTGAGTGGCCGGGGACGCAATAGTCCCACCTAACTCGTTAGAATGCTTTATGCTGTTATTTTTTTACTCTCATGAGTTGGCGTCAAGGTTGTTTTTTTTTCTTTATGATCATGACTAGCGTTGGCAAAGTGACAAAAGATCTTTGTTGTCCCACCACGCGCACATAAAACCCCACCAATGGGTATGTGGCTCTAACGCACACTTGATTGTAGGATTAACGAGTGTTGGCGTCAGTATGGTGCCACAAAGAAGTGAAATTGGATAACTTGAAGCGCTTTCATAAGTTCGAGAAGTACGAGTCTCTTCTGTCCAAAGTACTGTGCCTTTTGACCCTCCCTCCCCTTTTCTAATGTTTTGCACAGGAGACTGCGAACACACTCTACAGATGCTTAAATATTTTTTTAAGCATTGGTAAAAGCTAACAACTATTTTGGAGAAAGGGTTATGCTGGTTTCCTCAAGGTATATTTGTACCAACTAATTCAGAACGGAAAAGTGTAAAATTGAGGAATAAAAGCCTTTGTTAGGTAAAGACATGCTACTAAGCCGACTTTATCTTTTATCCGCTAAAACTTAGCCGTTCAATTTCAGAGAAAACAGATAGTCAGTTTTCCATGTCAAAATTTTTCCCCATTTATTCACTCTAAACGATCGGAAAGGGGATCATATATTTTTTTGTCATGTCGCAAGGCCTGTGTTTTGTGTAAAACTTAGGCGATGTCTCGAGATAGCTGCAGGTTTGCAGAGAACGCTGTGGCGCTGGGAATGTATCTGTCCTTGATAATCAGGTTCATTACATGCAGCACAAAGGTGACTTCACTTTGGTTACTCCAGGTACTAGTGCATAACGCAAAGCTTAAAGTTAGGATCTTGCCAAAAGTTTGCATCTGATCGGCGCGTTTGTGGGCATCTCTCTATCGTTAATTACGCTCAGGCCAGCCGTCCTTCTTTTGCGACGTCCACCCAGCAGCACTCTGTTATTCTTGATGAAGTTATAAGGTTCAAATACAGTCTTAAAGACCATAGTCGGGGAGAGAAGGAGTTCAGTTAACATGGTGTTTGAAATTACTTCTTATTATAAAGTGGGGTGCATTGTTACCTCTGGAGGACTGCGGCAAAAATACTTGGAATTCATGTTTTTCAAAACGCATGGTCATATTATTGCATACAGTGGCAAACAACGAGGCTGTCCATTAATAGGTGATGTAAATATTTTCACGTCAACAAAAAAGGCGACTACCTCAAATTTATTCCCGACATCTCGCATCTGTAGAGCTATACAGTAACTGTACTCGACACGAGATGGAGCATAAAAGAAAGCTGTGAGCTCATTGTCTGCAACCCTCAATGGTAAGTACGCCTTAGTTGCCGAAGAATTGATTCCAATTCAACCATCGTAAAGAGTTTTAATGCTAACATGGACTGGAATGCAAGGAAACCCAGACAGTTCTAGTCCCTGTCATTGGATAAGACGAAATCTGGGCATACAATTTCATGTCATAGTGAAAAAAGCATGGAAGCATTGGAAGTAGGCTGATTCAATGTTCATGAGGAAGTCGACCGCACCACAATGAAATGATTCTTGGACTTTTACAAAGGAATCTGCCCTTATTTCCTCAAAGACATACTGAAGCTGTAGTGATTTGTGCGAAATCAGGTTTCTTTTGTTTCACCTTTGCATTCTGATAGTGCCTTCCTTTCGGGTATCACACCTCATCACGCGGATACACTGAGCTACACCTACGCCCGTCAACCTCTCTCCTCCGCTTCGTCCGCCTCTGCCTCCAGCTCGCAGTCATGGCGACCGCTTGGAACTGCATCTAGTGGTGGAGCGAGAGGTGGTGGTGGGTCTGGCGCCTCAACTGCCGTCGAGGAGGCGGAAGACGATGCTGCACCTCATGTGGATACCTACGACAAAGCAAGTGGGGAGGGCGAAGACGAACGAGAAATCCTTGATGCTGCACCTCATGGAACTCTTGGTTTATATCGACTTCCACCTCCACCAGCAACTTCGGCAACGTCGAAACTGGCAAAGGGTGCGTCAGAATCAGTCATCTTCCTTGTGGATACTTTCGTTGTCCGCATAGACCTGAATGGATTCGATTTCAGGGAATCCATCCTCTCTGGTAGACCTACAATATATATTACTGTACGAAATTGTTAAGGTTCAGTAAAGCCGCTGATCACTCCACTTTTGAAGAAAAGGCGCAAACTCTTCGGGACAAATTTCGTGTTTTCAATCACGACTGGAAGTTATTTCACCTCTCGCAGCCTTTTCTTGTTGGCTCTAACACGGTTGTATGCGATTTTTGCTATGATGGGCAATATTTCTTTACTTATTCGGTGATTAACTTGATATCCTCATCCTCGTTTTAACTTCTTTTGATAATTTTCAAACATGTTCTATTCATTAACTGCTCACATTGGTGTGACAAGATGCTGTATTTCATCGTTCTCACCCGTAACACAGTCAATCAGGATAATTATTGCACCGCATCGCTTCGACTCTGTCTAGCTGTACGACTAGAATGCTAAGCATGCGCTCCACACCCATGCCATTTCAGGGATCCAGTTATAGGTAAAATAAATGGATTGTCTTTTACCTACCGCTAGATCTTGAGGCGTCCCTTCGCAACGAGTACTGCTCGTTGGGCCACAGCAGCCTTACCGCTTCCTCTATGCCTGTGCCCATCCCACCACCACAAACTTCCATTCCCACAAAATCACGGAATCGTGCTACAACTGCTACAAGTGGAGGTGGTGGTTGGTCGGCACGGGCCTCTTCCCCCTCTTCAACTCTCTCCTCTATACCCCTCATTGATTTCCATCAGAACTCGGAGGGTGCGGCCAAATTCCCGGTTAGTTGGGAAATCATTTATTCATGAAAATATCTAATGCTTTGCTTACTTGCCTCTATCTCTAATTCTCACTTGGCCAAATTTTTAGTGGTCAGTCTAGCCACGATTTCTCAGCTGAATGGCAAATTCATACGAGTGGTTAGAACTGAATCGCATATCTGATTCCATTCCTGATTCCCATCTCTTGCTTTCTGTTGCTGCATTCAGTCTAATCGGGAAAGCGGGGAGCAAATTAGTGAAATGCTTTTTTGACATTTCTCAGGAGGGTTTTCAATCCAGAAAGCGTAGATTTACATTGTAAGTCAAATTATCATTGATGAGGTTAAACATAATGTAAATACGGGGAATTAGGGCTAGAGTTTGAACTTGCAATCATTTAATTGCTAGGTTAAATCGAAGCGTAGATTTTCGATGAAAAGACTTCATTATTCATTTTCTGGGAATTGGGTGTCAAAACGGATTTCGTCTCCCTTGTCAAACCGCCCAGTTACACTGATGTCAGGTGGTTCATCTTCACCTCTCAACGCACCTCTAAATTTTTTCGCCAAGGTTTTTTAACTTCATTCAATGATGTTAAGTGAATCTCCTTTCCATAATCCCTTGGTTTTGGTTGTACACGAGCTCACTTCTCATGTAGTGTGAGTGCGGTTGCTTTTTCCGGTACCTTCGTAAATGATGAGCGATAGGTTGTCGAATTAGAAATATCGGCGAATGCAAGCGGCCAGCATGTGGTCGCCTAAGGTTACACACTTCAGCAGTCGCATAACGTCTGCATTCCCTAACTGCCGCTTATCAATTTTAAGGCGGGTTGACATTTGAGTCATAACGAGCGCCTATTCAGGCTAAAATGTCAGATTCTGTCCAACTTCCCAGTGGGCTACTGCTTTTGGATGATCAGGGGAGGAGAGGGGTGAAATTGTTACATCAATGACCTAATCACATGTCTGCTGAAAAACAATGCGATTGTTGTTATTGCTTTGTCGCGTTTAGCGAAGGCAAATATTGCCTTATAAGGTGGTGACATTAGCGCTGAAAGTTTAATGTGTCTGCTTGTCGTTCAATGGCTATGGAGAAGGGAAGTCCTTCAATCGCAATATTTTTTATAAAAAGAATAATGTGACATTGTACCTCTGCGTTTACACTATTGTTTTATTAGGTAAAGTCTGCGTACTGTATGGTTTTCGTTGCATGAAACTACTTCGTTAATCTTTCCATCATCTGCGTCATGTACAGTTGACGTGCCAACTTCATCTTTCATATTCCTTCTTGCTTTATAATGGATGGCTGTGCTGAATCGCACCCAGAACAAATCGGCTACGATGAAGATAATTGAACACAATCTAAATGTTCTTGTCTTCCAACCGGCAGTTGAGACGGTCAGTAGTTTAGCTGTGGTGTTAGTCCTTCATCTGAGACTTTGGCACAGGTGTTTGGAACTGATCTGCTGGGTTTCTCCATACATTAGTTATCAAGTGTCAGTCGGTATTGGAAGCACGCACATCTCATATTTTGTAACGAAAAGGGCATGTGAAATCGTTATGTGTCTACTCTGTGGTAGGAATGTCAGGAGCAATAGGTGCCATGTTTCAGCTACCACATACCAGCGGTCATTACGCATACCGCAGGCGGTAAAGTCTAAGCTAAACACTCCTGAAGTCATGATGACAGACAACGATGTTAAGATGTGTGGTCAATGAAGGTAGACATCAGATGCACCGTACAATCTTTCATATCTGCAAGCTGTCATGAGTGTTTTCTGGTTGGAATGTTAGGCAAAAGCTGAGGAATGCGTTTGTTGTCCATGGAAACACATTGTTGCACAAAACATCCACTCCAACTTTACTATTCATCGTTTTTTTCACCTATCATCTGGAGCCCACTTTTCCCCTTGTTTGAATGTTCAATTCATTTCTACTCATCCACTTTCATCTCAATTTTTCTTGCTTCTTATGCGTCTGAAAACTTGGGAACTTTATTCCGGCGTCAAATTATCGTGGAAACTAATCCACCACTATAAAGCAAAAACACCCATTAAGAAGGGAAAGTGTACCTCCACTCTAGATTTGACTCCTAAGCCTATTTTTGTGCTTATCTAAACAAATTAACTTTTACAACATTTCCGTGGCGGAACAAACTACATTTCAGCAATCTTCAGGCTGCTACGCTTGTACAATCCTTCTCAACCTCCTGATTTGTTTCCTTGCGGAAGCTGTCAGCTATTGTACTCAAGATTCCTGTACATAGCGGGTCCCATTTTTAACCCTCTATCACGTTTGGTGATTGTGGGTATTCGAGTGCAAGGTAACGTTCGCGCTTTTCTCCTTTGCGACGAGACATCTCTTCACTACAACTGGTCATTCTGCTAGGTATGAGATGCCACAATAGGCACTCACTTGAGGCAATTCGTTCGAAACCCGTATTGCGATTTTCCGCTTTAGTTATGTTTTTTGGTCTGCAATGTTAGTGAGTTTTTAAAATTAATAAAAGATACCTAAGAAACAAACTCTATTCCTTTATCTTCGTCGACGGAAGATATTTGCTATAGAGGCAGAATCGACAACTTGGATGAGTAGTGTTGATGATTGCCAAGAGCTGATGTGTATTCCTTGATTGTTTTGAACCGGTTTTGATGGTGCATCCGCATGGAGACGCCATTGGAATAGCTGCACTGATCCTACTTTAATGCGAATGTCATCGTTTTCCCCTCAGGCACCATACCGTCTATCTCCATGGTGTTTGACCTCGCTTCAATAGGCGCCTAGTCAAGCATATTCTGCCGTCAAAAGCTTCTGACTCATTTGCTGCGTTCACTAAGTCTACCCTATTAGCGGGTTAAGTAGTGCTGCGTACTTTTTTGACTCAGGTACCATCAGCTCCAATTTACCAACCACAAGCACCGCAGCCATGCAATCCCTACTTTCAAGCCGCATGGAACGCATGGATGCGTCAATCAACAGTCTCTCCCACCGCCGGTGGCACTGCTCCGCATGTCGCCGAAGACGTGGACCGTATTTGTCGCCTCTTCGATGCCACCGCCGTTGCACCGCCTGCCCATCAGCAGTGCGAGCGAGAGGTACTTGTTGGAGGTGAGTTAGGACGTTCTCTGAGTCCATTTGGATCTCAGAGGAAGATTTGATCCTCTTGAAGGGCATCTTTTAAAATAGCCTACAATTCGTTCTTACTCTCAATTCCAACTCTGCAGTTACATTTATATAATCTCTAATCTGTCAGACGTTTTAATGCGTGCAAAACTTAATCAGTCCCCTGAGTCGGCTTGTGGAGTTCTCAGTCAAAGGGGTCGTTGTGTTGGATCCAAAGGGATTAAATGCATTCTAGGCGTTTTCAAGGCAGTGCGGACAGTCTGTCTCGAGTCCTTTCAATTTTCGCCCTTTGTGAGCTAATTTACTCTAATCACGGTTCATTTGAGATGTTATGCAAGCCTTATAATTCTAGAGGCGGGTTCTCATATGGGTCAACTGCTGATTCTCTTCATGCATTTGGTCTGGAGGCAAAGAGCAATTTAAAAAGATGTCTTTTGATTACTGTCCCTTACTGTTATTTGAATTCTTCAGCTGCTGCTGTTCTTCCTTCTTCGACAAATTTGAATCCATTCCTTCCGTCACAATCAATGCATCTCTCTAAATCTGTGAGTTTGGGTTTATTTTTATTTTTCTTCCTTATTAACAATGGATTTCGTACGTGATGGTACCCCGGCATCTAGCTAATCCCCTTACTGACGCAATTTGTTTTTGCAAGACATTGTTTTGTCCTCTCGGAATTTCGGCAATCCAACCACGAAGGAGAACTTATGGTAGAATGTAGCAAGCACAAATAATGTCCTACACCCGGCCTACTTTGAATGCTCTAGACGGGCAGTGTGTGTCACGCGAATGGGGAGGTAGGGGGCATTACCTCGTGCATCATTTACCTAAGGAGGGGTGGGCTATAGGCGTGGCCTTCTACCACGTCACTAAGGCAGAAGTACAACCCACGTGGAAAGTGAAGAACTCATGCTATTTGTTGGTTCCACTACACATTCTCTTTTGAAGCACTGATAATTGTCACATGCTCAATAAATCAAATGTTACTAGTCTTCGCTTTGCTATAAAAGAAACTTCCTGGCATTGGACCATAAGGCACTTGTGACTGCCTTATTCTTGGCATGCACTTCAGGGCTGATCGCTTTTGCAGAGGGACTTATTATTCACATCCAGAAGAGTCGGCCTACCTTTCGCATTGATGCCCTTGAAGGAAATGTTGACTTGTTCATCAACTCTTAGGGGAAAAGAAAAAGTGCTAACAAATTGGAAGGCACTCATTATTTGCATGTTTTTATAAGTTGAAGGAACAACTCTCAATTTCCTGTCATCTGGATTTCTCCCACTGCTGTGAGTTTCACTTAACACAACCCAAAGTGGTGAGGCAGACCCTTTTCTCATCCTCTCTTTCGTCATCATCACTGCCATTTTTTTAACTTCAGTCAACTCAAATGGGTACTCTATCATTTCACCTCGGCAGCTATCTCTTCCTCTTAGTGGTGATGTTTTTTGAGCCTTGATAAAATGGGGAAAAAGTTGAAGGACTTTTAGTCGTTCTTGAATTTTAAGGCAGGACATCACAGCTCGGTAGGGTGAAATGCCTTCTGTGAACAGAACCTGATTTTGATTGTTGGTTTAGGCTCTGTTAAGGGGTCGTACTGGCTTTCGAACTCGTGAAGTCGTATCACGTGTTCGATTCCCTTGAAGGTTTCCATCTCAGTTGTGGGTGATGTCGAGTATCGAAAGGGAAGACACCTCTGGGGTTGAGAGTTAGCTCTTTCACTGCATGTCGTTTTGACTTGAACAAGTTGCTTGCATCGAGTTATTTGAAAATGCAAAACTACTTTTTGTTTGATAGCGTTGCAAGTTCCACAACACCAAGCCCCTCCACATTATTCCTGACTTCAACGCTCCCCTTCTTTCTTCAACTCCTCAATGAAATTCTTCATAAGGTGTATCTTTGTGTTTCTAGGTTTGTTCCGACAGTTGGGCTTGTTAGATTCAAAGGAGAAAATGAAGAGAGGCAGGAGAAACCTATATTCTCACCTCTCATTCCTCCCAACCTTTCCAACCTTTCTTCTCTCATCTCACCTAAGGGTAAACGACGTTCCTGTCCACTTGTTTGTCTGCTCACCTGCTAGCCTGATTCCTCTTATCGCCTCCCTTCCACTCACTGGTCAATCAGCACACATCGAGCAGTAGTTTGGTTTGGCTGATTTTTGACGTGATTTGAGTTTTAATTTATGTCCTGCCTTTTATCAAATTCTTCGGCTAGGTGCAGACGCCTGTGTTTGCAGAATTTGGTCAATTCGAAGTAGTAGTTGAAATGAGATTATCCTCTGGTAATGGTAAAGTGGAGCAAAACTTGTATGACGATTGGTCTTACGACCTGCTGTGTTTTTAAAGTCATTTTCTGTCGTGGCAGTTTTTTGCTGAATTCCTCTTTTTTTGAGAAGAAAAACAGCACTATCTTTCGATTACTCTAACTGTTTGGACTGACTTTACCAGTTTTTTTGCTTAATTTACTCGCTTGTAGTTTCATTTTTTGAACTCCTTTTGTGTTTGCTTGTTCTGCAGACTGGAGTCGGTTTTATGTCTTTTTTGAGCTTGAAAACTTTTTGCCGCGTCTCATTCAAGTTGTCACCTTTAATGAAGTTGTTATTTGACATTTGGGCACTTTTTATGCGGTTTGCGAGGAAAAGCTCGTCATCATAGCTCCCTTAGGGGGAATTTCTTCGATTGTATCCACACATCTTGAGATGAGCCTCCTTCAGCCAAGTTTTGCCTCTCCTCTTCGTTAGGTAAACAAAACAGTTTCAGCGTCTTTAAGATGGATAAGATTGAAGGTTTTCTGGCTTATGAGGCTGGTATGAATGCGGCTTTACAGATAGAGGAGGACGCTTTACCTCACTTTTATGTACGTGCATTTGAAAGAGGTGTGCTGGACGATGACACGACCAATCTTTTCGGGGTAGTTCAACGTCCTCTGTCTAGTCTTTTCTAATAATTCCTTCAAAAGTGGTCCATTATGTTCGAGAAGAGCCTCTATTCTCGACCTTAATAGTGCCATCCCAGAATTACTACCAACTTTAATGCAAAGTGAACGAAAATAGAATTTTTTGCTGCACCTTGTAACAGGAGAGATGAGTATCAGGCTATTGTGCCTGCGGAGCATGTCGCCTCCACTCCAAGTGCCTACTCTCCCACTGAATTGTGACTGGAAATGCCTTTTCCAGTAGAAGGAATACATTTTAGTCAACTCCAGATGATTCATCCCCTACTTGGCCACAATGTTGAGGCGCGCACCACTTCGTTTCCTGGACAGCTGCGTGATGCTCTGCGTACGCGATTGTTTTTTATCGAAAACGTAGGCGATTTGAGATTGTTCTCCTCTCCTAGTAGCAAAACCTCTAATATAATGGACTGTTTGTGGGTAAGCGGTTTTGTTTGACTTGCGGGAGGAATGCAGACAAGTAGATCGTTCCACTTATCTTTGGTGATCACACCTTCCTCACTCAATCAACGTCAAATTTCCGGTTTCATAGTTCTCCCAACCGAGGTTTGAAGGTGTGCCTTCCTAACAAACTCACTGTCTTTATTCCCTTCTGCATGCGGGCAAAATAGACACTGTTTTTTAGCCGATTCCTTTTGTCTGCTGTGCAACAATTTGACGTTCTTATTACTGCATTGTAATCCCTTTGTTTTGAAATTAAGTTTTCCTCCAGACAATATGCAGACGTGAATCCATTTTTCTCTCTAAAATACACAAAGAAATAATTGTAGGATGCCTTGTCTACTTGAATTTGTATTACGCGTTGATTCTTCTGCTTCTTTGCGATGTGAAAACAAGCCTTTTAATCGGACATTCATTTTATGTCTCTCCCAACCCCGGTTGTTTGCGCTGTTTTGCTTTCTTGCCTCCCTCCATTCCCCACTCACAACTAACGCTTTTCGTGTGCGTTTATTTGTTTTCAAATCGCTACCTTAATCTGCCTCTTCTGTTTCAGCAGTCTGCACAATCAACTCCAAACACTCACGAAGTCTCAGGCAAGTTTATGCATCTCCTTTTTTCATTATTCTGACGTCGGTGATTGCTTCATTTCATTTTCATTTCATAATCTCTTCATTTCTGTCGCACGTACGTAATTGGGTGTCTACCCATCGAGCTCCTCCCGAGGTGTATGTTAGACTCAAGGCGGGTTGAAGCACTCGCGCTATGCCACTTTGGATATGGTTCTGAAGGGACTTTGATGTGCAGGAATTGGGAGTTTTCAACTATGAACATAGTAACTGTACTTTTGCTTCTACTCCAAAGACTTGGAACATGTTTGATGGGGCATAGTGTCTGCTCTCAGTTTAGGCATAGGAGGGCGACTAAACTACTCGGTATAACCAGAGAGTCGTTTTCTGGTGTCTCCTGAATACAAACCTCTAGAAGAAATATGCCATTTTCCATTTTTGAAATTGGCATTATGGAGACTAGTCTCAATTGTCATAAAACTGAGATTCTAAGTGTCCTTATTTGTCATGCATTCCCGTGACTTAGGTATCAGTGTTGACTCAGTTCCATATTCTCTCGTCTTGCTGGAGTGTTTGAACTTTGTAGGTGCACTCACGAGAGGTGTTGCCGATGTTTGTGTCTACTTGGTGCTGCTCGTAGTACCACCAAAGCAGAACTCTTTTTCTTACGAACTGTACTAGTTGAAATAGTGGTCTAAGGGCCACCCATATTAAGGAAAATTAATCCCTGCAATTAAGCTTGATTACCTATTGTCGTTTTCTTTGTTAGAATCGGGTGAACAGCCCTCCTCTACCACGAATTCCCCCGCTATGGCAAAATTTGATGAGGCAGAAGTGGAAATGGTCGTGCGTCGTCTCCCTGGCGGTTGTAGTTCTGCAGAGGCCCTCGAGGCTCTCAACTGTGCCATCAACTCGCCAACTGCGCGCGACATTATCCACCTGCACTCGCCCCCTCCCATCACCGACGTGATGGCCCCCGAAGCTCGTGATTGGCGTGTCAAAGTGGCTTTACGTCTCCTCCTCCTGCGCCGATTGGTACAGCTTCAACTGTGTACTGATCTAGAGGTGTGCTGGTCGGCTCTGGAGAAGGCTGAATGGTCGGTAGAGCGGGCGGTCAATTTCCTCATCTATGGCTAATCTTGATTTCTTGATGTCTGCCTTTCGTAATTTCACATATATGTGTCCTTTCTTTCTTCTCTTATGCTTTCAACTCCATCTTTGGTTTCCCATCTTGTTTGCGCCTCTTAAGACTTGGTGTAAATATGATTATTTCACTTATTGGCATTAAAGAAGGAAGATGCGATGTTATTGTCTTTATTTGTGCTGCCTGAGAATGATGCTAATCGCTTGAAAGTCTTAATGCCATCCTCTGGCTTCTACTTTGTTCATGCCTTTCTCGAATACCAGTTCTTCTTTGAGAAAAAAATTTTGGCCATGTTGATTGCTCGATTCTTCTGGGTGGTGTAGGCACTGCGAGTCATCTTTCCTGATACGAGTTTTTTTTGTGATTCTCCTCCGGAGGGGTAAGGAAGTAGAATTTGCATTGATTTAAAGGGATGCGGGACTTCTCGGACCTTCATTTAATTCCCATCGCGACTATGAAACAACTTTTACAAAATGTGGGGATAAATGGACGATAAATTGTTGTTGGATTTGGGCACTGCAAGTTACGAGCCACTTCTGCTTTGCCAACGCCACATTTCTGTTCACCGCTTCACGGAATCACCTTGGCTCGTCTTCGCTATAAGATAATTTTTTTTTTAGTTTGAGGGAAATTCCTTTCTATCTATTAACTCAAGTTCGTTCAGAAGTGGTACAGAACGGGGTGATTTGGGAGAGGATTTTCGCAACACTAGGCATACGAAATGTTGTCGGGATAGTTGAGATAGCTTACGATTGGTTTGATGGCAACAGTGTCGTGTAAAACAAAGGTCACTTTTATTTATCATCTTCGTAGACAGGAAAGATATTGTGTTTTTTTTTGAATCAGTATTACTCTACGGAAGTCAAAAATCGTTTGGAGAATAATCTCTAACCTACCTTGATTTAGGGCATGTTGGGGCGGCAGTTAGCAGTCTCCGACTAGGCCTAGAAGGCGGAGGAGGAATAGACATTTACTATTTCAAGTTTTGCCTTGAGAGCTCACTTGAATTTCACAGTTTTGTCACAAATTAAGGCCTAGGTGTTCTAACTTCTGAGATCCGTCCTTTCTTTCTCGTTGGGTCTATTTGCACTCACAAGAACACAGCTACAAACATTGGAGATGTCTTTATGTCCTCAGGATGTGCTGTGCATCCACAGCATGCTCTCCACCACAGCACGCAGGTTCTCCTTCAGTGGTCCAGTGCATGTCGTAGTCATTTTAACCTTATGGCTGACAAGCTATTCCTTCTACCTGCGAGGAAAGCTAGGCTCGCACGTGGAAACAGCCACAACTCCTTCGGAGGGAACCGATCATTGCTGTCACCCTTTCACTCTCACTATTCCTAACCAGACGTGAGGAAGAAATTATTTAAACCATGTTATAAATCTCTAAAATGAATTTTAATGTTGCTTTATTAACTAACCAAGTTTTGTTATTCATAAGAACTTTTTCCACTGCATTTCATTAAAATTAGTGCCCCTCCCTATGTTTTATATCCGCTTGATGGGCTTTTTCGGTTAGGATGGGATGGCTGAGAGGAGGTGAGAGCTTAGAATGGGATGAGATGGGAGTCAGTTTGTGCTCCAGACATCCTCAGTTCCGCTCGAAATATCGGAGGATCAGAGCTGGCTATGAAGTGCTGACTTTCCGACTTCTGTCTGCTTTGGCTGCAAAGAGACTTTTAGAGGTTTTCTCATCTCAATTAGTGTTCACATTCATTACTTCCTCTCTGTGGGTTACTACCACCGTTAAGAAATTCTATCTACTTGCAAAAGTGGCAATACCTCAACTCCTTTCGTTTTCGTTGGACTTAAGCCTCCCACCAACTGTTTTGGCATTTCCTGGATTGTCAGATGGGTATCTCTATGGCCAGTGCACAGGAGGCATGAATTAATCTTCTTTTTGTGTTTACACTTCGCACTTTTATTGCTTTTTTATTTGAGACAAAAATAGGAAGAGGTAGGTTTTAACTTTTAGGCTGAACGGAAATTCGTACATTTCTTATCAGAGTGGCGACTGACTCTTCAATTTTGTTTTCACTTATCTTCGCTTATTTTGGTCTATGCTTGACTTCACTGATACGAACTTCAATTGGTGACTTTTAATCCATTGCGAAAATTGAGTTGTCCTGGAGATGAAAGGGACTCCATTTACTATGCTAGCCAACCAGTGCTTTTCAAGCTGTCTTCGTGACCCTTATTGGTTTTCACTTTTCCAAGGTCAAAACCTCATTTGTCAGTTTTGGACCAATTAAAGGTTAGGAATTTAGCTATCTTTTTCAAGACTTCCGTTGACTCCAGCATTGTATATTCACCGATTTCCTTTTCTCAAGGGCAAAATGTCAAAGTATTGTTGCCATCCTTTCTTTTTGTTCTCGTGGATAATTTATTTCCTGACGTTCTATAGGATTCTGTGCATATCCCCGATCTGAAAACAGGAAACGGTCTTCGTATCCCTTGTATCGGTTTAGGGACTTTCAAGGTAATGTGCATTGGCATTCTATCGTTCCTTTCTGAGATCAATAAAGGGTCGAAATCTAGAAAATTTTATTTTGACATTTAGTCATTTTGATTGCTCATCAAGGTATATTTTTGTGATTTTACCATTCTAAAGGATTTACTCGCGTGAATAAGAGTTTACTCCGGTGCCATACGCTTCTATCCTGGCGGTATAACATTAAGCCTAGGAATTCCAGAGGCTAAGCCAAAGAAAATCTGCTTTCCTCCCTGTCATTCGAACCGGGCTAAATGAAGGGATATTAAGTCTTGGTAAAGCGCTCATGGGACTCATGATAACCACTTTCAGGGTTCGTGCGTCAAAACCTCATTCTTCGTTTCACAATGCTCTAGTGAAGTGTGAGCTGGGCGTTTATACGCAACCTTCTTTGATCAGTCGTTATTGTTATTCACTTATCCATGGTTTTCACAGGCAGTATTCAAAGTCCACCGAGGAAATAATAATAATGTTTAACAACGACATTATCAACGACGTTGCGGTGCGCTTTTCGATCAACTTCAGTCCCTCACTGGAATTTAAATAGACCCAAAATTGTTCCAACAGCCAATCTTCACATTTTCAAAGGCACATCAACTGAATTTTGCTATTCTTTACCTTCCCAGTTGAAGGGTGATGACCTCACGACGGCTATGAACGCAGCTCTTGACTTGGGCTATCGTTACTACGATTGTGCGCATCTCTACGCAAACGAAGCCGAGATAGGTAACCACTTGAGCGCCTGGATTCACTCAGGGCGAGTTGTACGTGAGGATCTATTCATTACTTCGAAGGCAAGTCTTTCATTCTGCCATTTTGATTCTTGCGCTTACAACTGCAAGATCCTACGGTCGTTTCGTGGAGAAATTTTCCAGGCTTAATCGAAAATGCATGGGTCTGTTGCACTTATATTACAGCGTTTCTGAACTTTAAAGCCTTCACGAGAGTTGTAGCACTCATTTTTGAGGACAACTTCAGATGACGAAGGCCATGTGTTCATTTGGCTGGAGAGGGTGCACTGCCCATGAAAGCATCTCAGTTAATGGATGAATTAGTGGGTTCCTTTTTGTTGGCTACTGCATTTAAGCAAATTATCATCCGTCAAGCCACCCGTCCCATATTCATCCATATGTCTGTCCATTTTAAAGCACTTACTAATTGTTTCGGAACTAATGAGCGAGTTGGTAACAAATAAACTTCGAGATGAGGTGTTTGTGCGTCTGAACTTCTTTACCCCACTTTAGGAGTGGGAAATTTGGTTTAGCAAAGCACACTCTTCCTTGTACGGTGTTCTGTTTATCGGCTTGGTGATTTATCGTCTCTCAAGAAAAAAAAAACTTTAAGTTGTCACCACTATTACTTTACCGTCACCCTCTGTTGTGTTCATAACATTGTCAACTTGTTCGCATCACATCGTCTTCTCGTGAATACTCTGTCACATTGTCAGTTTTGTGTCAATTTGTCTCATAAATTTGTTGGCAGTGGACAAAAGGGAGTTAACTTTGGCAGTGTTCCGAAACCTCTGCTCTTTGCGAGATTAAAACGCATCAATTTTACAAGAGGGAAAGAGAGGCTATTTTTTACGCGTTTTTAATTGCGATTGTCGTCTGAAGTCATTAATCTAGAGTCACTGGTTGGCTTAAGTAATTGTACTTTCGCAGTGGGCCTGTGGACACGCAATAGGTAGGAGCCATCGGGCGGGTTGCCCTCGGCCCTGACCTAAATGAAGGTGGGGCTTTAGGTTTCAATTGATGACTTCTAAGCATACGACTTAACTCATTGAACAATTTAATTTATTCGTTAAAATCTTCGCTGAATGTTTTGTACCGATATGGCTGAATTTCGTTAATGCAATGTCCACTTTCCCTTGCCACCACTCTTCGCAATCAACATACATCCAATGGCCTTTCTAGTGAGCACAGTGCTCTCTTCTTTGCCCCACTAGAGAGTCAGCCCATTCTTCCACATTGCCGCATTACATCCTGGTCCACAGGCGACCGGTGACTATTGATGTGTGGTACGACAGACAAGGAATCTATCGTTTTTTTCAATCCTCCCTCCTACCTTCTAACTACCCCATTGACATTTGCGATTGCAGTTGCGCTTCCCACGTGGTAAAGTAGTATGACACTTACATTTGAAGCCATAAGAGAAGAGAAGTTTTAGATAGGACAGGCTTCTTCCCACTGACTTAAGATCGATCCATGGGGGACATGAAATGTTTCCTCTGCACTATTACTAGAAATGAGGTCTTTCGCCCCCCTGATGAATAGCTCGCACCACTTTAAGTACGTTCTCCTTCCTTTTTCTAACATATGACAAATGTTCTAAAGCAAAAGCTGGGAAATTGGAAGATAATTCTACTCTCCTCATCCCTCTCTTCCGATGCCTGCAAAGACAACTTAGGCGGACGCATATTTGTGTGATGGTGGATGTAGCTTGCTTTCATTATCATAGCGATAGAGATGAATTTCCCCTCTTTGAGCAAACTCCTTTTAAAATCTGCGATACGCACACCACACGATCCCCTTGAGATCGTCATAATAATGACCTGGCAGTTTTTTGAAGAATATGAAAGAGTTCTAGAAATGTCCTTTTTTCATCCAGGCGGCATCACTAACTTAGTCAGCATTTCATCTGAAAATCTGCGCCTTGATATTTTTATTGATGTATTTCTTTTTTATAGCTGTGGAACACCTTTCATCGGCCAGACTTAGTAAAGGTTGCCTGTGAAACATCAATAAAGCGACTCCGAGTTGAGTATTTGGATCTCTATCTCATTCACTGGCCAGTTCCATATCAGGTAACAAGTCTCCAACTGAAAACTATTTTTTCTCGTTGAATTATTCGGCATTGTTCCCCATAGCCTGGTGAAATCATGGTACCAAGAGATGCTGCTGGAAACACACTGTTTGATGAAGTGGATCTCTTGGATACCTGGAAGGTAGATTTGATAATTTGGTCTTCAAAACACTTCTACTTATTTATATTCAGTAGCGACATGTTACTATCGTAATCTGCAGGCCATGGAGGATCTGGTGACGCTGGGATTATGCCACCATATTGGAGTGTCAAACTTCAATGTGAAACAGATTGAACGAATCCTGTCGAATTGTAGAATTCCACCTGCAATGCTGCAAGTCGAAAGCAATGCAACTTTCCCCAATCAGCCACTCATCGACTTCGCTCATTCTAGAGGCATCCCAGTAACTGCTTATTACGCTCTCGGCTGCCCCTACCTCCATTTGTGAGTCCGTCAAGTCCCTTCGCCATTCATTTAACTTCAACGTAACCTTCAAGACTGGTTGTTTTCCAAGCAAGCGAGAGGTTATTCCATTAATGGAGCAGCCATTAATTCTTGAATTGGCCGACAAGTATGGCAAGACTCCTGCTCAGATTGCTCTTCGTCATGGACTTCAGCGAGATCTTTGTGTTATTTTCAAGAGCAGAACACCAGCCAGACTATCTGAAAATCTACAAGTAAAAGGGGGTAACCTACCTTTACCATCCAAACCTGTTCACATTCAACGTTTCCTTTTTTCCTGCCAGGTATTTGACTTTGAGCTCAGCAAAGAGGACATGAAACGATTAGAAGAACTAGGCAGTGGAACTAGAGTGCTTAAAGGAGCCGCGTAAGCTATTACTAGCCACAGGTTTTAATCAGTTAAAGCGATATCGCGTTGCATATTTCCCATTTCAGCATGCGGCAGCACCCGGAGTTCCCATTCGCGGACGACGCTTAACTGCGAGTCTTTCGGATTTATACCTACGCTTTTAAGGCATCTTTTGTACGCTAGCGTTTAAAATATACTGATTGCCTGTCCACTTTCCGGTGGAGCTATCGCTGGTCTAAACTTTAACGTTTGCGAAAACTTGCGCACTCCTACCCAAATTCTTGATAAGTCGCAATTGTAAGGAGGACTTATTATAAATGCATGGTGAAGATAAGTCGCTCCTATTGTAGCACAACTAAGTCCGCACGGAGATGAGTGATAGGATGTGTTTGCTATGCACGCTCGTCCTCATCTCCCAGCGAAGCAAGGAACGCGTTCTCTTAAAGCAGATCACCTCTTCAGTGCGTATCAGCATTTGATTTGCAGATCTAGTGCAACGCCACTGGTCAGTGCACATTGAGCCCGACAGTAGCTGATAGAGCCGTCGAGGACAGGACGACTGGGAAGAGACCTTTATTTCATCCAGCACAGCCTTAGAGGATCTCTTCTCTCCACTCCAGGTCGGATACCTGAAAAAAGTGACGACCTGTAAGGAGAAAAAGGTAGCACTTTATTTGTCCTTGTTTCACCACACGTCAATATCGTTGGAAGTGATCCCAATTAGCTACAACCTAAAGATCCAGAAAGAGGAAAGATAAGAATCAGGAATGAACATGCTATTATGACTCATGGAATCGTATTCCGCGGGGATTAAGGTAGGATCCTTCAACCGATCTTAGCGACAAACTAATAACAAAGTGTTCCTGCGACATCAGAAATTGAGAGAGCGCCGTAAGAGTGAGTGACTCTGACCTGGCGGCCGAACAGGCTCACAATGAAAACAAGCGCCTGAACACCACCGAAGGGCGGAATGTTGTGTGCTGAGTTGAAATTGGGTACCTCGACAGAGGGAAATACAACATGGGATAAAATTAAGAGTGCCGAAGAGGAAGCAAAGCCGGCCTATTCTAATCCTACATTTCCAAGGTTATACACTATAAATTAGGAGGAAGGTGCAAAAATTTAGTGACAGGGAGGCACACGAGACATCCAAGTTTTTGGTACGCAGAATGTTTTTCAGCTCCACACAATTTAAATGCCCTAACTGGGGGGTAGTTTAGCCTTATTGGAACGCAGATTTGTGAGAGGAGGTGATAGTAACAATGTTAGAAAGGAGCAGACTTTCTTTACGGGAATCTCCCCTCTATAGAGCCTAATTTTGCAGACGAAAAAGAGGCCCAAATCTTATTGCAGAGCGTCGGAGAGGCCTGGGAGTTCAATTGAGACACAGACGCGCCTGACTCAATAAGAAAATTGTGTGAATGACTTCGCGCTAAAGACTAACATAAATGCCTAAGAATCATTAAAAAGTGGGAGGAAAATAAGAGAAGCGCGGCTCACCAAGTTCGGGCGTGGAGAGTACGGCCGTACGTCTCCGTATGGCGGAATATGACCACCTTTCAGATTTATGACGAAACGGTCAAAGTCGAAACTCTTGACATTGTTTTGCTGCCAAATCAATCCTTTATCGAAGCCTGTTTGTTTTCAGGTTTACCTGATCCTTCGACAGGAAGGTTATGCGAATTCCTGTTTTAAACTGGATAATCACCTGTGTAGAGGCCCCGTTAGAGGCGCGAACCCATAAGACTTAACCAGCTAAGAAATGAAGATGCGTAGCGAGCTTTTCGTCTTCCTTGCTAGGTGCTTGGTGGCAAGGAGTGGTCCCATTGGTCGAGGATCACCTGAGCCAGGACTTCTCAACACTGGTAGACACCTTTTACTACTTTGTACTGACGAAAAACCTCTTTTCTCAGGTAAAACCTAAATTATGTTTTGTAGTTACGAGCCAATCCTCAAAACCTGTTTATCATTCAAGGAGGCAAGTCCGCAGACACTGCCACTGGTGCAGGCCCATCATCGTTACATTCTGCACACACTCGATAGGATTCGGGACGATGTATAGCATATAAGAAGAATTGTATACAATAATACTGAGGCGCAAGGAATTTACAAGGGAGAGGGACACCTAAGCCCGCCCCGAAGCGAAGCAAACGCCCTGGAGAAGCTGCACCCAATCAGAAGCCTAGACTCAACCCGGCGCGGTATATTTAAACAAGGCACGACACACCATTATTATTATTCCTTAGAATTACCGATCTCTTGCATGTAAGGTTTATTTTATATACCATTTTTAATTTGCCATTACAAAATGACATTCCAAAACTGCTAGTTTGGTATAGGAGTTTCACGGGCTTCGTGTGCATATTCACTCTAAGTACGCCAAGGTTACTTCGTATCTCAGCAACCAAATAAACCTTATTTATGAAGAGCCTCATGCAGTAGAATAACTCATAGGTACATATTTCTGCACCCTTGCCTCCGGTCACCAATTACAGAAAGCGGAATACTCCAATTTTACAATTTTTCAATCCACTTTGCAATTTGATTACTTAATTCTTGTAAGCATTGCAACTGCGGTGTCCCGAGACTTCCTATAGGATGGAAGAAGGCAGTCAGTGAGGGTGGAACATGTATCCCGAAGGAAACAAAGCAAATGGTGTTGGACATGGTCCGAAGACCAGCACACATGTACAAGGGCAGACAACTTCTAAATCAACCGCCAAACATCAGATAGTCACACAAACAAAGCACCGCAGCAATAAGCGTGTAACCTATATACTTTTGCTTAAGTTTATTGGATAACATTTAAATCTACATCAATCCGCATAGTGAGTGCTAAATGTTGTCTGAGTTTAATTAAACCTCTCCCTTAAGTGTTTCCCATTACGTTTTGTGAATTCACTTTAACCTTTTGCATTGTTTTGACTTATCGTTAACATTTCTGCTTACGCGCTAAAACTCTCGACTGTATTAACGACTTAGCAATAACGTAAAAGTAACATTTTGTCTGGAAATGGTGTAGAGTATGCGGAAAAGCTGATTCTAGGAAAGGGCGTGCCTCTCAAGCACTTGCGGGGTTAGCAATCCTAATAATTTGTGTGATCAGAAGGGGCTAGGGCCTTAGATACTTCGGGGATTGTAGACACTCGAATCAATAATCGCCCTGGCTGCCTCTCCATAGGCTCATTGAGACCTACACTCGATGTTGCTTCTGCTTGTATTGTCTTTTGTCTTGTCATTTGCAAATGAGAACCGTTATAGTTTCCCGTAACCATAGTGACGGCTAAGCTAGCACTGCCGATTCGACGCGCCGTTAAGTTTACCAACGTCCTTCAGGCTGATTTTCCGTTTTCGTTGGTCTCTGACGATGATTCGCCAAAATGATATCAAGTTATCATGATACTAAGACTATAAGCATGATCTAGTGGTCATTATTTCTATTCATAAGAAAAATGACTTAAATTTGTGTGCGAATAAAGCCGAACTTTGAGGAGGAACAAAAGTTGCTTAAAGCATCCAAACAACGATACAGCGTTGGGGGCTACGCTTTACAACACATTCGGTATAGTTACAGGCCGTGGACCCTGTGTTAATTTTTAAAGACACGACAGTAATGCTGTCTTAACTTGTTTGTAAAGATGGCTTTAAAATGTAGTTGATTTGTTCAACTAACGTTAAATTTTCCCATTCTCTTTATTGAAAATAAACCGCCACTAATCAATATTAATGAGCCATCAGTGCTGTGATTGGTTGCGAATCACAGACATGTGGGACGTGCATCGATTTCCCCGGTAGAGCGGAGCATGTAAATGAACATGAACTGCGCTCACCCGGGAGTAGCACTTAGAAGTGCGATAGCTAGGCCTTCTCGCCATGAAGCAATCTCACAAGTAGTGAATTTGTTGCTTCTGCTGCTGCAGGGTGTGACACATCAGCGCTTGGATTGGCAGTTTACGATGGAAATGGCATAAGATTTTGTGACTCGTTTTTTTTCGCGTCATTATCTATTTATCATTATTTAAGTGACCTCAGGAGTAAGGGGTTATTTTTCAGATCAAGAAAGTGCAAATTTCTTAAACGGTGATCTTAAATTTATGGACCAGTAAGTCTAAATCCCTGCATAAGACAGGTTTGGACTCGAGTCTCGACGACTGTGTCTGAAACATTTAAGTATTACGCGTGAGTCATACAAATAATCCTTTCATATGCATGCTTTGTATAAATGCTCAAGGCGGCTGATTATGCGTTGACGTAGTAGTTACTTTTGTCCGAAAAATCGAGGTGCATTTATTCGCCTTCCTGTTCATGCTAGATGGTACCTGCCAATTCGATGCCTTACCTTTCGTTCCCAAAACTTATTTAAATGTTTTTAAATCTCATTTTTTTTGTCTCGGCTTAGGTTTAAGCATTTTGAACTGCTCCTTTATCATAATGACGCTATTGGATCGTAATTGCAGCGCCTAAATCATGGCATCCCGTTTTCCATTATCCATCGGCTTATAACATCTTCGGATGGATATCACAAGGGCTCTGCAACACCTCGAATTTGTAAACTGATGTAAAACTTCACTGTTTGTTACAGTTTTACAAGTTGGAACTCCTTATAAGAACTCAAAAAGAGTTGGTTGATTGAGTATTTTCTTTGCGGTACCTCCCCCTCCCTCTCCTCCCACTACCCTTAAGCCTGACTCGAATTTCGAAATGCTCATTAATAAACTCTCCCACGAGGGGTCTAGTTGTGGCATGCAAAGACACAGTATTGCACGAAGGCCAGACCGTAGCGAACCACAGCATCGATGCATGCTGAAATAATCATTCTTTCCTCTTTCTAATTCAATTCCAAAGTTTCAGGTCATCGATGTAATTAAGCTGAAAAGTGGTTGGTTCCTCACCCTAATCATAACTTTTACGAGGGACTAAGAAAGATCTTTTGAAGTCGAAGTTACAACTTCTAGATTGTCGAGACCTCCCACATCAATGGATCAAATAGTCATCCGTTGAATAAAATTAAAGCCCAAACCGAAAGACACTTTCATCATTGTATGTAGCTGTCGGTTGCGCTTTTGTGGTTTATAGGGCATCCATAAGTATTTAAAAAGACAGTGTCCTTTTACACCGCCTTTTTTAGCAAATTATAATAAATAGCTGAAACAATGAGTGCCAAAATTAGTTTGACATATACAATACTGTTTGAAACTTCGTCTAATCACAAGATGAGAGCAAGTCAGGTGAGAAGTTGCAGCGAAAATCGGAATCACCTTTCGCAACCTTTGAGACGCGGCTAGTAGTTTATTTTCCACTGACGCATTTCGAGAACCTCCGTTTCGCTGGCGCTGTCGTCTGAGTCGGCAGCGTCCCCGTCTGCAAGCAAACGCCGCTGATCACTTCTGCTGTCAGCTGCGTGGACTGGGGGATTCCTTAGTGGAATGCCCATTATGGCGGCTGTAATGCAGATAAATCCAAAAACACAATTTATATGCCAGATAAAGATTTGGGTCGCACGTGGGATGCTCTCGATTGCCATCTCATCCCAGGATGGAAGGGAGGTTATCGGAGGATATAGAATGGCTCCAACCTATTAAAAGATGTACAAGTTGATATGAAGAATAGACACAATAGAGAATGTCCACCAACTTTTAGCCTTATGACCTACTTGCCAGAACCAAGATCCCTGGACTATGATGATGAGGGAGCGAACTAGACCAGCTGTGAGCGAACGGAGGAAAACTGCCTCACAGAGACCAACTGCGATGAGGACAATCAAAACGTAAATAAGAATAGTGTGCACGTAGATGTCTGTAGGAGTTCTTCCGTGCAAATGAAAAGCGAAAAGGACGCATTCGGTTGCAACAGCAAGGAAATTAAAGAAGTAATCACTGCATCTAAAAGTTAAAACTGGTTAATGGAATCTAAAAGCATAGAAACAGGTAGAAGCTTAAGCTGAATTAGACTATAACGCACCTAGGAAATCCAAATACGTGGTAAAAATTCAGTAACTCAAAAATGCCAGCAAGCATAAACATAGCGAACATCGTGGAATGCTGCGCATTAGTGAGATACTCGAATTTTCCATCATGGAACCCAGTATATACCTCCCCGGTAATACCAATAGCACAACAAATAGTTTTTAAAAGAGAATCCAGAGGAAATTCTTTCCCTCCACAGCAGCATCCGCCTTCGCGGCAGTGGATAGGAGTAGTGAACTGATTTTTGTAGATCGGTTCAGGGTGCCCAGAGAAACCTAGCTCATATTTCTTTCTTCTGTAGTATTTCTTTAGCTGGAATATGGTTGACCAGATACCAAACATCAAGAAAAAACTCCCTGGCAGCGCATGACCAGCGAATGTACCCATCGCGCAGAAAACAAAAATCTCGACTAATAGCAAGGTCACTTAATCATCTAAAGGTACGGAGGTATACACAAACAAGCCTAGCCAAATTTGTTGCAAATATGATCAACTTAAATATCTGTGTCAGATAACACCATTCTATGCTAAGCACACGCTTAGACTTCCTCAAAACCTTAAATAAAGGCCATTACAGTTGTTAGGGTTCTACTGCAAAATAACTTCTCCTTGCCGGATACACTTTTGGAGTAAACTGCAGTTCTTCGGATTCAGCGTCAGACCTGCTTCCCAAAGGCGATCCAGTACTAATCGGAAGTTGGAGGTATGTTGGTTGATGTCATCTGTGTTTCCATAAATCGCCGCTCCATTCATTGGCCTTCTCTCGACATGAGATGGACATTTGACCTTAACGTCGCTACCCTCCTTAATATCGTCCTTTGATCCTAATTTGTGCCAGTTTTAATAACATTATTCAATGTTGGAAATTTTGCCTCCTGATACTTCTCGTTCGGTAATAGATGGCATAAGTCTTAAATGAATATTTGTTTTTAGGCATAAAACCTAGAGGTGGAAATTGTTTTAGCTCGAGGAAGTTCGGCCGACATAGAGTCAACTTCTCAATATTAAAGATGAATAAACTGTTGTAGACGACTTAAAGGAGGAGAAAAGCTTAAACTTTGCCTGGTCCGAAGTCCAGTTTGCGCAGCCAAGAACAAAGTGAATGCTTAAGTGACCACCAACTATTCAGGCAGTCGAATCGTCAAAACATTTTAGCCACTATAGTGGGAATATTGTCTAATGCCCCAAGGTATCAACATTCCTTCTTAGATATGAAAATCGAGTACATGTGCTTCTCTAAAATTATGTGCTGAAAATTTTCTTGAGTAGAACGAGAGTTACTGTAGTGTAATGCTTCGTTGATGTGGTCACCCTTATGCATTGCACGTGTGAGTTGGTCTGCCGGCTTATTTAAATCTTCATATTTCTACCAAAAATGTATGTATTCTACCTTACTTAACGCCTTCTTATACTTAGTGAGAAGTCTCAGAACACTACATTGGTGGCAACGGAAATGGATTCCTACTTTGCTTTTACGACATCTACTCACCGAAAATCTGGCGGTTATTCTGATCATCGGTTGGTCCTTGTGAATCTGAGCCGGTCTCCGGGTCGCGTCAGGGTTCACCCTTTTTTTCTCTTGGAATAAAAGTATTCTGTCCTACGTGATGCCTTCGTCCACCTAAAGGAAGTCTCAGGACGCATGTGCTTCAAGCGAGAGATTTTCAAAATTCTTCACAACAAAATGTTGTCTGCGTTTGGCTGTACCTCATTCCCGTTTTTTACAGACGCACTATTAATAATTGAAGCCCTTACACCATTTACATGCAGGTGTCAGGGATAACTCTACGCCGATGCTTGCTGTAATTGATCCCGCCTTTCCTCTTAAACATATGTGTAAGAGCTGCCTGTCTACCCCTGGTCCCTGATCCTCAGACTTCAAGAGGCAGTTGTTTGCAGACGATTCATTAGGCATTGTTGTTAGGAAGGATGGGGAATGGGATACAAATGAGGTGAGTAGAAGATATCAATTGCAGGGAGACTACTCGCCGGATTCACATATGTGATTCGAGCTCCCAATCGGTTCCCGCCTCTCACATATCAAAGTTCACTTAAAAGAACTAGTATATATTCCAATATATATTCGGTTTTCGGTCCAGCATCTAGTCCGGGGCAAGATTAATGTCCATTATGCGATTCCTGCTTATAGGTCTAACGTGATTTCAGATCAAATTGGCTCTTGGGTAGTTTTTTGTGGCGCTGGATATATTGCGATGACCAGAATGAGAGATGTAAGAGAGGCATTGCTGTCTAGGTCATTTAAAAGGATGGACGACAATGTACTCCTTCGCTTAGATACTAAGCCTGATGTATGACTACTGCTTTGGTACTCATTTGGCTATTGCACATACGACAGTCTTTAGGCTATGTCAAATTCCACTGATTATATTCCTCAAGTACATGTAATCAAACCGATTGAATGCCTTTTGAGGTGCCTCATAACGCTACATATTTATTGTGTTCGCCAAATGGATACTTTTAAGTAATGCAAACTCAATCGCGACAAGGTCACTTGTTGAAATGGCAAGACCTCTTTGAGCAAAACGTAAACTCTTCTAAGATCAAAATTTTGCTCAGTTAGTCAATATTTTCTTGGTTTTATTTTACCAACATTATTTAATTCGATAACTTTAAATATGCTCTTTACTACTCTCTCTTGACCTTGGTACCACAGCAATCAATTAAAATCATTCCCTCTTGGTCTTCGGTTCCCTGATTATTCTTCGCTTTCGAATTTGGTGACTTTTCTATTTTTATAGCTGATTTCGACAATGATCCACCGAGAATCAAGACAAACTTGCACACATAACACTACAGACATTGCCATTCAAGCGTAAGAAACTAGTAGTTATTTTGCTCTGATCAACAAATTCCTTCACTATCGTGAAATTTCAATATTTGTTGGCGTTACGGTATTTTCCACTTTAAACAAGTAAAGATGCAGTTGGTTGTTGCTTTTGTTCCTATTTATGCCTTTGTGCTGATAGATTCTATGATCGTTGAAGAACATATTCTGCGAATATACTTTTTCCTTAAGTGTAAATGAACGACACACCGGTTTCCTGTAACTTGAGATATTTCTTAATTCAATGCCGATTAGCACATTTTCATCATTAATCGTCGTAATTATCTGTGATATTTTCTAGGGTCTGTTTTAACCGCTTTTCAGTTTTGCAAGCCTTCCTTTACGACTTGAGTTTGTGCAAGCTTTTGTCAGAGCACGAGGTTGTTGTCAAAACTAACCTATTATGCAAGGTGCTTCCTCATTTGAGTCAGACTCTTTCTTGACTGCACCTCATTACATAGTCATGGGAATTTAACCGAGATCTTGCAATATTTCAACACCGCATTTCCCCCAAGAGTGAAATTCTTTTATGTTTTTCCTGACCTTTAAAGAAAAATGAGAGTGTAAAATAGCTAAACATTTTTTATTATATAATAAACCCAATCCACTTCGTAACCAAACTGTTCCATAAATGTAAATGATCTAATTTTGAGAAACTCGACTTGTTAGTCATTGTTCATTATTTTGCTTTTCTGCACGATAATGGTGATTAAATTTTTGGAGAGGTATCCCAAGAAAATGGGACTGTTAATTTCTTTGTCTGTGTATGTTTTGGTCGAAGAATGTCCCCATTGACTTGCAAATTTCGTTCTTCAAATGCATTCATCATGACTGCCATCTGCATCAGAAGTAAATCTTGTATGTGGACTGCAAACATCAAAGTGACTCGAACCCAAGTCACCATTGCAAAGTGCACTTTCATGCCATGACTCATCGCACTGGCATACAATCATTGTAACTCACGACATAAGGTAGTGAAATACCTGCGTATATCGATGTAGCAGACGTTGGGAAGATCGGCACCCTTTTGCACAACATCCAGCCAATCCTCATGCCGTGTGTCAATTTGTGCAACCAATCGGATGGAGGATGTGTTTCACACCGTCACGTCGTTACATGGCCTTTTCTCCCATTTCTCTATCCACTTCCCTACTGTGCACGTTGTCTGTTGCTGATGTAGGTTTAGCACTAGATGCAATTACAGGTCCTAGGTCAATCATTTCAAAGTGTTGCCCTTTCAATAAGACTGGAGGCGCATTTCTATATGAACTTCTGTATTCTTTTACAGGACAGATGAGACTTCAAGTTCGGACAAAGATAAGGAGAAGGATGAGGAAGTCTACGATTTTAGGGAGCCCTTTCTTTTCAGCGACATGGTTCTTCTAGTGAAAGATGAACGTCTTCACTGCCATCGGGCTATTCTCTCGCTCTACTCACCTGTCTTTAAGGCCATGTTCCAATCGCGTTTCGAGGTATGTTATCTTGATGCAATCAGCAGAGCCAGGAAGTAGTCAGATTGTATCTCCTTCCACGCGTCCACTCATTCATCCACGTAACCATCCATCCGCCACTTCCCCATTCATCTCCTTCCTATAAGCGCTAAACTCCTCATTTATCTGCTTTTCATTCTTCATGGGTAGTCTTGCGCTCTGCATTTAATTCCATTTTTCACCTCATCCAAAGGCAACATGCAGGTAGGTCAATGAAGATGGTTCCTTTTGTTTTCGTGTAAACAAAGATTTCCTTTTCTTTCTGTAAAGAAAAAGATGAACTTGGTATCAAGGTGTGGAAGTTGAGGTGGGTGAAATTGCGCTGCCTGATGCCAGGTAAACTGTCTCTCCATCCTCTCAGCCATGTCATGAAGTACAGAGCGTGACCTGATTCCCTACATGCACCTTGTCACTCAACGTACTGTGAGAAAAGGGGTGAACGAACCTTCACCACCAAGGGTTTGGGAGGTGAAGATGAAACTGCACGCATAATCTACAGATTTTGTGTTTTTTTAATGCTGAAAAAAAGAGGAGATTGCACTGTCCTGAACAAGTGAGGGCGAAGTACTAAAGAAAGGTTGTGGTACAGGGGTATGGTGAACATTACCTTCTAGGCTGAAACGACATGGCCTTTCAAGGTGGGAAAATAGACGGTCGCCTTTCGAAGGAATAATTGTCTTCTTGAAAGTCTACGCTTTCCACTTAACAAATACTGATCCGATTTTTACCTCACACGAATCAAGAGTCCTCTCTCCAAGTGTCATTCAAGAGGTGGAACAAATTTCCGCCCTACTTTTAACCAATCACATGGACGCCTAGGTTGAACTTCATGCATGTGCCACATCCTCAACAGGCACTCCCTCCACCCTTTACTCACCTCGAATGCAGCAGAAAACACGGAATGATGTCGCATTCCTTCCACTTTTAACCCCACAGCTACAACGCATTCACAGCTCTCTCTTCTTCGGCGTTAGACTTCAAAAAGTTTGTTTTACTCTTCTAAATTCAAAAAAATTAGCATTTCACAAAGACAACTTTGTGAGAATAGGTGTCGCAAAGTGGTAAGGCAAACTTGCCACATCAGTGACGTGTTAATGCATAGATGAAAATGATGAAAAGATATTGTACGAGATCTCTTCTATACATTCGGTATTTACGTCCAGGAGACACTCTCCAATCAGGTGTCGTTGCCCAAAGACGATGCAGAAACGGTGAGAGAACTTCTGCGGCACCTCTACACCCCTGGCGGTTGCGATATGGACAGTAAGTTTACATCTCCTTTCCTGTTGTGTTTGTGTGAGGGCTTGGTTTTGTCTTGTTCTCCCTCTCTCTCTCTCGGTTTCTCCCTCCACCAACTTCCGTTTTTGACCCGCTGACCGAGCCCATTGTTGTTATTTTGTTAAACCTAGCAACCAGTATCCGTGTCCAGGGAACGAGTCGAATAAGCCTTGTCACAAAATTGGAATAAAGGCTCGATGCGGCTTTCTAAGTTATTAATAGAATAAAGAAGTGAGCTATAAACATCGTTTAAGTAAAAAAAAAATGGGACTTTGGGAGTCACACACATCACCATGGCAGGTATTGCCTTGGAGGTAGCCGCAAAGCCTTCAGTTTTGTGTATCTGAAGTTCACACAAGTCTACTCGAAAACAATTCCACTGTCTAATCAAACGCCGGAGGTTGTTTTGTGGTCAAGGAAGTGCTCAACTACGTTTGGAATAGCAGCGGTTCGTCCTACCAGTGACAAAGCGACACAATCGAAGGCCACTGCTTTGTATTCATGTCAGAGAGACCTCTCACAGACGTTAAGATGTGTGATGCCTTACTCAGTTGTGTTTGAAAGTTCGCTCAGTGTGTTATTTGTCAGTTATCCCACTGATGGATACTTGCAGTCTTGCAGCTCACTCACAAGAAATGCATCAGATGGCATCACTGCTTTCTGCTTTTGAAAAAATAAAACCGTGTAGCATCTTTCTCCTCTGACGACCCGTGGAATTGGTCACTGTATTTGCTTATGATAGGCAAATCTTCTGAAGGAGACTCCTCATTCTCGGCTGGCATTCGCGCCAGGAGTGGGCAGATTACAGAAGAGAGGAAAAAATCGCAATGTCATTAACTGGCACAAGCAATTGTTGCAGCCTTGCTGACAGTGCTTCAAGGCCAAAATTACCGCATTTCATTGTTTCTGGCAGAAGTTTGCCTGTCTGGTGCCTATTAAGTCTGGCCTCTGGTTTTGGAAGAAAGTGGCATGATTCTCGGCCCTACATGATCTGGTGAAATGCGTCTTTCAGACTGGCGATTGCACCATTTGAGGTAGCGGCGAGCTAGAGGCTTGTCTACCACGGTGATAGAGGCGGGTTTAAGGAAGTAGTCAAAAGATCTCGCGTCTCTGAGGTGTAAATCGACTTCTGAGAGGCTGCTGTAGCTCCTGTATTCTTATAGGCTCCCTAAACAAAGGCCTTCCTGCTACAAAGCAATGTAACACTTTAGACAAAAGAGGTCATTTTGTCTTGCATAAATCCCTTTACTAACTGCATTTGCACCAAATCCCGTGTTTCATGAATGGAGAAGCTTATTTGCGGTAACAAATAGACGCTAACTCTCTTCAATGTGAGAGTGGTCGCAGGGTTTTGGGTTTCTGGGTCACAATTGAATCGGCCAGTCCTCCACTGCGCATCTAATTGTCTCTGAACTGGGAGAGGTGATTCCTCCCGGCGGCCAGTCAGTGGACGTGTTGTATATTGGCTGAAAGGATTAGGTTGGAAAAGCGGTAGAGAGCGAGAGGCAAGCAAGCGTACCTCTCTTCAAAGGCGTTTCCATTCTAATACCACTTCTTGGCTTCCTTTGGGTCAAGGTGCTGCAGCACAACGACTTCTCCCACTCATTCATCGTTTTCAAATCGACTCGTTGATTACCACAGCAGAGCGAACAATGACCTTCAGTATGACTGATTCTCTGGCCCCCAAGATGTTGGCACTGGCAGATATGTACCAACTTAGCCACCTTAAACAGGCAGCCATTGATGCGTGCACGCGTCTCGACATGAAACGCATGGCTGAGGCCATGGAGGAGACACCGCTGTCCGCTGAATTGAAGGCCACCATCTTTGAGTGAGTTGGAAGTGTTCTCTCGATTTTCCCCTCTGCTTTTCGCTTAGTTGTGGCGTCTAGAGATTTGCAGGACCCTCATCTCACCCTATCTCCCTAAATGCGTCTCTTTGTCTGCGAATACCCCTTGCTAGGACCTTCTAAATCTGCATTGGGTGGCTTTTGATGTCTTAACGCATAAGCCGATTGGAAGAAAGATTGAGATTTCTGCAAGTAGACCGGGCTCTTTTGGATGCAGTGATGCTTCTTGGAGTGCACTGTTGTGCTCTGGATGCACTCATCCTCTCCTTCTCACGATGCAAGATTTAGGGTTAGAGTTAAGTTACTCAATAACGAATGACCTTAGAACCATTCTGAGGGAGAGAGAGAGAGAGAAGGAAATATGCAATCAAGCTACCGATCATCATCTGACTGTTAAGTAGATTACATCTCTCGTAGTCGCAAGTCAACTTGAAACTCACCTCTTGTTTTACTTGCTTGGTTTGAGTCACTGCGACTGGAGGACTCACCTCGAGTCATCACCATCGCACGGCACCTCGTGGCGTAACGCGTGGGTGGAGCCTGCTGGTTAAGTCGCCAGCATGATACTTCTTCTCTCGAAATCGTGCATCTGTAAACGCATATTTGCATCACTCACAGGCCTGAAAGGCTCACCACTTCTTCCCTGTGATAGACGTGGCATCGCTCTTTTGGGCTATTCAATTCATATAGAGGAGAAGTCTGACGGCAACGCCGAGGGGTCTGGATGGATCAGCGGCGAAGAGAAGTTCTGAATAAAAATTCAGGGGACAATCAAATAGGAAGGGACGGTTGAGGGATGGGGGCGGCAGTAGGCGACAAGCATCAACTGTTCAACACACTCGCCTTTGTAAACTTACGTGAGGGGCATCGCATAACTCTCTATGCAAATTTTTGCCTTTTTTTCTGAATGAATAGAAGAAGTACTTGTGCACATTAGCTTTCACTTGGGCGACTAATTTGATTTTGCACTTTCTTGTTTCAACTCATTGGTGTTGGTGCTGGTTGTTTATGCTACAAAATTGATTGAAACTCTCAAATTGCTCAGATAAATTTTACTTTTGTAAAATTTTACAGACATAACTTTCTTTTACAGACAAACTCTTTTTACCCTTGTCATAGTTGTCCGAAACGGGCAAACTTTCGTTTGTGACGCCAAGATTGGCTAAGCCACCAATCAGAGTAGAGTGCCGAGACAAATTTGTCCCGAGGGCGGTGGGGGAGGGGAGAGAGGAAGGAGCGGACGAGGAGACAACGTACCTTTTTTCCCCTCAACCCTTCACAATGCGTGCGAATTGTCTAAGGTTTGAGATATGGGTACCCTTTTGTTGACTTGCCCTCAAAAAGGATGATACCAATCAGACAGCCCATCATTCGCCTCCATAGTGCCTCTTAAGGGTTCTCAGGCACACGTCAAAATCTGTCAAAGGAGGATCGCCTTATCTTCTCACTGGGCCTTGTGGAAATACTGGACTTTAAGTCCTGATAGAGGGAGACATTTTCCAAGTAACTGCTTCAATACTTTGCTAACTTCCTAATTTATGAAGGCATTTGCCACTGTTTTGCTGTAACTATATCAACCCGCATTACTCATCGTCAAGGTCGCATTAAAATTCGCGTAAAAGGTGGAGTTCGTGAGTGCGTGTCGTCGTCACCTATGCACAGACCTGTGTGGAAATGCGGCTACACCAAAGTTACTCTCTTAGGCGAGAAATTTGCTCCCTTTATTCCCTTTTTAAAGTGGGGAAGTGAGGAAGAAAGTCTCCCATTTCATAGAGATGTTGGTGAGTACGTAAAGCAATCTTCCATCAGAAGCGAAAGTGGGTCTCGTGTTTGTGGATGATTGCATTTTACTTCGTGTCTCTGTAGAGAGTCTTCTGGGTTGTGCACTTGCTTCCTGCGTCCAGGGTCGGCGTGGAGAAGGGGGTGTTCTGCTTTTCAAGAGAAGTGTTACACCTGAAATAATAGTTGACGTAGAGGTGAAAGGTTGACCTCTTCCGAGGCGTTGAAAGAGTACACAGAAGGTTCATTGCGGGGCACAGCGTCATCGTCGAGCTGTTCTGACATTAGAGACTCCACGATCATGGATTGTGCGTTCTTGTTATTGCCGGGACACATTTCTGGCACCTAATCTTTGAAATTGTGCATGGCGGACGGTAGGGAATGAGGTAATGCAGGGCTCAAGCGAAGTCTTTGGATCCATAAGTTGTTGCTGTTTGCGTCATGTTGTGAATGCCAAACCGGGGGCTAACGTTCGACAAAATCCTCTGGCATTGAAATCTCCATTAATTGGAAATTTTCTAACACTTCCTTTCCATTCTTTTGTTAGCCTCTTGGCACAGATAAGATGAGGACTCAGGAGGGTGTGGAAGTGAAGTGCGGTACAGCGTTCACGACCTTCTTCCTAATGCTGTGCTAACGATGCACTTTGTCGCCTCGTGTGAATAAAGCAGTGAAAAATATTTCCATGGAAAGCTCCAAATTCTACTTCTGTAAGATCCGGAAGTATTTTAACTAGAAACCTCGAACATCTGCTTCGTCTGCGTGGAGTCGTTGTCACTTTTCTTGAATTTAAAGTCTCGCTGATTCATTGGATTGTTGAACATATCCGTTGACTTTTAGTGACGCTTCTTGTCGCATTACCTGAAAAGGCACCAATGTCTAGCACATTGGTATGGACTTTTGCAGCCACCAAAGCTCCTCTAAGATTTCCTCACCAAAAATGTCCACTTTTGATAGGATGGCAATGCCAAGATGGCTTCGCATGAGATTAATTCAACTCTCCTGCCAGATTGTCACATCTTTTGACCCAAATTGTTAGGAGTAACAGCACCTCGTTAATGGCAGTTGTTGAAATGCGTCGTTTCAGCATTTTTTTAACTGGAGACTCCGAATTAATCACAGAAACTGAACATTCGGAAGTGAACATAACAAATGAGTTCATATTTACCGCTATAAATAAAAGCTTTCTGCAATTGTGAAGAATTCTACTACTTCAACACTTTATCACTGGACCTTTGGAACCGAGCTCCACCACTACGACTGAGATGTTTCACTTTTCTCACATGACTTCAACTCTTTCAATCCCTATTGCCCTCTTCTCCGACCTACTGTGTGTCAAATGTGGCGTTTCATGTAAGAGATTTCTCACCTCACGATATGAATTATCTGATAAAAAGGGATGGGTGGAGAGGCAAGCATTTTGACTGTAGAGATCTTGGTAGACAACCTCTTGATGACTTCTCTTCTGTGTCCTGCAGGAAACGTGTTCTTCTTCTGGAGAAAGTCATCAGCGACATTGAACGCAGTTTCAGCCAGTCCTGCATCCGTATGGAGAGCAAGTTGGAGCGCGTCTTCACCAATCACTGCCAAATTCACAGTAAACCACTCTCTACCACTACTGTTCCGGTGAGTATCCAACTTACCAACGCACCAAGTGGCGACACCGACCGACTTTTAATTCGTTCAGTGGAGGCAAACGCACAAGACCCCGCCTCCACGGCTAATGTTCGTCTCACCACTCGGGTGCTACAGTCCAATGCAAGTGATGTTGACATCCCAAGATCACCCGAGTTAGTGGATGTTACACCTGGTCCGTCCTCTGGTGTTGCAACAGCGCTTGTCGAAGTGCCAGCAGTATGTGAGAATTGTGTGGAACGCATTTCTACACACATCAAAGATCTCTGTCGTCGAGCTTTACACAAGGCTCAATTTGTTCCCTACAAACCGACTGTCGTTACGAGCACGTCATCAGCTTGAGGTTGATTGGACTTCGTGTGAACTCATTTGCCTGCATCGCTGCGGACACTGTGATACCTGACATCACTTTATTTTGTGGCTCTAGTGAGTCAACATGGCTTTGTTCCATTTTTGCGCATTCATTTTTCATTTGACCTGGGCTTCGCCTAAGTCTGGTGAAAGGGGCCACCGGTAAAGTCAAAATGTGAGACTAGCGAAGCGAAAATGGGTTTCTATCACTTCAAGAACAAGTACGTGCACTCATCCCCACGCTTATGTGTAGTATCTAACCCTCAAAGTAACCAGGATGTGGAAGAACTTGGTTACTTGATTGAAGACCCCCTTCAAGAGTTTGCTCGATGCCGATGTCGGTCGGAAGTAGAATGCTACCTCGCTATCATATGCGAAATTTCACGAAAGGTTTCTTGGGTTTCACGGTTCCCTTGTACGACAGGCTCATCTAGCGCCTAGAGTCAAGCAGACGTAGTAAAGGCCCACGGAAATGGATGACATTGCAAATTGGACTCATCATCGATACGAGGGGAGAAAACTGACGTTTCCTTTCAAACAACAAAGCGACTTTGATGAGAATTTTACTGGCACAATGCGGGACCAGTATCCTCTGCACATTCCGGTCACGAACCCACGTTAAAGTGTTTTTCACCTGATGGCATTATTGGCTAAATTGGGTGATTCACTTACTGATAGTTCAGAAAAGCAATATTTACAATAGAGTTGTGGAACAACCTAGAATTTGAGACTTCAGCCTCACCTCTTGTGCACCGTCATTAGTAAGAGGGAAATAGAAAGTCAAAGGTATGAAATAATAGACCGCAAAGTAAGAGGTTCATAATTTTGACAAACGTGGGAGAAGCTATGACATTAATCAAGAGCGAGCGCAGTTTTTAGTCTTGCGTGCAATTGTGGTTCAAGGTCAGTGCAGTTGAACTCCTGGATTCTGGAATCGACTATCAGCCTTGACAGAAGTCATCGTTAACACCATCAGTTAGGCAAAGAGTTAAATTCATCATAAGTCATTCGGTTGCCTGTTGGTCAACAAACATTTGTAACAAACGAACACATACTACTGCAAAAGTAAGTAGTATGTGATCGACGATAGGTTCTAGCAAACTTTTGCGTTGTGTATCGCAAATCGAAAATCTCTGAAATACAAAAATGACGAATTTTTTTCCATTTAAAGACGTGTATAAAGGGTCATTAGAGCAGTTCCTGCATTTGGTGTGGACTTCCTAAACGCATAATCCCAATGATGCCATGAGTTGTACATTCCATCGGTTCCTCCTTTGACCCATCACAACTGCACCTTTGACGGATTTTAAACACCAAAAAGGTAAACTTGAGTGGAATATTGCAAAAAATTTCAGTACAGTCCTATACCAGAGCTTCAGAAGCCAATGAGAAATGCTAAAGGAAGTTTATCCCTGGTGCCGTATCACCCAGTGCTGAGGTACGACATTATAGAAGGGTGTTTTGGTCCTCCAAGATATCAGAAAAGAAGTTTCGCAAACTACTCAATCAAGACTGTGAGCAATGTGGGAATTCAGTGATATCTCCATCGACTGATGCACTTGTTGTCGAATTCGCGCAATGAAATGTTATGAGAAATAGCTTTTGAATTGCAACGCATGTTAAGCAAACGAACAAATCATTGGCTATCACCAAACGAATCACGCATCTCTCACTTCGAAGGCCCACGTCAAGACATCTCGGAGCGACTGCTTTTTGTGCACATGTGGGTGGTGCACTTCAGACGGCATCGTTTAACATAGTCACTTGCTACTTGTAACCCCAAGGGTACTTCACCTAACGTAAAATAATCTTGCCGCTTCATGAATTTTGTTAATAAACGGCTACGCCGCTAGGTGCTAAATTGCGCTCTCATCGGAGCGAGAATTGGAAAGGTTATTCAAGAGTTAAGAAAAAATCATGTATTAATTAAGGTGCCATCCACAGGCATTACAAAAACTCGCTAATTCTATTGCTCCGCTTAATTTACATAGAGCGCAAGCAAGAGAGGTGGTTCGCCTGTTTGGGAAATGTGGTTTTGAGACACTATTCGATGGTATTTATGTGACAGAACAGTACTGATAGATAGCGGAACCTACTTAACTTGCAAGAAGAATTGTACTTGTCAATATCTCTCAAAACGAAACGGAATCAACTCTACACATCCTCTCTTTATATAGCTGCATTAAAAAAGTTGACTCTGTATATTATACGTTTTACACACCTTGAGTCTACTAACAGTTTAGTAAGTAGCAACAGTTCACCATTTTTCTTAACATTAAAAAAGTCTATGGGTGAAGTAGTATTCGATTCAAGTGCCGCTTAACACCGCCAATCAAAATGCAATTCAAACGATTGTATAAACCTCTTTGCCAGTTGCAAACAACGAGAGTCCAATGTGCCACAGTCAAGGCGCCGAGCGTGTCATTGGACGGGGATGTGGCAAATCGGGCAATTCTGTACTCTGCTAATCTCTGATTCATACGCACTGTGTTTACAAGCAGGACACATCCAAAACTGATATTCTGTCACCGGTTGGCCTGTCACCACGCAAATTGGAACCTTTGTTTCACTGGAACGACAGGAAAAAAATCGCATTTATCACAGGGCATTTGCTCAAATTGTGTCTGCCTACGCCTATTCTGTGGTGTCTGTCGCCGCCTAGGCGTTGTGACGGACCGTGAGTCGTATAGCTGCCCTCTTCAGCAAGCATTTGACTTGCCTTACTTAAATCGCTAGTACAACAAATGGGATTTACTTTGGTCGACATCATGATGCATGTAGCAACTCACACCTACCCGCAGGTGAAAGTTCGGAAGAAAACGGAGAAAGTAAAATCAGTGAACGTAACTTATGCTGGTCTAACACCTTGAATGCCTCAAAGGGCACTTATAAATCATTCGCTTTTCATGAAACCGTTAGCATTTTAGACGGTGTTGAGTGAAAAGTTGATGTCTAGGTCGAAGATCGAGCACCACGTGCCCTAGAAGAGGAGATAATTGTTGTTGTTTCGGAAGAGAACCTCAAAATTGGATTCAGTGGAGATTAATGGGCATTTCTTCTTAAAAACAAGAAAGGTGCGACTCAACTTACTCACACCATTGGCATCCTCCCCTTCTTGTCATCACTTCTCAACAAGCCCAGCGACGAGAAAAGTATAACAGACTGGACCATCCTACTGCCACTCAAACAACTGTAAGAATGGAGTTGCGACTAATATTTGGATAGATGAAGGACGGAAGGGAGAAAAGACCGGCTGAATAGAATGAGAGCCATAAGACGGAACAGAAGGCAAATATACAACGGATTGATGGATCAAAAACGCATCCATGTCGCATTAGAAGTCGGAAGAGCTCGTATTTGAGTCATTTGGAGGTCACATTTTGACGTCGGTTAACTCCACACCTTCAACTAAACAAGCGTTGACAATTCCCGCCGGCAAATAGCTCTTCTGTTGTTCTCTTCCAAGCCAATGTCTCTGCCTTGAGGCGAATAGTGCATAACTCACCTTCGGGTCCGAAGTACCCCCAATATTGAGGCAAGCAAACTCAAATCCCCTCCAAACCAATCTTTTGTAATGCGATCAAGAAGGCCTTACTGGAGAGGAGCACTGAAAGTCATGGATCCACCACTGTGTCGAAACCACTCAAGCCAGGGGAAAGTGAAAAAGGAAATTTATGAGTTGGCACTGCAAATATTTAATTGAATGCAGGAAGTGACATTGACAAATATTTGTCAAGAGTGGTGACGCAGTACAATCCGTCAAACCTCCTTCTTAAATAAACAACTTATTCACCTCCCAAAAGTTGCACGTGCTCACGATCTCTCCCTCTCCATCCTCATTTCTAAAGGCAACAGTTTCGAGGTATTTGGACATTGCATGAAGTACTACCAATCTCTACCCATTTGATGACTTCAATGAAGTCTTTTCACTTCTTTTTGATGAACGCAAAATTTTGCAGGTAGAAAGGGAAGTGCAAGCCCTCACAAGCTCTCGAAACCGCATTGGCATTTTGGATGATGTCCCACATTTTTGCCACAATCCTACATCGTCACGCAAGTCCCAGTTCTACCTTTGCGGGATGTGTGTAGATTCTCGTTCTTCCGCATCACTGAGATTCGTGTTATGCGATGGAGGTGGATTTGAGTGCAAGCCTTGTTGAAAAACAGCAGTCATGTTAGAGTGGTATCAAATTATTTGACGAAAGACGGCGGCTATTTGAACAGTCGAGTAAAATAACTGATACGTTGGCAGCTATGCGTTTTGTCGGGTCATTAACGGTAGACCCAAGGCATGCATCAGCACAAAAGCTGGTCCATTCCTGCAATACGAGATGAGTCATGCACCAGACATCCAATCGTCACCCCACAAGCCCTCCTTCAAACTACATGAGGTCAACATGGATTAACGACGATACACGACACCATCAGTAGCACGTGAACGCAAAAAATAATTGGCACTTCACTTCTCCAGATTGTAATTGTTTAGTGGTCAGACTCTCTTAATACGTGGAGGCCATCGTGGTAGCAATGTCACATATCTGATGGGGAGGCTGGTCTCCGGTACGTGCCAAAAGCCCCGTCCCTTCCCTCTATGCCCGAATGTATGCATTTTGTCAAGTATTAGGTCTTCCAATGTCCAACAAGAAGCATTGAGGTGCTGATATCGCTACTTCAAGTCACAAGTCTCGACAGTCTCGCCTAATCCCCTACTTCAAGATTACCTCTCAGACTTATTCAAACAAACTCAAGCAAGCAATTCACAACAAACTATTCTTAAGTCTAGTCCGAGAGGCAGTAAAGTTATCGCCTGTGTCCAAAGTTCACAGAAACGTCTAAGCATGAATCAAGGGGTGCAGCAACAGCTATTTCATGCAGGATGACGAGGAGGAAGAAGGAAAGAGAGCCTTCCATCCACGCATCCACTGAGCTAGTCGCACAGGTTTGATTGAAATAGTTATCCTAGGTGGAATACTCTGTAATGATCGAAATCTCCAAATGTTGATCCTCTCAAGCACCAATAGCACGACATGTGCCAGTCGAATCCACTTTCATGCGTAAACTTGTCACTGCCAATTCAATCAAACACTCAATAGTAGAGCTTTTGCGTACCCATCAATTTGTTAAAACCATAGAGATTGAAGTTTTTTTCTTGTACCAGCGTGTTCAACAAAGTGTGTAAATGTGATATCAGTCTCACATGTACGTGATGCTCCGATTTTATTATTTCGCTCAGGTCTACAACAACGCTAAACGCTAAAACCCCCGAAGAGAAGTAATCAGTCCAGTTTTGGTGGTTTTTAGAATCAATGGCAGCATCAAGTAGACCACCAAAATTACCAATGCAAATGATGCCCAAAAAAAGCGGAAAGGAGAAAGATAAATGTGCTTCCCAGTATACTGCATTCGAAATACGCTTGAGATTCAACTAAATTGGTTAAAGTTATTGTCAATGGCCAAGTCAGTAGCCCAACTTCAGCCCTTAGAGCGTGGCATAGATTAGGAAATCCGGATTTTACAAAAGTCAACAGTCATAGCAGCCTCTATGTTGACCTACGTTGGAGGGTGTGTATCGACTCCGGTGCTCATGAAATGTGACTTCTCCAGATCCATTTAAGCGAGCATGACCTTTTATGACGTCATCTGTCATTCTATTGGTGTGAGTGGCATCCTCTACCTCCTGTAAGGGCTGTACACTTTTCCACTGAGGTTTCCGAAGGCGCCGAATTTCAAAGTGAAGTGGCTACTTGATAGTGGAGATGAACTGGTCAAAACTGCAAAGGAGGCGAGTTAGTTATGCTTGCATAGCTGAAGCGCGGAGCAAGAATTTTACTCAACTAAAATTAATTATTTGCACGATTCATGAGGAAAGAAAACGAAATGTAGGCACTGAGCCAACTCCTGCCTGGATTACTAGGCTCTGTGGGTGATGCTGGTGGTTTAACCGTCATTAATGAAAAGCAAACATAAAATGAAGATGTGCGTTTTATAAATGCCTCGTTAATTGGAGTGTTTGTTTGTGATACATGATTGACTAGTCGAGCATCACGTGATTTTTTTTACTTTTTGATTGCTGTATACAATCGCCCTCGTGTGAACAAGAAGCTCATAAACCATTCCCAATTACTTCTCGAATCACTGATGGGTCACTCTAAGGACATAGCCTTCTCGGCTCAAGATGTGGGCGACAGACATCTTTTTAGGAAGGACAACCCTAAGTAATAGGATATTGGCAACAAATTGCTTCTCTATCCAAGCAGCATGCTCTAGCCAGCTGGTAAAATGAGTCCTTAAAAGGCCTTGTACAAGCCTTTATGGGAGAAGTAGGATTGCAAGAGACGGTTTAAATTCTCACACTTAAAAAGACTCAAAATGACAGATGTCACCCCTTCTCAGTATTTCATGAATGAGAGTGGGATGAAACCAAGGCATCTGTAAGGAGTTTTTCTATTTATCTCAAAAGCCGAAGATTAGTCAGCAGCCCCCATGTCTCTAACTGTACCAAGATCTCGATTTGTGACGACCTCCATTTTAAGGACATAAAAGACCAAAAGAGGAGGATCCACATTCACATATGATTCATTTCTACATCCAAAGACCCATATGAAGCAATTTTGCCAGCTCCTACACCATGAGAATCTTTGAAAGGAATACGAAAAGAAAGGAACATAAGTCTCAGACTCCAAAGTCCCTAATCTATGTCGCCCAAAAGAAACTAATTCTCTCCTCCGAGAGGACGCAAAATTACAGGAGGACTAAGCAAGTGCCCTTATCACAACAGAGAGCTATTCGGATAAAAACAGTGATCCTACCTTTCTAGCATCACATCCAGCTCAATTGATGAGGCAGATTTTACCAAGTTCTTCGGCGGATACCTACAAAACATTCCAAGGCAATGGTAGTCCAATCTCGATTAGGTGGTTAGATAACGAAACAACAACAAACCTGGTGAAAATCTCAAATATTAGATTGTCAAGTTTTTGGCGCTCTAAAGTTGACCATCCAGGAAGATTTTGCAACTTCATGAACGCTTTTGAAGCCGTTGCAAAAGCTCCCGATTTTACTGCACATAGAGCTAAAACAGAGTGGAAGCACTACTGATTAAATTTGTGAGTAGCAGAGTGGATCCTTGTTACAAGTGTTATTCTTGCTGATTCAAGTCGTATACTGCTTCAAAAACAAAGACAAAGATGCGCAATTGCCTCGCAATGGGGCATTACCCAGTCCCACAAAAGGTGTCTAAAAGGGAAGTCTATCAAACTCCAGGTGCTCCGCTTTTCACAATGAAAGTAGCAATTAACAGATTAAGGCTTTTATTTCTTCAATGAAATAATGAATTTGGTGGCCGTAATTACGCCTCCAGAGATGATGCAGGCACAACGTCACCTTAATGAAGCTTTGAAATGCCCTCACCGATTGTTTACCCTAAAGTTTCCCATGGCAATTAAGGGGTGAAGGTTAAGGGAAAAGCATAAATAAATTGGGGAATTATGCCACATAGGTGCAGAAAGATAACAGGGAACATCCATTATACCAGAAAATGATCAATTGAAACGATGTAAACAAAGAACGATTTAAATGCGAGCACCAAAAACCAGGTCCAGTCAATCATCGTACCAATGATGCTGTGTATTTTTCTCGGGTCAAAGATGTCGTCGTAGTCTCTCAACAGAATGGCAGTTCTCAAAGCTTGTTCAAACAGACCAGAGTAGAGGTGACGTTGTGACAGCATTAAATAGTGACATGCTTCTGCTCCACGCCATGGTTGGTCAATAAGTCTGGTAACTTCGTAGCTGTTAGGGATTTGAAAGAGATCATTCTCCGTTTCATGTGCCGGTGCCTCAGTGTCTATAGTCCCGCGCCTTCGTGAGCCTTCAGCAGGTGTAGCCTGGCCGCCAAATACACCTAAATCGAATGGCGAAGTGTCTCCTTTCTCTCCTGTAAGCAATGACTCCTGGTGACTCGGATTCTGTGGTATAGAAAAAGTGAAACAGTACTCGATAATTTTATATGCACAAGAGCGTATGTATTCCATGCCTCAGTACACAACTTGGACTGTTCGTGGTGCTTATCAATGAGAAGTCCGATCATAACGTAGAATTTCTTCAATTTTTTCAATTTCGCACCTCCACTTTGAGCTAGTTTAACTTCCTACAACAAGAACATCACAAAATCCTGGTGATCAATTACTCGAAAGAGGAGTTTTGCGGCGTCAAGATAGTAACCAGCTCCTCTAAGCATTTCAATAGCCTCAAATGGACAAGATTGCTCCAGCATTCGATTTACTGAGGCTCGAAGTTGACTGATCAACCGACGCCTTAGCGATGTCTTCGTTTGGATATCATCTTCATCGGAGTCACCACCGGACGGCGAAAGCGATACTTGTGTCAGTTGGAAGGCTAGGCCCCAGTCATTCAGTTTAACACAAATCTCCACAGCTTCTTTCAGCTGGCCACACTAGAAGTAAGCAAGAGCATAAACAAGCAGACCCTATTTATCTCAACTATGGAGTGAAAATTTTGGCACGAATTACTACCTTTAATAATGCCTTAGCTGCGGGTGCGGCCAAGGAGGCAAAAGTGAATATTCGCGCAATTTCCGATAATAATGAATGGCCATCTGGAAGCTCGTGGATCAGGCCTTCCAAAGAGGTGTAGTCCTCCATTCGAAAAAGACAGTAAACTAGTTTTTTAAAATCGCCCCCCTGCCTGTAGAACTCGGAGGCTTGTGGCCTAAAGACAACAGGTGGTAATTGATGGCTTAAATAAAATCGAAAGCACTAAAAGGTGGACTACGCTACTTATACACTTTCAGTAGCACATGATAGGGAAGCAAATGACCAAAACTAGTTAATAATTCGATTCCCTAATTTATAATGAAGATTATAAAAGTCTTTTGAAGTGGTCGAATGAAACACATCATACGCTGACCAAGTGCGAAGATTACGTGCTGCAAGGAGTAACCGGTTGCTTTAAACGCTTGAACATGCAGCGACCGAATTGTCCTTTCAAGCATAAAAAAGCGTTATAAATAGCTATGGTTTACATACCATTGTGCCTTATCATAATAGTGGTCGCCTAGTGCATTCCAAACTTCAGTTAGTTCGCTGTCTCGTATCACCGCTCCAGACTCTTTGGTCAGTTGAGCTACTCTAAACCAGTCACCCAGTCGTCGGCGCAAACTGATAGCTAAGTCGCATCTGTCAGCGCTAAGATACAAGCGTTCTGCTCCATCGAAATCGCCAAAATACGCTCGAACTTCAGCCTGTAATAAAGAAGACAACTCGTCCACCCTTCGAGAGATAACACCATTGTCTGCAAAATTGGCAGCTCACCCTTCGCACCACTTCTGACTGAATGTTACGAAGCTTCTTAACAAAGTCGATGCCTTGGTAGTACTGACACATCACAAAACCTACTTCGGCTTCGTTTAACTGCATTTCGTGCAATGAGGATTCTGCGTATGTTTGCCTAAAACAGCAATGAGTAATAACGCATCACGACTGAGGACGTTCAAATTCTTGGCTTAAAAATGAGATCCTACCACAATTTCGGATGTGGATGTTCCTCCACAAAGGCTTTTGCCTTGTCCAATAGCTTATGCTCAAGAAGACTCCTGCATTCAGCAAGAACCTAGATCCAGATGGAAAAGGAGGAAGGGTATGAGGTGAATTGTCACCCACCCTAAGTATTTGAGGCATTACGGTATTTGAAATGCTGCCAGAGAATATCGTTAGTAGATGAATTTAAGCCATATTTTCACCTACTTTGCATGGAATCCGAGTAACAAGCTCCAATTTCGGATGCTCGCAGTGCTGTACTATGTCATCCAATTGGACACCAACGACTTCAAGGTCGGAGAAGCGAGCAATGTAGACACTTGAGAGAATGGGCGGTTCTGCCTCAGTGTCGCGAAACACGACCAACTTATTCTTCTCCATTATGACGAATGTACTTGGAGTGTCCTGATAACCATTAAAATGTGACAACACGAGAGTTTAAGTATGAGGAAAGGAGGGCGATTGCACTGCTAACATTAATAAGAAAATCGACTAGACTTTCCAATAGGTCAACTGGGCGTTGTAAAGGGCATTAAGTCAATATTAACAATGGAGACCTAAACTGCCGACTTAATTTGGAACATACGGTTGAGAATTTCAAGTCCCAAACTTCTTTACGAGAGAAATCAGCAAATTTAGTGGAGAGTTGCTCCATCAATGAGGCGTCGCTATCTTCACTCTCGGGAATAGGATGCAATGAGAGTACTCCATGTTCGTCAATGAGACCGAAAAACCTATTTCAAAGGCGTACCAAGGGTGTTTACTAGGTTATAATCATAGCCCGATTAGATATGTTCAAAACCAGACAATCTTTCCCGAATAAACAGTGAAAAACTTAATAAGAATATAGAAAACCACAGAGTTTATAACCTGTGTTTACATAACCCATAAACTTTTCCTAAAAAAACGCCTTAAAACTTAGATCTGGTCAGAACACAAATGAGAGGTGTAACTTACGTTGCATCACAGTTAACCTCGATACGGATGGGAAGTTTGTCGGTTGCGTGAACACAAACTTCAGGCCAAAGCTCGGGCAGACGGTAGCGGCTCACATCACCGTTGCTACGAGCAATGAAGAGACTTCGTGTTTCACTGACTGTAAGAGCCACGATGGGATTTTCCGAGGGTTCAGTGGCTAGTAGCTTGGCCATGTTGGTGTCAGCTGCGGTAGAAGAAGAGCCATCCAGACTGGGAGGAGGTTGAGAGGCAAGGGACCCGTCTTTGTGATCAATATGACACATCCTAAAGAATGAGGAATTTAGAATAATAGTTTGTTTTGTTAAAAACACAACCATTGTGACTAAAAAATGCCAACAAGTTTCGTTAAGGTGCGTCATTCTAAGGACGAATCACATTGTAGCGCCGACATTACCTCCCATTTGCTTTGAATAAAGGTTCCTGTTGTTGGAAAGGAATGTAAGCATCACCAGAACGTCACAACATCAATACAGTGCCAACCAATCTTTCTAGAATCCCGTCCCTACTTCTACGTGGGAGAGGTTTGAGGAAGAATAAGGCGATACTTATTAACTCAAATAAATTAATGAGAAAATTGGTTCTTTTTCGATAACTATATCTACTGGCTCCGTGGAAACATATTAAAAATAGATTCTTAAAAAAAGGAATTTCAAGAGCCAATCATTTGAGAGTCAATGACAAGCATCTTACCGCTGAATGGTCTTCCTCGTCTTATTTCTAGTTTTGACAGCAAATCCGATTCCAGAAAGAGTTTTGGGGTTTTTAAACTGCCACAAAAAGATGACTGATGCATTTGCAACCACCACATAATTCCCTATCATTGCTGAAAACTTCGGCTCCATCTCCATGTTTACGGAATCAGCAATGCACCCCAGACTGTTGTACACGGTTATTTGATACTAAAAATACTGAAGTGAATTACTGCAAGCAGAAATAAAGTAGTAGGAATTGTCTTGCAAATGTACAACCTACAGGCGTGTTAACTGAATTAATTTTGTGTGCGACAGCACAGAAATCTCCGTTACCACAAATTCCCAAAAGATTGTCCACTGGCCGTATATGTGTCTATTTTTTGCAGTGAATAGCATAATACTCCTTACCACTCCTGTCTTAACGTTCCAAAACATCACGCATTTATCATTAGCATCACTCCTAGTGAAAGCATACACCAAGGTGTGGACATTCGCGCAGAACGCCCAATGATAGTTAAGTCTCACATTTGCAAAGTAGATGTAGGAGTCAATGGCCATTGCAAGTCGGAGGGAACCATTACCCTCCCAAGTACAAGCAGCTGGTCCTTTGCCTGGTATTGTTAGGGAATGTAAATGCTTAAAAGAAAAATATTCAGGCAGTGAAACTGTTTCAAAGGATTTCTCCTGTAGATATCAACATACGTCACCAAAGGGATTGTAGAATTGAACTACACCAACATTCTCAATAGTGTCAGGTTCGGAATCGCACGCGAATCTCTGTTGCCCACAAATTGCTAAAACTGAACCGCTTTCGTTCCATGCGCAACACGTTATATTAAGTCCGGTATCAAGGAGAATAGGGGCTATAATAAAAAAATTGTTGAGATAGAACTCAACCAACTTGGATCCTGATCATTCCGCATTATTTGACACCGCCCTACGTCAAAGCAGACAGCCAATGAAGGGATTTCGGGATCACATAGGCCTTTGCCAAAACGATACCATGTGAAGTCAACTAGTGATACGACACCATGGATATCGTAAAGGCAATAAATTGGCAATTTTGTCTATAAATTAGGTATTACATTGAAAGGCAAGTATCTGATCCAATAAACCGTTATACTATAGACAGATAATATTACTAAAAAGATTCCAAGGGAATCGTAGACGTGAATTTCACCAGATGAAAGACCAAACAAAATAGATCGACCATGAGGTGCCCAGTCAGCACAAATCAGTTCTGCACACTTCAACTCTTTACACCATATGCGATTTCCATCAACTGATCCTACTATGACAGCACCATCTTCATACGCAATACAAATACGTCGACCTTCCTTGTCCCACTAGCGAAAGTATTTTATTCCGAGCTACAAAACAATTATTTACCTTTAAACCACGAACGCGAGACTTGTTCCTGTTATTTATCATTTCTTCGTACCAAGAACCTTTATAAAGCATCCACACTATAATAACGCCGTGCTCGTCAGCTGTTGTCAACTTTGCAAATTGTTCGTTCCAGGTTATCAACTGAATTGTACCTAACCAACTTAAGTAATAAAGCTGCAAAAACCAGAATGTCCCTCCAGCGTCTGATTCATTGATATGCTGTTTTGCAAACATGATGCATTTATTGCATCGAATTCGCACGACTCGAATTTGAGAACCTTCAACAAACCATTCTCACCACCGCAAGCGAGGTAACCATGGTTGATACTCCATGCTAGTGTTGAAATTTTAGGGCTGTTTGGAATGGCAATCTTAAGTAGTTGGACAGAGTTAGATGTAAATGATACCAACTTTTTTGCTCAGATAGGCAAACATTGTGGGACGCAACTTCGAAAATCTAGAAAACTGTCTGGTCTCTTTTTCGGTGCAGATAAACAAATCATCCCTAGCCACGTTACTTTATTACTTACAAGTTTTCATTAGCTTAACGGTACAACTTCATTAATTAAAAAACAGAATATGGCAAATAAATCCCAGTATTTAGAAAATATTTCTTGAGTTAAATAGAAATCGATCTCACTCCCGCAAAGGTTTCACGCACTGTCAACATCCACCTTTTTTCGAGGCTTGGATAAGACCGCTGTCCACAACACATTGCAGTGCCCTCCACGAGCAAAAGAGATGCTCTGCAGATCGGACTACCATACAACTCAGAAGCAAACCATCACCCACGGTCTATTACGACTCACCTCTTAGTGCTTTATGTGACTATCTGACGTCTGGCGGTCGCTTCAGAACTTATCTGACCCTCGAGCCATGCTCAGACCAATTTGCTCTGTCCTCTCTGGAATACATGTATCCAGCTCCACTTATGCCTTCTTCCGCTCTGTGGAAATCCTCAGGACGCTACACACCTCTTCAAGCGCTTAAGCCTCTCAACTCGAGGCAAACGGCATAGAACCTAGCTCAATTCGGCTCGCCACTTGGACAGAGACAACAGAAACGGCACGAAGATTATAACTCCATAAAACCCGAAAGGATCTGTAGCATGTAGCAGTAAAAAAATCATGTTGCTTTCTTCGTCCTTCTGCCATTTCCAGATGGTTTCTTCGTTGGTTTCTCTTTTGTAGGCTCTGGACAAGACTTCGTAACTGTCTTCTAAAAAGTCCAGGAAACGCAATCATTGTAAGCTACAGTACAAAACCGCTGGGAAATAAATTCACCTTAAAACACTCACCACCTTAGCCATCTTCCAAATCTCCTCTTCCTCTTCGACGCTACTCTCCTCGCTCTCATCTTCAAGGTGTGGATTATCCTCATCCCCTTCAGCTAGTGTGGCTTCAGATGATGCCTCCTCCTGCTTCCTCCTCTTCTTCATACCACCACCGACCAATTCGGTTCCATAAGGCACCTTATGCGCCGTCTTATTGTAAGTTCGCGTTAATGCAGACTTCACCTGAAAAAGGAGGATTGCAACCAAACCGCATCAACCCTCCATGCATCAACACAGGCCTACTGCCGTCACTTGTACAGTGAGTTGTATAAGTGTTTATTTATTTACCTTCCCTTATCTAAGAATGACTGCAACGACAACTGACCGGTCGTTCTAAGTCATTGGGAATTGTGACGACCTGCACAAAAAAATCATTCTAGGGCGTGATGCAAAAGGGGAGCGATTTTTGCACGCTTAGCCACGTGGATTGTTTCGGTTTCCCCAAATATGCTGTTCTTGTTGTTGGTAGAGTGATACGATGTGACTGATAAGTGAAGGCAACAAATCAGCAGACGAACCCACCTTGGCGTCAATGTTCTTCATGAGACCAGGGCGGCCTAACCAGGTGGTTAGAGACATCAAGTTGTCCATGTCTTCCCGCAACAGCTGGTAGGCCTCCAAAAACTCCAGAACACTGTTAATATCACCTGGAGAAGGTGTATTAAAGAATGATGAAGGTCAAATATATGAATAAATAGCAGATCCATTCCAGCAGAAAGAACGAAGTGTTCCATTGACGAATCGGAAAAGACTCCTTTAACTAACGGAAACAAATCATGCTCTAGAGAGAAGACATCTCAGTTTTACTTTCCGCTCATCATCATACCTTCTTTCAACGGAGCTGACATTCGCACAGCCAATGGATGCAGGTAGTCTAAAAGCAGTGATCGCGAATCCGCCGCTCCTCCATGCGTCGAGATTCGCATGTGTTGTGACAGCTCTGCCAATAGTCGTGCATTCTTCATCTGCGTTGAGTTTCGACCGAACCATGCTGGGGAGGAAATGGCCCCAGGGCCTCCAGGTAACGAACCCCGCAGTAGGCGACCTGGTCGAAGGCTTGCGAATACAGCTTGAGTGGGTAGTAATGACCAACTGCCGGTCGACTGTATTGCTCGACCAACAATATCGCCCTGTGCAATGTCAACCGCGGCTTCGGCAAGGAGGTCGAGTGTTATTTGTGCATTTCCACTACAATAAAGGAAATGCGTACATAAAATTGCCACTGAAATTAAAGTTAGTGATGTTGCTCTCACTTTGCAGCCATTGGTCGAACGCTGAGGTAGTTTTCTTGCACAAAAAGTGGACCAACGGAGTAATCCTGGAAGAAGAGGTCAATGGCCTCTGCGAAGGAGACGGGCTCTCCGTCAATGTAGGGCGCAAAGACTTTACGAATGACATCGAAGGGACCCAATCGGAGGTATTTGTGTGATGCGGCAGCATTGGCGGTGATATCAGCTTCAGTGGCGCTGGTTTTGTGATGGTCACCGTTCATGCACCACATTTGTACAGAGTTTATAACCTAGGAAGAAAAAACTTTTGCAGGAAAGAATTGTTAATAGAAGAAAACCTGTTGAGAAAATTTGGACCACTGAACAGGGTGATCCAAAAGTGCACACAATTTGGCATTTTAAGTTTAAAGCGTGAAGGACTTTTGTTCTTGTCGGGCAGAAACAGACTTCCTGCAGGCATTGGGTCTTGCAAAAAGGTGACAAATGGGCAGACCACCATCAGCATATGTGAAAATAGGTGGATTCAAGGTGCTCCCTCGTAAAAAGGCCAATGCTATGAGTGTAGAGCCTTACTGATGGACAAACCAATTATAACCATGACGCCAAGACATGGGAAAATAATTCCCAGCAAGTAAACCAGTGCTCCGCAATCTGCCTTAGTTTCATGCCACGTGGGCTTGCTGTTCGAAAATAAAACGTTTTAAGTCTGAAATTGAAATAATTTAGGGATTAGAGGAAGCATCTGGCATCCCTGCCGTAAATCGTGATTACTTGCAGCGATGATCTCGCTGAGAGCCCCTGGACTAACGTTGACACCTTCACGACAGACCATGGAGAGCACCGCGGCTTTGATCTGTTCAACGCGTGGACGATGAAAGCGGAGATCCAGACAATAGTTGGCTAAGGAGCGAATCTAATTTGGTGATCAGAGACACAAACCAATTGATGAAGTCCTCCCAATCATTCGATATTGAAGCAGTAAAGTCTCCTATAGGAATCAGCAAGTCGTTTCGAGAAAGTTTACTGAAGAGCCTCAGAAATAAGCCGATACCATACATAAATCAGAAAACAAAAAAATTTATACACTGTCAATGTTCAACTGCCATTGCAATGAACCAAGCACAAAACAAGTGGCTTCTCGGGTCGGAGTGTGTGATTGAAGAGCGTAGAGGGTGCGTTACGGCTTCATGCCATTTTGAATTTCCAATAAAATGCACAGGTAATCGCAAACATTATATTTTAGGAATGAGGAAAAACCAGAGGGATCTCACCTTAGGCGATTGCCGATCATTACAGAGGCATATAATGGGAACTTTGGAGGTCTTGATAATTCCGATTAGTTCCTGAACCCCACCGCGATCCTCGTTTCCCGCCATTCCGTCAACTTCGTCCATGATTAGGACGTGGGAAGTCAGCAACAAGGATTTTGCTAAGGAGAATGAGAAATGACGAATAAATTATTGGTGAAAGCGACTTCGTTGAGTCAGCAAGCAACACACACGCACACGAACCACTTGAAGCGGTGGTAAGGGAGCGCATGTTAAGGGCATTTGCCACCTCCTCCTGCAGAGAGCGTTTTGATCTCGTGTCTGAGGCGTTCAACTCAATGGTAGCAAGGTTCAACTCTGCGCACACTGCCAAAGCCGTCGAGGTTTTGCCCACTCCTGGAGGACCCGAAAGCAGTGCTGCGCGTGCCCATGCACCCTTATCGCTTGATCCACCAGCTGCCCATGGTGGTGCTGACAAGTAGGGTTTTGCTTTTTGACCTAGGATTAAAATGGGGAGGAGATAGTGAATGATCTACATCCTTTTAAGCTCCTTACGTGATTTCATTTTTTTAATCACTAATGCTGAAGCAAGAGAAGAATAAAAGATGGAGAATACCCTGAGCTGAATCGCACTCTGGTGAAAAATTAGCCTTAGAGCCTACTCATAAGTGCAGTTCCACAACTTACCAATTGCATAGTCATCCTGCCAACTAGACAACCACGCATAGAGACGATTAGCAGGACTAGCAGCCCCATTTTGTCCCACCAACTCCTTCCTAGTCCTCGGCCTGTATTTCTCCACCCACAATTCTTGAACCGGTGGCTCTGTTGCTGCTGTCTTCGTTGGTGACAGGGATTGAACCATAGGCCGATCAGTCAGTAGAACTGGCTGTTTGCTTTCCCCCTTCACCTTCTTGGACTTCTTCGGAGAAGGGGTCAGCAGGCGTCCGGAAATTGTGCAGGACGGTGCAAGAGTGAAGGCATTATCGTTAGTATCGTTGTCTCCTTCGTCAGCTTCAACCTTGCTAAAACCCCGATCGACAAGATCAAAAAAAGCGTCTTCACTGAGTTGTGGAGTGCCCAGACTGACGGCCTTATTGAGCTTGCTGGCACCAGAGTCTCGACCCACAATGAGATACGAGGTACGCTTGCTCACAGCCTGCGTCACTCTACCACCACCACGTTCGATTAGGCGCTCTGCCTCCTCTCGTTCGATGCATTCCAGCACGCCGGTAATCACAAAAGTCTTACCCACAAAGCAGGTCGAAGTATTCTGTGAAAGAAGACGGTATTATCAATAAGCATTATAAAACGGTAAATGAAATCCGTGAGGCACTTTGGTGCACCATACTTAAGCTTCAGTGTCGTAAAGAACTCTTCTGAAGTTGATAAGACTTATTGCACGTACTTTAAGTGCTTCGGCTTCGTTCTAGCCGTAAGAGTCATTCAGTTGCCGTGGCTTCCAAACAGCATGCTGCTAATGTGGCATTAAATTCACGTCATTTTTGTTAAACGTCAACCAGCCTTCAAGCTCCACAGAAAGAATATTGACATCTAGGGTACCAATCCCTAATGACATGCAAAAAATTTCAACTGTATACACTCGGTGGTTCACCTCAACAATAATCCTCCATGAACAGCTATAGCTATGACGACTCACAACGGAAGCGGTGTTAAAATTTATGAGTAACTTTGATCTCGTGTTATGCAGCAAGGCGATTAACAACTGAGATCAGTAGAGCTGCATGGCTCAAATATATCCAATAAGGATCTGCAAGCAGAAAGGGTCATTTTCTGAAGTCAAAATGACCGACTGGAACTGAATAAGAAATAAGGTGGAGATCAAACACCCAATTCTCAACATGGTAGAAGAACACAGTTTAGCACTAATGACTGCAGCATGGACATACTTGCTGCAAACATCAGTTCGCCACTTTAGTGAATATTCGACGAAACACCTCGACCATCATGATAATTGCACTATGGTCAACTCTCCTGTAAAAAAATGTCTCTATAGTTAAGCCAAGAATTAAAATCGAAAAACAATAGAACATCCCACCTTCGGTATAGGTCTTGAGCCGAGGGCCTGAGGACCTTCACGATTCTGGAACTTCCAAAAAGATGCCCTTCCACTACTCGATGCCTGTTTAGGTGTCGTTGTTGATGGGGATTTCTTCTTTGTCGGAGTCGAGGAGGGAGGTTCTAACTTCTTTTTCGGAGTAGTGGTTCCGGATGATGCCTACAAAGTAATAAGAAATCGCGTCGATTTGAGAAACTCACTACCGGAAGTTCATGTAGATATGTAGTGCTAAAAACAGTGAGATATGAAGAAGACCAAAAGGCAGATTAAACAGCTTTCCCAGACTACAGTAAGTTACAACCTTTCAAGCTTATCCGTTTCATAAGCTCACTTTACAGCATTTATAGAGGACTTGACAGTAGGAATGGAGGTTCAAAGTAGTTTTGATGAGATGAATCCGCTAATAAATCAACCAACGCTAGAGTCATTACATCCGGGAAGACCCTCCATGCAACTTCCTCGACGCGTCACAAGAGCAATGACCAAAATCCGAGATCCTGTCCTCAAACCCATCAGACTACAAATATTGCGCAAGAACAATCGAAGCAACAACAGTGCAACATCGCTAGCACCAAAATTAAACTTAACTGAAGGCTTCTCAGTTAAGTAACCAAAATCTTTCGCTTTCCATAGTACTTCGAAACAGGTTGAAAAAAGTCGATCAGTGGAGCCCTCGTGAGGTATTACCATAAGCGCGTCCCCAAACAACTTTAGCATCCAACAATGCAGCTATGTGACTCAAACGAATATCAACCATCAGGCAGGGAAAAGAAGACGTAAAAAACGCCTTGAAAAAATTCCCTCCTAAACTAAGTTTTTCCTCGACCTTTTTCTGTGGAGTTCCCGACGCAGTTTTCGGGACAGAATTGTCGTTCCCTTTGCACACCGACTCGCTCTTCAGTGTATCCTTCAGCTTCTAGAAGGAAATAGAAGTGATTTCACAGAATCTGTTTCTTTGCGAAAATTGATAGTTTAAAGTGGGCAAAGTACAGAGCTGTATTTTGGAAAACTTCGAAATTTTTAACAACCTCATTGCCTCTATTACAAAAACATTATTTATGTCAACAATAAAAAACCAAAACCAAAAAACCTCAAGCTTCTTGGCTCCAAAAAGTAAAAACCAAAACAAGAAAATTAACTATAAAAACTAAACTTAATAAAGAACCGCTTTAACTTTAGGAGAAGAAAGTAAAGAATGTAACAGACAATTAAATTGGCGCTTGCACCTATTCAAGAGTAGGTCTATAGGCAAGTTGACAAAAATTACTTGCACCCATGCTGTGCAAAGAAACAGAAACATCACGATTGCAGCAACAGGATAGTAGTGAAGTTATTCTGAAATCGGCAGATTTCCTAGAGTTCCTATTGTGAACTATAAAAAATGGCACGAGACGCAATCTTTTCAGCCTAATGATATAAACTTTTAGCATTACTATGTTCAGCTTAGCCGTTTATTTGAACCAAACGATAGCTGGAATATTCATGATTCTTGCTACCTAAAGCAAATTCAATATTGAGAACGAACGATTTATGTCTGAAAGGAAGTGCTGACAACCATAACAAAATACCCCAGAACCTTCAGACTAACCTTTTTGGGTGGCGTTTTTGAGACACCTTCAGAAGCGTAACTATCACTACTCCGGTTTGTGAGTTGTTTCTTTTCCTTACGCACGTCACTGACTCCCTAAAAGGTTTAACAAATGATTAGTATTGGGTGAAAAACTATATTTTCTTCATACTAGTCCCCTCGCCATATATTTGCCTTCGAAAGACCAAAAATGTGAGTTACAGGGATTGAGGGTAATGAAGGTCGCGAGGAAAAGCTAAAGAGAGCATTAACGAAGATCCGGCGACAATGGTCATAAGTTGCTATGGCACCCCAGTTTAAGTGTGACTGTAAACTAAGTGTGAACTCATTATCCACAGAAACTCTGGTATCGAGATCAAAGTTTTTCACCGTCCAACGAAAGGTACAGGCCGATGTTGATTGACAAGCTATAGTGAACATTTTGGCTGCCGAAACCACTTTACCTGTGCAGCTTTCGTCACATCTCTCGCAACAGATCTGTCTTTCATCGTGTTCACTGAGTGTCTCTTTTCTTTGCGCAGGACCGCAGGCGACGGCATTAGTGGTTTTCCAGCCATCGAAGCTGAGAGGCATATTTCGTCCTCGTCCATTTTCATGATATCTTGATGTGTTGGCGGTGTCTCAGGGACTAAAGAAACAGGCTCTTTTACGCGCGATGGAGACTAAAGCAAACAAAAAAATCTCAACTATATTTTAAAATCATGATAAGGAAAAGTCTGCGGTTCAGCACACCTTGTAAGATGACGATGCAAAATAATCTTCCACCGAGATCTCCTTTTTCGATTTAACAGTACTTTCAGTACCCGGAAAGAAATCATGGAGGGTTTTGCTGGACTTCGAAGTTCCATCCACCTGCTTTTTCACCACTGCCTTTCTCAAACTCTCTTCGAAGGTTAATTGCACCTTGCCCCTTGGACTTTCTGCTTCAGTGTCGCCTAGATCTGATGAAAAAGTTGATTTTCGACGCTTTGGGGGCCGTCGCTCAGTATGCCGATGCGGATCCTCGCCAGCTTCACCTTCTTCAAACGTTGGAATTTTACGTTTAGATTTTCGACATACATCTTTCCTGGGGACGACTTCGAGTTCAATTTCTACAAGTAGCCGAATTAGTCAATAGGGTAAAAGATCACCCTTCCTAGAAAGACCGCGATTATCCCGGGTGTACGATTTTCTATGCTTTGATCTCAACTTCGGAGACTGAAATTCGTCTTCTGAAAAAGAAAATTGACAAACTGTGGAAATATTCATAAAACGCACGAATAAAAAAGGGAAGGTAAGGAACCACCCATAACAGCTATTATAATGACTGACTATGTAAAAGACAGAGAGAATGACGAGCGAGCGACGAATTTTTTAAACAGCTAAGCAAGATGATGCTTATAAAAGCAACGCACTGAAAAGGAGGTTTTGAGCACCTGTCTTAATCATCACGTACCTGAGCTTGAGTCATCGCAAGTTATTCTTTTTTTCGAACCAGCCATTGCTGGCACACTTAACGCTAAAAGGGCGGAAAACGGACAGACGACAAGGAACCCGCGTTTAATTGAAGGTAATGTTATTAACCTGTTTAGCAAATAAAAAGAAAATAAGCTTTATAATTATCTAAAAAACTTTTCACTTTTAATTGTAACCAATATTGTTATTTCTACAAAATTTTGCGAGGGACTAAGAGTGTGGGTTGAATATCATTTACTAAACGTAAAGGTATCAAGTGGCTGCTTGACTTTTCCTGTGAGCATTCTTTAAAGCGGTTGTCAATAATCTAATATCTAAGCCTCTTATGAAGGACTAAGATATATAAAAAGGTAGTTTACTGCAGCGACGCGACACTTCCCGTCCAGTAGAAGACGGTAAGTGAATCTAAGTACGGGTGTTCAAAGGCGAACAAAGTAGTTCGGACTAAACATGGCCCAAAGCCAGCCTGCGCTCATAAGAGTCAGACATACTTTGAAGTGGTTGTAATATATTCTAGCTTGTTTAAGTGAACTTCTATAGGTGAGAGGCGGGGTCCAATTGGGAGCGTGGATCACGTGCGTGAAGTCGGCGAGATGTCTTCCTCCGAGTGACACCTCTTACTCACCTCATCTGTATCCCATTCCTTATCCTTCCTAACAGCAATGCCTAATAAATTGTCCGCAACCAACTTCCTCTTAAAGTCTGAGAACCTGGGATCAGAGGGTAGATTGGCAGTAACTACAGTGGTAACCAAACATCATTTACTTGCGTATTCGAAGTACTGTGGATACCACTTTCATCGACGTAAAATGATAGGTTTTACTCAATGTTCTTCACTTTGCAAAAGCTTAGTGTGTGTGGTATTCCGAGGCTTCACATAGGGTGGAAGAAGGGGTAAGAAGAGCTGGATACACGTTTTCGAAAGAGGACAAAGCAAATGGGCCTGAGCGTGGCCCGAATGCCGGTCCACAAGTACAAGAGCCAGACAAATCTTAAAGCGGATGCCAATCTTCAGGTAGTCACATTACTAAGACATTACACTGCTCCTCTCTTCTTTTGATCGACGTCCTCGGCGCTCTCCTTGGTACACCTCCGGCGCTAGCCATCACAAGGTATTCGGTGCCACAAGAAGGCACCCACGAGCCAATCCCGCCAGTCGACAGATAGCATGACACTGAGGAACCGTACTTAGTCTCCTCGGCAGCTTCAACTGGATCTGGAGTTGCGTTCAGTCTGATAACCAGATTCGGGGCCGCATGCATCCATTGACCATCAATTGCTTTGAGGACTAGACGGCGAAACTCTGGTCTAAAGCATATAGGTTTTAGGGAAATCGGGATGAGTCACTGTCCCGTTTGTACGGAGAACCGTAGTGTCAGTTCCGACACCGATATATGGATTTTGTAGGAGGAATTCCAACTCGAAACTTTTCCATATGGATCATGACAGCGTCGTTTCAGTTGGAAATAGCTGTGGAACACAGGGGTAAGTTGAAGCCAAATGCAGCCGTTGGTCTCAACCCTTTCATTGTGAAGGATTCAGAGAATCTTCGCCGCCGATGCAAATGCTAGAACAGCAGTCGTTGCTTTCCGTTGCCAACAGTGTAGCGTCGCGAGACTTCTCATCGAGTGCAAGATGGTAGTCAGTGAGGCTAGATACATGTATTCCAAAGAGGACAAAATGGACCTGAGTATGGCCCGAATGCCAGTACACGAGCACAAGGGTAAGACAATTCTAAAAAGTGAGCGAAAAACCTCAGGTATTCACATAAACAAAGCATGTCACTAAGCAGTGCATCAACTGTAGAATACTTTGTAACCATAACGCAAATATAGTCTATAGCTAAGCACCATTCCCCTCTATTCCCTTCGTCCTCCATCTCAGTCTTCTTAGATTTATTTGACGCACATTCGGCAGAGATAGACTTACTGTAGCGTCTCCACACCTCCCACTAAGTGGAAGAAGTCATTAAGTTGGGCTGAAACACGTACTACAGATGAGAAAAAGGATCAGATTGGCTTGAAGGTCAGCCTACGCGCGCCAAAGTTAGACAAATCCCAAAAGTATCTGCCATTCACTGCATGGTCTCATAAACAAAGTTTTACAGCTACACCTATGATGCACGCGCTAGTCCATGGAGGAATCATCGCACTCCACTTGTACGGCGTTCGAATCGAGTTCAAGCCCCCTACAATGCACAACCTTAATAACCATTGTGTTGCAATGATCACACCTGACTAGAAGCAACCTTTTAACATGTCTACATGTATCAATGTTAGTTTTTTGTAGGTAAGAGTGTTAGATTAAATCCCGTACTGGCTAAGAATTCCAAATCTCCTATGTCACTCTGATTGGCCAATTCCAAGCAGCTTCCTATTTGCTCGCCTCAAATACTTTGCAACACTCAAATTATCACCCCTCTACTGATGCAACCCAAGGGAATGGGTTTTTGAGGTGTTAAGTGTGTGTTACGTTGACAAATTTGACGTATGCAATTAAACTGAGTGAACTCCTTATTTGTGCTATTGAATAGTGATGTTGATGCACCCAGACTGCATATGATTTGTTAGAGCCAATGAAGAGTAAGCGTTTCTCTTGAATAATGTTTTCTCTCGCAATATATGCCTAGTAGCATAATGGACGATGTTTTTTTTTTCATTAAACTGTGTGGCTTTCCTAAATTTATGAACTATCCATTATATTGATGCAGCCCTTCGAGCTGGACAATTTTAGCTGCATTAGTTGGGCTAGTTTACGAGATATCGCTGATTTGGTTATTGTGTTCTGAGAGCAGGACAGTACGTGGAGCTTTGGCATGACTCGAAGCCCGGTTCGCAAAGCCAATTTAAGATGAACACGACAGTGCTCTTCAGTCACACATACAGTCGCATAAATAAAGTTTTGCACCTGTGATGCTTTGTCTATGTGGCCACCTGACGTTCGCCGGTCACTTTAGGAATTGTCTGGCCCTCGAGCCATGCTCAGGCCAATTTGCTCTGTCCTCCTTGGACTACATGCATCCGGCTTCGTTCACCACCTTCTTCCATCCTGTGGGAAGTCTCAAAACGCTACAGCACCCAACGAGTGCCATTGTACTGCTTTATTTATGCATGATAAAAGACCACTTTGGTGTATATCTCGCCCTTTCGCGCATGAACAAAAACTGGATATAGGATGGGCTTTAACCTAACTAAATACCTTTCTCTGTCCAGGGAGATATCTTGGTCCTCTGCAGCCGCAGTCACTCATATGACTGCCGGCCTCGGTTATAATAAATCAGGTGTCTGTGTTTCCCTGTTGGAGTGAGCTAAAGTTTGAACCATGCTATCTATCTATTTTCACCAATTATGTGATTTCCTACGCTGCTCTATGTGGCCTTATGTCCAGGTAAGGCTGGGGGGTCATTTCCCTTACATCTCATCTAAATATGCTCTTAACAACAGCATCATGCCTACTCTTATATAAAAGAAGTTGTGGGACACTAGGGGGGTCCTGTAACGCTTAAGTTCAGAACTGTTCAAAATTCAAATCAATTTTTTATCAACTCGTGAATTAAGGATTATGATGTAGCGCTGAGACAGGCTGTTGGACATGGCTAAATACTTGTACTCAAAGGGAGAGGAAGCCATGCTGCTATGTCATTGTCCGGCGACAAGTCAACTCAACCAAGGATAATACGAACCACATAGTGAACGCCGTTCATTCTGGTAGTTAGACAAACTAGGTGTTTCACCTCCATTTTAGGATCAGTGGCACATGGTTAGTTTGGCCGGACTTAATTTAAGTACAAAATGTCAAACCTTTGTAGAATGTACTGAAAACTACTTTATAAATCGCTTATAGATATAGCTGGTGCCATTCCTTGACTTTAAAAAATTGTTAATAAGATAGCATTAGTTAACAGGCTCCATGACTCACCTTAGTAGAATTTGATTTTTATTCTGCGCCTGTTTAGGCTATTCATCACCTTTGAACCCCTCACTAATCATTAAGGTCCACTCTAATTGTTAGCAAAAATTTACTATTTTGTGAACTTTACCACTCGAACCCACCAAAAGCTTTTAACTTTTATCATGCAAGTGAGAAGCACTTAGCTCTTGTTGTTCGTAAATCATCCGCTAAAAAATTATTCGCAAAGATTTGTTGGAGAAAACTAATCCATTGTTAACTTTATTGTATTTTATCATTAAAGTATATTCTTTAACCTTGATTTAAACCGAGTCTTTGATTGATTTGAACTGCTTGTTGCCGGGGCAGCTTGCTTTGTCTTCATTGGCGGTTTGTGTGCCTAACTGTGCTAGTTGAGTCGACTTACTCTTTTTGTCCTGATCGCTTACATAGTCATTGTCAGTTAACCACTATATGGATTTCATCTTGGAAAGTTGTACTTTGATGTACTCTTGAGTCAATGTCTACGAATACGTCGAATTTGAATGGGAGTCTTGTCAGCTACATTGAAATGCCAGAATCTGCAGCTGTTCAGCGACGACTTTCGACCGGAACAAATACCCATTTGCCTGCTGCTTCTTCCGCTACCTTCCTCTATGGTGATGTTGGAACTTCCACTTCTGCGCCCGCCCCACCGGTTCGTTCCTCGAGTACTCTGTAAGTTTCCAACTGCCCTTTAATAGAAACATAATTGATAGTCCTGCGTTCTTGTCGTGCCTACATTATTTTTCCTTGAGTCGTTCTGAGCTTGTTAATGTCCGATATGCTGAGTTCACGGAAGGTGCTTAAGTTATCCTATTCGTTTTGTTAGATACATTTTTGTAATGGGCTAGAGATAAGCATTAGGTTTGTGTGGTATTTGGCTCCTCTATATTGGTGCCTCCTGAAAACTGCACTCCTGTTTTTTCTTGAGCGGTGGGCAGAACCTGAAAATTTGTCTTTTGTTGGTAATCTTACAAGTGATAAGTTTTGTTGCTGCAAAGCGGATGATATCTCTTTGTCATTTCTCGTTATATGAGAGTCCTACTTAGTTTGATTGGCCGGCGTATCCTTATGGGATCATTTCTGCATTCTGCAAAGCGATCTCAACCATGATCTCCAGGTGTTCATAAATTTCTCTTGGACATCTACAGCAGCAAAGAATGCTACCTTCCAAGTATTTTGTGTTTGCAGTGATTGTGATGTTTGTCTCATTCCTTCCTCACCTTACTCTCCAGGAAGAAGGAACGGCCATTGATCTCACCACCATCCAAGCCTCTACCCACTCCACCGCAAAAGAAAGAGAAAAAACGCAAAGGTAAGCCAGTTTTCCTTATCCCTCGGTGTTTGGCTAGGGTATATCAAAAAAAGGATGCGTTTGAGTTATTTCAGGGCACTTGCTTTGCTCCATCGGTCTATGCCTGTTTTGTCTTCTGTGCCACACTGAGCTTGTCCTTTTACTACCCTTTCCTTGGACTTGACGAGCATAGTTTTTTTCCTGATTTCGTGCAAATAAAGGATGATTTGGTTTGCTTCAACTTCGCTTTGACTATGGAACTTTCGAGGCATATAATCAGTTCCCCATTACGCAAATAGAACAATTTTTTGAAAAGGTAAATTTGTATTGGGTATCCGCAGCAGCTAATTCTACCTGCTTCACTACAATTATGTTCCCCTTTTCACTTGAGCGGTTTTTTATTCGGTGAGTTTGCTTTCCACTGAGTTCACATCTGTCTTCACCTCAGAAATGTGTTTTTTAATGCTTCCATTGAAAGTCTTGGCGCAAACTCGGTCAACATTTTTTTGCCCTACCGATTGTTGATGCCTGAATATAAGTGCGTTTTCAAACTCAGATACCTTTTTATCTGTTCTTTGGCTTCATACATTCAGTGTGAGTGGGTTGTGATATGATGCAATTGACTTTCACGAACTGACAAGCAGCATTTCGCATGTTTGCGCTTCGCATTCTCAAGTGCGGAAATCGTTGAGCCACGATGTCATGATGGTACCTAATGGCTTGAGGTAGTGTAATTGAACTACCCTATCTCTTTTGCAATCTATGTAATGTGTAGTGCATCTGCCCGTCATTTATTCCGGATCATTTAATGACAGAATGTCCGACCTTGACCCCGATTTGGTAGTGGTTCTCCGTCTTCGTCTTACATCAATTTAACTACGCAGTGAACGCTTGCACATTACCTCGGACTCTATTGTGTATGCTGGTTTGCATCTTTGTGCGCTTGTTTGCGCCAACCTGAATGTATGCTTACGCGAGCACATTCACAAAATACATAAACAGTGAAAGTTCCCTTTGTGTTTGGCTGTGAGGTGGTTTGTCGATGTTTGGCTTATTCGTCTGGCCGTACTTAAGGGATTCCCTCCCCTATTTACCTCTCGCTTCGGCTTTGTTTTTCTTCTCACTGTCGCGTTTATCCACGTAAACAGTTCTTTTTTCGATCGCGTCTTGGAATTCTTTTTCCCGTTCCTAATTACATTGAACTTCATATAGATAGGTTCTTAGCGGTCCACACTGTTAATGTTTCCCTCTGGGCTTTCGAGATGCTGTGCTTCGGGAGCTGTTTACCTAGAGTGCTTATGGGTTCGGAGGGAGCGTAAGTACTCTCTCGACTCTAATAGTTTCAATCTGCCAACTGTTAAGGTAGTCCGTCGCTTGATTTGTAGAGTTAGCAAATAGTGGACTGACATGAAGTTGTTGCGTCGTTTTTATTCGTGCTGATTAAGGCGCAGAAGGGTTCGATGGCAGGTTATCCTCTCTCGCATAAGCGGAGTGTTATTGACTGTGGTGAAGTGCAGAGATTTTGATACTGGGTCTGTCCAGTCGACGTTGGTAAGTTTTGTTGCCGTCTCCAACAGTGGTATGTGGTGAATTTTGTGTAGAAACAATTTTGTCAGCTTGAGATATAGACTGGTCGCTTGTCGGTGTGTAAATTAATCATCTCTTAAAGGTGGTGTATTCTGGCCAATGGTCTTCTGGAGATGTTGGTGCACTCTAAATGATTGTAGGTGCATTTATTTGTGAGAGTAAAAAACGGGACCATTTGAAATTACGAGAGAAGCATTTATCAATGCTGATTTCTCCTTTTCGGAAAACTGTCCTGAGTTTACGTCACTGATTCAGTACAATGAGTGAAAACTCGTTACCGTAGTGCTGTTACCTTTTTCTTTATTTGCTATTCGACGTCGAATTCTCCTAACGGGAATTCTTGAACGCTTTTCGCTAGTCCTCAAGTAGCCGCTTGCTCTTTACATTTCATCTGATCATGTGTCTTAATAAAAACCCGTTAATAGTGGTACTCATCCGTCTTACATTTGTAGTCCAGCATTAATGTTCATTTTTGGGCTTACCTCAGTTTGATGCCTGCTTAATCATAATCGTACTGTCATTAATGGTGCTTTTCGATCTACCTGCATGGTTTCTGATTCTTTTGCAGTAAAGCTCTTTCGTCTTCCACTTTTCAATCGGAGCGGGTCCACGGAGCCGAGTATCTCGGGACCCACGGATGTAAAGCACGACCTCCATGTTGTCTTCGATCACACCAGCGGCGATTTTCTGGTAAGTCAATCAAACATCCACCCAGGCAGGCAAGTAATATGTAACCTCATGCATACTTACACCCAACTCACAGCATCGGTGCTGCATTTGCGTCTTTGTCTGAGTGTGTGTGGTTTCGCATTCTCACGCTGCCACATCTTCAGCTTTCTCACCGTCATTACGGTGGATTGCACTCTGCTCTTCTGCGGAGGTCTGCCAAGAAAGCTGCTTTTCAAGATGATTGGGATCTCTTGAAATAGACGGGACACAGCTACAGAAAGGGAGATGACTCATCAAGCGTCTTAAAAGGCAAACGTTGTACATTCGTACGATTTTGCCATAAGACAAAGAGGTATATTGAAAGTCTCAACTTATTGCTTTAAATGGGAAGGCAAATGTAATTATGTCTGCAGTTGAAAATATCCTCAGGTTTATAGTTGTTAATAGACATGCTTTGAAAGGGGGTTATTGTCCGCGCTTGGTGTTTGCTTTTTTGGTAACATCCTGGACTCTCGAGGGTAAAGAGAACGGCCTTGCTTTAACACGACTTCGATGTTGTGTTCACTAGTTGGTAAAAAATGCATGTGGAAGGGATGGGAGCAGAGGGAAGAACCGTTTTGTGGATTAGAGTTGTTAGTTTCTGTCGCTTCGACTGCAGCAATGCGGTTCTTTGTGTGTAAAAAAATACGTAGTTTATCCCTTGCCACGTCGACACGAGATGGGAGAGGAGGGGCGTAGTTCTTAGCATGGCTGCATGGTTAGGTCTTTTGGTGGAAGAAGTTGAAATACATAGGAATGAGTCTGTTAGCCCAACTTAAAATTTGTTTATCTACTTACCTTTCCCTTGATTTGGCTCGCACACTTTTGAAAAGCTGATCAGAAGGTGCGATTTACTTGCTATCTACTGTCCTAAAATTATTTAAAAATTTGCACAATGTAAAACGTGATGTGAGACGGGGGCTCCCGCTTGATGGCAACATGTTTCTTGTTCTCTACTTTTTTTGGTCTACTCAAAGCAGAGCTTCAAATAAATTCAATTTCTGCGTATTTGGTTCGGGTGCTGTTATATTAGGATAATTCCACGTGAGTTGACAAGCTGGTATTATTCGTAGTAACCTATTAATTAACAAATCCTGAGGCTTGTTTGGCCACCCTCAAGGAATTACGCAAGCGTTTTTCATCAATTAAACCACAAACGACCACTGTTCCTTCTATAATGATGACCATGTTTGTTTCATGTACCATTTTTCTATTATTGCAACTGCTCATTTTGCTAGCTCAGTTTGTCGCGTTGTTAAACTCATGTACTGGGAAGTGCGCTCCCAAATATTATTGCTGGGCGATTAACAACCGTATCGGCTGTTTTGTTAAAAAAAAAAACAGCTAAGACTTTCTCAAGGAATTCTCTCGATCCTCCAGCTTGGCAATTACGGTATTTCCCGACCGTAGACTATGAATCTTCGCGTTACGTTGTCGACGCTGTCAAAGATTGTAGTAGACTGGAAAAAGATGTTTTATCCGGAGTTCATTTCTTACTGTGAACATTGACGTGTGTTAGCAGCATTTAGTGAGGACGCTCCCTGTGAATAACCAAGATTCTGCTACTGCTGACGTTAAGAAGGGCGAGGGAAGGAAAGTCATGTTCCACTTTCCATTCAAAATTGTATGCAATTCTCCGACAGCAATAAAAGCTGATGATAGACGCATGTGCTACTCCCACTTGAACAGGGATGTGACTTGGTACGCACATTAACCTGATTGTAAAGGTGGGGAAAAGGGCTTATACGAGGTGCCTTGTTGTTGCGAGTCGGCTTGGCATTCGAATTTAGCCGTGTTTGTTTATGTGTCAGCTTGTTCGTTGGTCTGTTGTTTGTGTTCGAGCGCGGTTGTATGAATTGCGCGGATTTATGCGCACGCACTCATTTACAGGCTTGTTGAGCGGAAGAAAAATACGAGAAAATTGCAGAATGAAACAGGTTGTGTGCATACACACCCACATACGACCTCGAAAGTGTGTTCATTAACGTGAATGCTGTTGCGCATCTTCCTTGCCTGCTCATCTGATGCCTTCCGTAATTGTGATTGCGATTGCGATTGCTATCTGCCCACACAAGCGCAACCGGTTCAATGATGCAAGTGTATTTTCTCTACGACTTCTATGTCCTCAGACGCACAGTGGGTATCTCCCGTGTATCATAAATCTGATGTGTTAGTGTTCGTAGCTATGGCTTCTACTATTTGATCCACCTTAGTTAACACGATAGCGACCTTCATTAATCAATTGCTGTTAAAAAACAGTGCAATAGGAAGTGGCGTGTCACAAACATGTTTCGTGGTCTTCAGGCACTAACATCGATCTCGTACACGTAGCACTGATGGTGAAAGCATTGATGAGGACTGTTCGGTCTTCTTTACGAAGTCATTTCATGGTTGACTTGGTGATTTTCTGCTTCTTACAGTAGCGCAGACCTTTCGGCGGAATTGCCTATCATTTGTGCTTGAGCCATGAAATTAACTCAAGGATGGAATGTACATTTAACTATGGGATTTTTTCATGATTGCCATTGATGAGAAGGCGACCATACTCTTAATGAGGGACTGTGCTACTTAGTAAGGCCACGAAGTTGTTGACTGTTGAAACACAGAGAATCACAGAGCACTGCATGACGCTAATTAGCAGCAATAGACCAGTAAGATTTGTAGTTTATATTGACTGCTATTATTCATCTTTTTCCAAACTAAAGACTGTTAACACCTAGAATCACTAACTCAGTGGAAAGCTCACTACACATTTGTTTTAGATCAAACCGAGAATGCGGTTTTTCTGTAGTCTTGTGGTGTTGACCGCTACGGCTCTTGGGTACAAAGGCGCCACCATCAAATAACTGCTTCAATGTTGACGCCTATAATTGAAATGACGTGAAGCTTAGTTTTGGCAACACTAGAATGTCACTTTGATTTAATTGAGCTCTAGAGTTATGTGGATCAAAGTTTGCTGTTTTTCTTTCCCTTAAAAGTGTTTTTAGAGTCAGAGTAAGGGAAACTGGAAGGGGCAATCAGCTATTCTGTGGAGAACGCGAGGCACTCAATGAGCGTTTTAAGAGTACGAGGCGCCCATTATCAACACTGGACGTGCATAGTGGTACGTGTGCCTTTCAAGAAAGGACGGGGCGGGGGGAAGGAATAGGAGGGGTGAGAAACATTGCCTTCAACACTTGGCCCACAGCCAGGAGAGATAAAGGAGGAGCATCACTCTGTCCAAGTGTATGGCTGCACACACCGGATCGCCCAGTAATTGGTCGGCTTGACTGTATGCACACAACCTGGTGTGTATGAAGGTACTACCAAGGTTTACAGAGCGATTACGTTAGATAACAGAATCTGTTCGGGAGTGAGAGGAAGCCTATCCTCGCTTCCCTTTTCCAGCGGCTTACGTATTTCCTTCAGCCATTAAATGTCAAAAACAGTAGTGATCTCTTCGAAAGGCTGGAGTTTTGTAAACCTAATTTCAGTGTTGGCTGTTGCGATCCATTTCTGTCGTGTCAAAGTGCTTTTGAAAGCATCCTCCTGCCAAGGAACAGTTAGCAGACAGCTACGAGAGCTCTGATCTTGACATCCTCTTTTCATTACATGTTTTGGGTTTTCTTGCTGTGTTTAAGGCAACATTTATGCATAAATTTATGTTCCTTTGGATTGAATCATTGTTTTTATGGAATGATTTGAAATGTGTGGTAAGATGTGAGCTTGGGCAGTTTTATTGAAAACGGAGAACATTTTTCGTCAGTACACATAGGATTTTGACTTAAAGATGTTGCTTAATCCGAATGCTTTTCTTCGTGATCCCTTTAAGTCTGTTTTGCATCAAAGTCCATCAAATTGAATTTAGACTTCATCTGGGATTCAGACAATGAGGATAGTTTGGACAGGAATCTAAGAGGGGTTTATGTACCTTGTGAGTGGCAATGGAGTAATTTTTTCACAATGTACTGTTTTGATTTTGTTTTTGTTTTTCTTTCTCTCCACCTTATCCATATCAATTTGTCCGGTCACGAATGTTGTGCCACACTATGCGTTGGGGTAACGGTTACCTTAGTCAACTAGTTTACCCTTTCTGTCTTCATGCGTGGGCCACACTTGCCATTTGTGGCCATCGTCACCGTTGACAGTAGCTTCAAATGCAAATCAAATGTAATCTTAACTCCACCCTCCACCACCTGTACCGTCCACTTTACTGATGTGATTGTATGCTATCACAGCCATATGCGCGTAAACAATCAGCTAATAGGTGCTGTTTTTGCTCGATTCAAATTAGTTAGTTTCTTTCCGATTCTCATTTTATTTTGCCACATCTGGGGGTGTTGAATCCGACCAGTCGATCATAACTCGCCTTGGCTTCTAAGCCGTGCTGTTGGTCATCTCGACTTAGGCCTAGTGGAGTGTGTGGTTGTAATGCTTAGAGAGGACATTGTCGCCATTCTCACGCTAGGCAGGATTGCTTTTCAAAGCATTGACGGGATGAAATGGTGTTGGTAATGGATGGTATTTGACTACTACTTATTTTTGTTTGCTTTATAAGAGAAGCAGGGTGGCTAATCAATTTTGGCACAATTTTAAGCGGCTACACCTATACTCTGCTGGCATTTACGTGGCTGCCCTCCTACTACAAAATGTAGGTCAGGTTTCATTGTTCAGCTTTCTTGCAATCTTGACTAACATTTTACCCTTTGAGTAGTCATCTCTGGGGCTCTTTATTCGTCTCTAATGTGGTTAAGCTTTGTTGGGGCAGCTCTGTATCCATCTAAACACGCGCATTCTCTACTCCCAATGGTCGAAACGTAAGTTGCAGTGCAGTTCTTTCACCCATTCAAATGCCCATCTCGCCAGATGATAGTCATGTGTTCTTCACGGCTCCTTTGCCTACTTCTTGGGTTTTGATCCGCGATCAAGAAATTATTTGTACGGTCATTAGTTGTCTGTCTAATTCTTTAATCCTTTCACCTTCATTAAAGGAAGCATTTGAAAGCTAAAATGATTTTCGGAAAAGGAAAGGATACTTGGCGAGTTCGATGGCTATTTCCTAAGTAGGAAATTCTTAGATTAAGCACGATAAGGGTGTCACAATAGGAGGCCTTATTAACTGCTTCTGCTATTACTTTTCCCTATAGCTGACTGCCGAAATCGCCTTTTCTTTAGGAATTTTTTTGCTGTTCTAGAGCAATGCAACTGGGGAGATTTGAGAAATATAAGAGTTAGACCTGTGGGATTAGGTTGCATTACTGTTGGAATAAATTAATTCAATTCTGCTTGAAGTGAAATTTAATGCCACCTCTATAGTAACCTGACTTTCGGCAGTGTGAAGTGGTACTCTACACATAACTTTAGCCTTTTAAGTTGAAAAAGGACTCCTTTTTGGACTTACGTGATTATTATTTTAGCTGACACAGAAAGAAAGCCTCTTCTCACCAAATTGGTCAAACTCTTCCCAAACAGCGCCCCGTATACTTGGTGTTAAAATGCATCCACTCCATTTGTCCGTTCGCAGTGTTCTGCTACCCTATAGCAAGACCCATCAACAGGGGTAGAAGTGTCGTTCTGGCTGACGTTTGATGGTACCAAGAAATTCTCACGATTTGTTCGTCCGAGTGACTAAGTTAGCACTTAAAGCGGTGAGAGATGTGTTTTCTAGTAGTCATTTTTCGACGAGTTTTCATTAATGTAACAAAATTTTTCACTTTCACTCAAAAGTGCTTGGTTTAACTACGTTAATTGGACTCTTAGAAGAAACATGATCGTTTGACTTGCCACACCTTAATAGATAAAAATGTGGGGCTTATGTTCACAGATCAAAGAGTGCGGTACCTATTTCCTTGTTGTTAAAAGCGACTGATTTTTCTCCCTGATTGTTTATACAACTTATGAAAATTATCCGTCACATCTTCGCGATGCTGAAGTTCGCGTAAGGAGCTTGAAGTATCACATAGGCGTGACCGTGGTGCAGACTTTTTAAACACCAGTACTATAACCAACGAGTTTTATGCACACCGTCACTTGATTTCTCCTCGAGTTGGGGAATAAGTTGTTGAGTGAATTTGAGTGTCTGCACCACGTTCAGATGTCTCCTTGAAAGTTGTTTGTCCGACATAGAATGAAGGTGGTAAACAGTGTTGTCATAGTGCACTAGTGAGAAGGGGAAGCTAGTGGAATAATTCCTGTTTTTACCTCATTCTCGTCCACACAGGGCATGCCGCTACCATGGGTACAACTGCTCAAGAGCTCCAACATCCCCTCCTCGGAGCAAGCCAAGAATCCCGATCTCATGCTCGATGTACTCCAGTGCTACGATGAGTCTGCCAAACCCAAGGAGAAATATATGACAAACTTTTCGGGGATCACCAGTACGTCTGTATCTCCTTTTTTGTTTCGCTTATATTGAGCTACATCTCTGCCTTTATTGCTTGTCTGGGAAATTAAGTTTTTTGTGTCTCCTTTGCACCATCTACTGAAGCTTGGATGTTGTAGCTTTTTGCTCCTAGTGGTTATTCGCCCACTACACCAAGCAGGAAAAAACGGAGTGTTTTGAAGCGCTTGTGTCATTAACGCCTCTTTGGTTTTTTTCTGCCTGTCACACTTGGGAGTTTTTCGAAGAGGGTATTTTGCATTGGTTATGAGTCACCCTCTCCACAGATGAGTAAGTGTTGGTGCTGTTGACTCTCTTTGCCAGGTCTGAGTTGGCGAATATTCATCAAGCAGTGAATGTGTCAGCCATTTGAGAAAGATGCTTGGATTTACGTTCACCTGTCAGCTTTCATGCTTGCTAGCTGCAAAATTCACTTTAAAAAGTTTACTACTTATCAGTATGATGGGTTTCAGTATTGTTATTGGTTTGGGGAACTTAGAAATTGTGAGGGCAAGCAGTTCACTTTAGCAGATTTAATTGCCTCTTAAACCCAGAGAATTTGTCCTTGATTAGGACCTGGAAGTTGGTTCCTCTTTCTTAAGCCAGCGTTCATAAGATTTTCCTCTGTTTTGCTTGGTAATCCTTTCTGAAACTTGTTTAAGATAATTATGATTGGTATCGAATATGGGGCAAATAACCTTCGCTTAATTTAAACATTCTGTCATACACCTTGATCCGAATTTTAATTGTTTCCGTCGAGGTAGAAGTTTTGTCCCCCTTGCTCCTCTGAACCTCGCGGTCTTTTCTGTCCTCTGGATATAGTACCAATCTGTTTGTCACAAATGCCTGACTGGTTCTAGAAGTTCACTTTGCCTTATAAGCCTTTTGTTGTTATTTACTTCACAAACGTTATAAATAAGAAATGAATTCTGTGGTTTTCCATGCTCTCTGGCACATGAGTGTGTCGGATCACGCACGGGCCTCGTTGCAGTTGTTGTTCTCATTGGCTAGTCATTGGATAAATAATACTGCCAAGTTAATGCACTCCTCACTCCTACCCTTGTAAGGCACCTGAACATTATGACCTAGATGTACTTTATTATTTGAACTTGTCAATAGTTGTTTTTGTGTTCTCTCTTAAATTAAGTGTGCCATCTATGGGAACTCACTTGGGTGGATCAGAGCGTCAAGTGTATGGGACGTTAGTGGCGAAAATGGTTAGGTTATGTGGCTATCATAGTGCAAGAGGTGCTCCTGAAGGTGATGCTGTACAGGCGTTACACTGTTCATTCAATCACCACTTCTTTCTATCCACTCCTTTCTTGACGCCTCTCCAGCTTCGTTTCATGTTCACGTAAGCTCAACTGTTCACTATGCCAATCTTGACTTCTGTTAACTGTTGCCAAAGAGAGTTCTGTACATCCAAATTCATTTTAGCCAATTCCAAATGAATGCATTTTGTCTACATACGTCACATCGTGTTTCTTTTTTGGTTTTAACACGACAAGCATGTGGTGGTTCCATTATGTTAATTGGTCGCATCAACTTTTGTGTCGCAAACCGATGGGCTGTTTGTGAAACCTTGAGGTAAGCGTAAGATGCTCCTACTGTGGTGACTTGCGTCTTTGATCGTTTTTGAGGTAGCGTTTGGCCTAGTTTGTTTGGTCTTGCAAATGTTACTGCTCTATATTGGGGCAATAAAGAGTTGGGCTTGATGATCCTTATAATAAATGGGTCAAATGGCGTTGACTCATTTCCACATCACAATGGTTATTTTCTTGAAACGTTTAATAAAAGAAATAGCATTGCCTTTCTGCATGCTCAATATGCCAACTAAAGTAGCACATCATTATCTGCCTTAACCAGGATAATGTCATTGAAGTAATTCTTTGACAGCATTTATTCAATTATGTACTTCTCCAGTGTGATGTCATATGCGACTTCTTCCTTTATCGGCTTCGTAATCTTCCCCTCTTTGAAGGGAAAAGTAAGCTTGTGGTTGAACCGTTAGCCTTGTGTGGGACCACGCATGAACTGTTTTTTTTATTATGTAAATACCTTTCTAGTCACCCCATTAAATACAACGAGGTAGTTGTTTGGCACTTCCCAACCACTGAATCATTTTTGTGTGTTTGTGCTTTTGATGCGCTACCTGGAAGTGGGATCGATCTCATTTAACCCTCTAATTTTTCTTTCATTTCTGTTGCCTTTTTATTTGGCACATTTGGCTCATTTTTTTGCACTGACAAGGATGCCGTCTGATAGTAGGAAGGGAAATAAGGGGAGCAGTACGCTATTTTATGGGACAGAAAAGTGTTTAACTCACCACTAATCCACACTGCTAATGCTTGAATGCATTGACCTGCTTGCTGACAAAGCATAGAGGGATTTTGTCTGTGGGTATTTCGATTTTTCTGTTGCTTCCGTTGGGTACCTACCTGAAGTACACTTTTGTCCGCCACTTTTACTTTCATAATCACTTGTGAGATGTTCTATTTTCGCGTAGCGGCATACTCATATGGTAAAGAGCCAAAGTATAATGAGAGGAGATATCGAGATAAAATGGAATCGAATATCGCGTTGGCAATGACAGGGCCTAAGGACAGTGATAGTCGTCTTTCTCCTGGAACTTTAAAAGCAAATGATCTTTTACTCACAACGCAAGCAAACGAGTTCTCACACGTCTTCTTGTTGAGTTGGTTTATTTTCAATCTTTTCTACCTTGTTTCGTTGACAACGCTTTTAGTGGGACCCAATCACACTGCACTGAACATCCACTTTTCGATTGCTAATTTTTTTAATCAATTGATGTTTTACCGTTTTCGAGGCGCTGCTCCCTTAATTGTTACAACCTGCAATTTGACTTTGACTGTCCCATAAATAAGACGAATTTTTTTATGTGACCAAAAACAATGGTGTTCTAGCTGGACCCTAGTCTACTTCAATTGCTAGATACCTTGCTAATTTGGCTCTATTTGCCACTTTACGACCCTCCAAGAGTTTCCACCATTCTGAAATCGTTGGTTGCTTTCCTTCGGCTAAAGTTGAATCAGATTCAATTTTCTTCTAAATTCTTTTGCGAAACGATTGGCTTCCGTTGTCTGAATTGAGGGTTGTTTTTGTTTACTCACTAGAACGTTTTTATCTCTATTGAATCGGAGTGGACTTGAGTTGAGTACCCTTCCTCGGATTGGTAGCTACTTATCCGGGATTTAGGGCTTGATTTTTTTTTATTCGTCAGTGTACTACTTTGAACAGAATGCATCCCGGTAGCGAATCTAACCAATGTTGAAGTTGTGTGTTTGCTCAAGCAGAATAGGATTTTGGCATCAGTTTCTTTTAAAAAACGCCCCATCAATTCCTTACCCCTTCTGTCAAGTTGCAAATGGTTGTGGTCTGTACTAGACACAAAATGCGACACCCAAATTTGGATGTCTTCACAGGACTGCCAGTGTGTTATTTTGTCATTAATGTAACCTATACTGTGTCTAGGCTCTTCGGGCTCAGTCGATTCCATGAGCCAAGCCTCCTCGACCCGGTGTTCTACAACTGCTCATCCGTTCTCTCCCCCCCCGCCAGCACCCTCCAGCATGAGCGAGGGTCTCCACCTCCTCTCAGACTTGCCATCCTCCTCGACACCACCGCACCACAAGTTATCCACTCTTTCCAGCCCCCTCAGCAGTTTTATGCCCTCCAACACCACCGAGACCTCGCCTTTCCGCGGCTACAGTTACAATGAGACCTCTGGGGCAGTTGTTGCAAACTCCACCTGCTCCACACCTCCGCCGATGTATGCCGGATCGCAGAGACGGACCAGCGAGGTGGTTGGTACCCCTGCGGCGGGCACAGCCGCCGGTGGAACAAGACCTCCACCACCCACACCACCTCATCGCACTTGTTCTGGTGGCGGCGGTGGTGAGGTGAAACAGTCACAACTGCAACAGCAACAGTCGGAGAGGGAACAGACGGCTTCCTCCTCGTCGGCAGCATCGTGCAATGCTTCGTCAGTACCCAGTTTGCCTACCACATCAGGCGTCTCGGTGGGCGGCGGATCGTCCAGCTTTACAAGGTGAATTTTTGTTGTTTTGTCATGAACAGATCCCTAATTTGGTGACTTTTTGATCAAACAACTGTATGCTAATTTTCTACATAGAATTTTCTTCTCCCATGTGGATTGATTTAGTGGATGAGTAAATCTGAAGATGTTGCGAGTAGTCATAACACTAACGATGGCAGATGCTTTAATGTCCTTGTCGGCAAAATACATGGTGACTGGAAATCTATTTGGCTGCTTACTTGACTATAACTTTTTTTGTTTCAGTTTTTTTGGCAGGACCAAAGAATTATGAAAATGGTGTTGAAATCTTAGCTCCTTTCCTAGTCAATATCAGTAGACACTTCCCCTTAGTATCGTCTATTTTGGTCCGCTCCTCTATGGCTCGTAAATCTAGGTTAGCGTTTGTGAAATTCTATTCCCTTTTGGAGCCCTTCTAATTTACTGTGATCAGTGTCCAATCGTGCTGTTATAGTTCCATGCGTGAGGATATGTAGGGTACCATGGCTGTCTAGACTTCAAGGCCACCGCAAATATGTTTTGCTTCTGTTTCTCGACCTACTTCGTAATAATTGCACTGAAGCCTACGGCTTATTTGTTATGGTTCTCACCGTTAGGATTTCATTGATAGCTAAAGAGGCAATTCATCATCTTATCATTCTGATGACATAGATGCCTTCTTCCTGATTGATTTGGCCTCCACTAGAGTGTAGTATTTTCCGCAGATCGGGACACTTTTTATGAAGAATCGAGTTTTTCACGATTTCATCCGGCAATCCTTGGCATCCAAACGACGTACTTATTCGAGAGTATTAACTAGCATCACTTGAAATATCCTAAAAACACATTTTAGTCAGTAGTGACGGTCATTTACTGAGTAATAGCACTTTGCTTAAGAGTGGTAAATGGTCCAACTTGCTGTTTGACTGCCGCCTTGATTGAAAGTAAGATAGGAAACTTTTCCAACTGTTTGCGTTTCGATTGGATCAAAGGAAGGCATCAATCGATGCTTTGTGCGGCTGTTATGTCGAAAATGTTGCGCATGAACGCTTTCGAAATTACCCACCGGTATCATTTCATCCTTAATGCTTCTTGCCTAAGCCTAGCTAAATTCTCTTTTTTTTTGGCTTGTGACAGGACTGGGCCAATTGTCAAGATTTCCGACTACCTAATTAATCATTGGAGTATGCTAATGAAAAGGAGATACTGGGCTTCATTTCTAAGCCGGGGAATTTTTAATTCACTGGAGCGGACTGAGCCTCGCAGCGAGTTAATCGTAGGCTGCCTTGTCTGCCCCAAATAATTTCCTGTTTTGCGCTTTCGTTAGCCTCTTTTTTAGAGTATAATGGAAAATAAGCACCACGTATAACTTGTTAAGCATAATGTAACGAGAGAGATTCAGTCATTACTAATCACTTTACAGCATCGTGAATAAATTCTGTACTCTGTTAATGATAACGGCTACCGAATATAGCAACGGAAGAAACCTTAAACCAAAAAAAAAAACATTTGGTTAAAATTCCATCGTAATTATTACCGATTTTGATCTGTTTAAACCATACGTCAAAACAAAGGGCGGACATCACGAGTAAACGAAATGCTTGATTCGTGATGTGTGTTGATGTGGTGTTTCAGTTCAGAGGTGAAAGGGAACGCATAGGAAGATTTTGTCACTTTTAAATTACCATCTAACGACTATCTTTCTGCTCCTACAAACAAGAGTTGGGTCAATGTCAGTTATGCGCTGGCAAACCACAGATAATTTTCTCCAACTTTCTGCTGTGTCTCCAAATCTTCCCAAGCAGATAAATTGGGAAATTTGCATGACTTCTGATCTCGCCCGAACCTGTTAGCAGAAGGGGGGGGATAGTTGTTACTTTGGGATATGAGTTTTTTCCACTCATACAGAACAGCACTATTTCTGAATGGCTTTATTCCCGTTGTCTTAGCCAGTGATGTCACTTCACCTCATTCCTACCGTATACCAAAGCAGTGTGCTTTCGGTTTTTCGCCTGTTAGTAGTTCAGGTGATTCTTCATTTCACTGTACGTAAAGTTGTGTATCGTTTTTTTTTCACAATTTTAGACTGAAATGCTGTAATGATTTTCAGTTTTAACGTAGCACTCCCGCCTCCCTCCTTAGAACCAATACTTTTGGATTCTCCTTACCAGGAGAGGAAACTATCGATGCTCCATTTCTCATTTCCGCTCCCTTGCAGCAGTGGTTGCTCCTTCTACTACTACTCAGGTAGTGGAGAGACGAGCAATTCGCCCACTTCGGGTTGCGGATCTACTGCTCCTGCTCCGCCACCACCTATTCCACCACATCATGTCACCTCCACTCCCACGGCCAGTGGCACTGACCCTTCTGCCACACTACGTGGTAGTCATCACCGTTCAGTGCCACCTGCAGCAGCCGCCACCATCGACAAGAGTAGAACGGGTGTGGACATCAGTAGTGGCGACTATCGAGCTCTATCTTCCACTCATGACTATCCGCGCTCATCAACGTCGCATTCGCAACCTCAACCTCCGCTTCCGCCACCAGAGACTTTTACTTCTGAGGAAGAGGAATGTGACGAACAGGATGAGGAAGAAGAAGAGGAGGAGTCGTCCGAGGAGGAAAGCGATGAAATGATTGGGATAACAGAGCTAGAAGTGGAAGAGAAAGAGATGTCTCCAGAAACGGTACATGACATGACTGTGGAGTTGGACAGACGGGTCTGCTTGCGTGATGTCTCGCCTGTCGATGGGGCCGTAATGGTAAGTAGGCGCATCATGGGGCTTATAGATTTGTTCTGTAACTGTTCCTTTCTCCTCTATCTGCCTTCAACTGCTCTTGGAAGTTTGTTGCACTCCTTGGGGAGGGGACCTCCAGGAGTGAACCGGTTTAACCCTGTGGGTAGGCTGCTGGGCATTTGAGGTAAATTTCTTTTCAAGAGAGATGGGACTTTTATGTGAAATGGAGAAGCTATTGCAACTCCCTACCTTTGAACGCTCTCTTGGTGTTAATTAATTCCTCAATCGGTCTTATGCTTAAAATTTCAAACTAAATATCACTTCACAATTTCCTTGTTTCATTAGAACACCTTTTGCCTAATGTGGTGCGGTGTCATGCTGTCAAAAAATGGCGAAAGTTCTCTCATTTAATTGAACAGGGAGAAGGAGATTTGCACTTTGTGTCAAGACTAGAGTTTTTTGTCTACGATCTTGGAGAAATGCGGTCGTTTTTATTCCTCCTATGGCAAGTAACTTCGGGTCAATTCCAGTTCATCCGATGAGGTTACAATCTTGTTACACGCAACCTTGACCCCCTTACAGTTCGATTCCCCTGGTGTTGCATTTTTGACCCTCGATATTTGTTTATGCATTCGCAGACTGGATTGTGAGTGTCTGGTTTTTCACCGAATCATCAGTGTGCTAGATTGTACTTTTCCTTGTTTACTCGGTAATGTTTGAGGTCCCATCTATCTCTAGATGCCGAATGCACGACTGCCTCGAGGTGTTTTTTTATCTTACGAAGAGTGACCATTAGACGCTGAATGCGGATTCCTTCAGTAAAGGCCTCTTGAGACTTTGTATCCTGTTGCCATTCGACTAAGAGAAGATTTTTGCTCTGCTTTCCTATTCGATGCATCTATTCAATCTCTAGCCCTGTTGTTTTTTGAGCCATATTGTGTTAGATTTACTATGCACCACGTCACTAGCCCCCTACAATTGTTCTGCGTACATAGCGGCTAAGGCGAAAGGCGAGTCAGTAGTAACTTCATTTAACAAAAATTAAACAGCACGCTCTCTTCGCCTTCACCACCATCGGTGAAGCTAAATTTGCTTGTATTTTTTTATAGAAAAGAAACATGTCATGCACATTTTTAGTGTGGGATTTTTCTTCTACCAATGGTGTAATAAGTAATTTCGCTTTCTTAGTTCTCGGTTCGCCTTTAGAAAACGCTTTGAAGTTTGCGTTGGAGAAAGTGATGATTTTTAATTGTGGCGAGCTATCGAAATGATGGAACTGAAAGCGAAAGGTTACTTTCACATGGGCTCTTATTTTCGTCATCCAGCAGACGTTAAGCTTGGACTTTGTTACTTGTAAAGGTTCCGAAGCATCAGTTGCTGTTTTACAAGTAAGGCCTTAAAATCGACTTCAAAGCTGGTTTTTAAACAAGGCAAATTGAATCTTATTTGACTCATCTATTAATGGTGTCGGTAATCAAGTGATTAGCTTTTACCCTAGACTTAGAGGCTTGAAGAAACCTCGAAATTACTGACAATGTCAGATGTTGCGACATAACAGTAGACAGCATGTCCGCCGCAGGTGCTTTTGCTATTTCTGGAGGCAGCAGTAGCAGTGACAGTAACAGCAGTTCTAGCTGCAGCCAGGGTGTGACTAACTCCCCCCGCGCCAACACAAACATGCGAGGGCGCGGATGCGGACGCGCACAAGCTGGCTCGTCCGCCGTCTATCGACCGTCCGAAATTGCGTGCGTGAGTGTGTGTGCGCGCACACACGCTTTCCCATGGGTTGCGCCTGCACGTGTGTACGTATGCTTGATGACTCATCGGGACGCATAATGCAATTACGATTGCGCCAGTCGAGGTGGTGCTGTTGGTCCCCTCGTCTCGACTTTGATAGTCCTCTTTACCCATTCTCTTATCCCCTATTTCCCCTCATTTGCAGGATGCTACGGCAACACTTCTACCGCCGCCCTCCAGTCCTGGACTTGAGAATGGTGGTACTCTAACCAACGGTCATGCCAAGAAACATCCCATGGGTAGGTTTGCACCACTAAATGGAGTCAATTTTGCATATAATTCGCAGTTCAACATGCGCTTTAAGGTAAACTCCTCCAAGCTGATTTGAGTGTCGCTCCGTTTAAAGTCTCCTACTTGTCAATCTTTTCGCATTTGGCCTGAACTAGGTAGTGGGGCGATTCGTCCATCTTTGAAATTCGGTTTCCGTTCCACAATGGTTTTATTGTTTCAGTCATTTCTTCATAATTTCAGTCATTAATTTTAATTTCTCTGGCATATCACTGAGTCATCGACCGTAAGCCCATTGTGATTCTATTTTTCACAATAAACTGGCAGATTGTTGTCGTCATGGCCCTCAACGGTGCCGTTGGGCCATTTGCGGTTTCTTAAAGTATCCTGTTCTTGCTATTCGTATTTCATTTTTCATTTATTTACCTTCTCAAAGTACTTAGTTTTGTCAGTATGAAAGGTTGATTTCCATTCCATTTGTTCCAATGCTCACACCCACGAAGGAATGGGTAATAATTGCATAATTCAACTTTCATGTAAGGATGAGTCACTTCTCACAGAATGCACATTGAGCAAGCGATTAACCCTTTTTATTCCCTTTTCTCAAAGCCACTGAAGTTGTTTTCTGTCTTGACTGTTTGTTTGATATGAGTACTATAGCGATTTCCTCTCGGAACGATAGATAACGCCGAAAATACGGTTAAGCCGCCTCCTGCATCACCCAGTGTTGTACAGAAACCGGCTTCTCCACTTCTAACGGGGGTTGCCCCAACAGTTCATCACTTTCCCAACTCGCCCAAATCCAATCACCACCACACCAACAACATCCATAACCAACAGCACCAGCATGCTGCGCCGAGGCGACGAACCAACAATAACCACCATCGTCTCACTGATCTTCAGGTGTATGAAAAGCTTCGGGCTATTGTCAGTCCGGGCTGCCCCACAGACAAGTACTGCGTTGTGGAGAAGATAGGCCAAGGGTGAGTAAACGAGTAGATGGACAATCAAACCTGTTTAGTCCATCGATCAACCCTGACAGATTCTTTACTCTTGTCTTTGTAGCGCCTCTGGTGTGGTATGCAGCGGCTACGAGATCACAACAAAGAAGTTAGTAGCCATTAAAAAGATGAATATAGCACAACAGCCCAAGAAAGAGTTGATCATAAATGAGATCCTTGTGATGCGAGCTAATCGGCAGCCGAATATCGTCAACTTTCTGGATGCCTATTTGGTTCTACCTTCGCCTTCTGCCACCATGGCAACACCAGTCAAGACACTTAATCCAACCGCGAATGGAAATGGTGGCGGTAGTGGTGAGGAATTGTGGGTGGTGATGGAGTACCTAGATGGGGGTTCACTCACCGATGTTGTCACGGAAACGTGCATGGAGGAGGGCCACATTGCAGCTGTTTGCAAAGAGGTACGCCCTTCAATTTTCCTTTTGAGCGCCAATTTTCGAGACATGAACCCTGAAACAGTTCCTCTTGATTGGAGCCTGTCTGACGTGATGGCAAAACTGTAGTTTTGAGAGGTTATTTATCTCTGCCTTTCCATGTAGCATTTTCCTTCTGTGAGCGTCAATGGACATGGTCCTAATATTTTTGCTTAACTTTCGTCCCTTCTCAAAGGCGGACAATTTGGGAGTGCTTGCAATCAACTGGTTTGTGGCGAAAAGCCTCAACGCTTAAACTATTTGAACTGTGTTGCTGCGGTGAAATTCCTTTAACAAGTGTATCTCTCTTCAGATCGTCCAGTAACGTTGACCACGGTTGACGTCGATGTCCACTTTAACTTCGCAACTTGGTGTCATGTGAATACATGATGCCAGACTTTTAAAGAGTCCTTTCACTTTTCATAGATACTTCAAGCGCTTGAGTTCCTTCACGCGAACAACGTCATCCACCGCGACATCAAATCGGACAATATCCTCTTGGGTATGGACGGGTCAGTGAAGCTGACTGATTTCGGTTTCTGCGCTCAGCTCTCCAACGAGCGCATGAAGCGCTCCACGATGGTGGGCACGCCTTATTGGATGGCTCCTGAGGTGGTCACGCGGCGTCAGTACGGTTACAAAGTTGATATCTGGTCCCTCGGTATTCTTGCTATCGAAATGGTGGACGGGGAGCCACCCTATCTCACCGAAAATCCTCTTCGTGTACGATTGGTCATTTTCCCTCAAATGACCTGAAGAACGATATCCGAATATTGCTTGCTTAATTGCCTTCTTTTGTAGGCGCTCTATTTGATCGCAACGATTGGCAAGCCGGAGATCAAGGAACGAGATCGTCTCTCTGCCATCTTCCTTGACTTCCTGGATCGGTGTTTGGAGGAGTCAGTTGATAAACGAGCCACAGCCTCAGAATTGCTACAGCACCCCTTCATCACTACACAGGCAAAGCCACTCTCCAGTCTAATCCCTCTCATCCAATTGGCTAGGGAGCAAAAGTAGCCTTCCTCCTGTGAAACAGGTGTGCTGTGCTCCGTGTCTGTTAGTAGTTCTACTCATTGACTTATTCAGTAGGCCTTATTTTATAGACAAGAAACATTCCGCTGCCGTTCGTGGTACTGATGAAATAGTGACGATGACCGACGATGAAGGTGATAGCGAAGCATTTCTCCTTGCCTCTCTCTAGGACAATCATCGAATCTCCTCCTCACCTCCTCTGTGTGTATAGGCCTCACGAGAGATTTGCGCCTCTTGTTTATCTATTACTACTGCTGTTATTATTATTATTATTAATGATTTCATTCTACTAGTAGGAGTGGTGGTAGCCGTCGCTACCCCCCTGCTGTCATCATTCATGCTCCCTCCGCACGAACAAAGGGGAGAGAGAAAGATGATGAAAGTAGTGATCAACTGACTGACTGATTTATTTTTAACCAGCCACCAACCCCTGCGTATGTGTGGTTTTGAAGGGGACCGCATATTTATTAATATTTAAGCGTCTCCCAACACAAACAAAAGAAACATGCGGTAATTGACTGCGTGTATCACTCTCTTTTTCTCTACTTCACTCAATGTCTCATGCATCCTCTAATCTTGCGTACACTCATACACCTTGTAGGCCCATATATGAAGCAATTATATTTGAATTAAATTTTTTCACACGTGTCGTGTTAACTGTTCTCTCTCTGCTTGAGCTGCGGAGGAAACATTGAAAATTTAAATTTACGATTCGAGCTGGGTGATGTTTAAGTTCCACCCTTGAGTCGAAGTGGGAAAGCATCTTTACCTTTTGTTTTTGCCCTAGCTCTGAAAAACGACAGCTAAGCTTTCAGAAGGGATAATGTCGGCGCAAAGATATGGCGCTTATTTATGGTGTGACGATGTGTTTTTTAAGTAAATGTGAGGGCACGTAATGGAATGCATTTCGACTTAGTCCAAGAAAGTGTTGGGGCCTTCGGTTCTAGACGCGGAGTTTGGGTTTGCTCATCATCTAGCGAGCATAAACGGGGAAGAATGCACTCAGGGCAAAGTTCGAGTGTGCTTTGACATTTAGCAGCTGGATATTAAGGTCGACATAGTTTTTTGGTCGTAAATTTTTCCACCCAAAAATTACGAATGATTTTAGGTGATGACACTCGCGCTCACATTTGGCATCATTTTCTTAAGTTCTAGTTTCAAGCCAACTGTGGTTTACGAAGTCGTTTTAAGGGCATCGCAGTGTAAAAATTGGTCGTTCATAATTTTTTGGTCATTATTTTTTATCCAATTGTGGCACCGAGAACGATTCTGATGTCATAACAAAATGAGATCGTCCTTTGAAGTCGGGTAATTATTCAGTAAATGACTCCTTTGCTAAAGTATCGCTATCCTACTGTAACTCCTTTAGATCCTTCTGAAGCGGTACTACTCTGGTGGAATATGTGCTGTCAGTCCACGGGTCCGACTACCAACAGAGAAGCAATGACAAAGCTCCCATTTCTCCGCTCTCCTAGATAGAAGTTCAACGAACAGATTAAGCATCATATTAGGACCACTACTTTAGCACCACGTTTATTACCATTAAAGTGTGCTTATATACTATGCCTCCCTGGACGGCCTGTGCTAGGGCATTTTTTAATCCAAATAGTGCAGTGCTTAATTTCCTGCACTTCACTCAAACAAGGCACGCTGATTCATAAGTTCACAGCCTTTCAAAACTTTGATGCTGCACTGCAACCTCAAAAAGGTTGCTAAATTCAAGAGGGATCGTGCCTTTAGCACCAACCAATAAGCGGAGGAGCACAGTAAACCAATGGACTGCTCAACTACTGTCCAATCACGTCGCAGTACTGGTGCGTCTACTGACCTACCAGCGGCTGGGTTCCCGTTGAGGTTATTCACTATGACGAAAGGACGATTTGATAACCAATTTTGTGCCAATATTTGGCAATTGTATGCCTGCATTCTGGTAAAAAGTCGTCACTTTCGAGTAAATCGGGGTAAAGTTGTTGAGGCGAGTAGCTCCTGTTGGCAGAAGCGCTGCTGCTGAAAACAATAGATTATGAAAAAACCACTTTAGCGATACAAAAATGACTATTTTGATATGTCCGTGAGTTGAAAGCTTCCGTCAAAGCAGCACCAGGTACATCCCACAGGACTTGGAATAAAAAGCAATTTAACTTAGGAGCAAGGTATGGATTCATTATGCACCCATCACGAGTAGGTGAATTAGTGTTTAAAGTAAAAATATTCGTTTCACATAGTCTTAATTTACCAATGCGCGACTGTATGAAACTCGTAATGGAGATATTTTTGACTTGCATTCACTACGATCGGAAATTTCATGTCAGGTCAAGCGAGGGACGCAACCCGTTTCTTATGTCACCATTCTTGCAGCTCATCAAAGTTGCTTTTTTTCACACCGATGAATTTTATGGTATTTTGTTTAAAATGATCCACAAAAGAACGAGGGCAACTCGATATTTCAACTGATCATATGATATACAGAATAATTCGAAAAATAGAGGGTAATTAAAAAACGAACAAATTACCGGACTCCAGCTGCTAGCGAAGCCGCTACTGAACCAGAGTACAGGCGATTTTATCAGTTGAAATTTGGGAGAAAAATTTATTGCAAACAAGCCACCTGTTTAAATAAAGTTCGAAATGACATACATATTACAAAACCTCGCTCTGAACACAGCAGTGAATGTTCTGTTCGACGTTTTTATCCTAACTGAGTGCAGCAATACAAAGCGGTTCATTTTTCCACACTGTTGAAGAAATGAAGAGAGAAGAGCAATAATAATATAAATTTGACTGCTTTTCTGCTCGGAATGTAGGATCAGATCGGTCACTTCGCAAGTTTAAAGGTCTGAAAATCCTGAGTAATGGGCTTATCGAAGAGAAACTCCCAACCTTGTATCATTCACGAAGTATTGTAAAGGGATTGTAGTTATTGCGAGCATAATAGAATTCCTATTTCTGTCTTCCCAGGAAAGAGAAAAAAGTCTACCCTCATGGTGCGCTCTATGACTGAACATTCACCTGACTGGGGTTAGGATAGTAGGATCTGAAAATGGGAATACCAATGTCGGGTGACGGCAAAGAGAAATCAGTTCTCGAGGCTCCAGGATGGCCTAATTGGAGTGACAACTCTGATTAGGCAAACCAAAGTCACCTCGAGGATTTTATGTCCTACGAAATAGTCAAATAAAACAAAGTAGGTGGGAAAAAATTGACCTTGTACACACCCTTTTGCTTGCATCTATTTATCAAAGCAATATATTTGCTGTTTATGTAGCTCTACCTGAAAGTTGATTAATTTATGCACATGAAAAGCTATTACCTTTGCGTTGTCTCTACAGTTAGGCTTTTCCTAATTTCTGTCGTCCGAATTCCTGTGCAACTTTCCATTGGTCTCTTTAAAATTCCCGGTCCAACGCAATAGGCTTATTGGTTTTTTCAAATTAGCTCTTATTGATCACGGGGTCGCATTAGCCACTTTGGCCCTAACAACACCATCTTAGCGCCCATAATCAATAGTTTGCGTAGTTCGCGTTAGAGTAAATAATTTCTGGGACATTCTCCCCTTTTATAACTTTTGTTATCTGCCATATTTTGAATTCAAATTATGGCTAAGATGAAAGGCGGATATCTTGACGATATCGACTAAACACATTTAAACGAAAATGATTGCACAAAGTTGGAATCTCATGATTATTGTATTTTAAGTAATACGGTGTGCCTTAAATTTGTTCAAATAAGGGATATCAAGTTTCCGCCTTGAGTTCTTCTTTCTCTATACATTCGAAGTTCAGGTGGGCTTATTGTGCTGTCATTTTTTAATGGTTTTATTATATTAAGACGCGGAATGGGGTCAAGGAGGGCGGAAAGAGTGATACCATTCCAGCAATCTCTCAAGTGAAAGTTTTTAATTTCAACCTTTGTGCTCTGTCTAAAAGATGTAGTTAAAACGCAGTAAGCACTACTCACTGTTCTCATGCTCACTTACATTTTGCATCTTAAGGCATATTTTAGATGATTTTACCTAAAACTGGAGGTCCTGACTGTTGTAGTCCTCACAAATCTCAAAGCGTCGGTTCATTCATGCGCTTAACTTAAAGACTGACTTTATGGGGGAAGGAATTGCAATTTTTACACTAGACGAGGTGGTGTAGCATTTAACACTGCTTTCTCCACTTTCTTGCCTTCATCCACATTGGACTCATAATGACAAAGAACACTATCACATACATTAGTCTGCTTTACCAAACACGAGCGGTCAGACGTTGCTACGCACCGCCTATTGTAAGCTGGGTTTCCCAACTTTGGTGGAAATGTGTGTCTTTTTAGGTATCTCGAGCTTGAATCATTTTCCCGCTGGGCGACTAATCACTACAGCTGTTAGTGACTTAGCGGAAGAGGTTTTGTACATTTTCGACTTGAGAGCTAGTGCATCTACGAATGAGCGCGTTGATCGCAGATGCTGATGTTAAAAACTCTAAAACCATGCTACTTATTTCGCATTTAAGCAGCTAAAATGATACCCTATTCAAAAGTAGCTTTATAATAGCGAAACTTCGTTGTCGAATGATAAGAGTTGGTGGGGAACATTTGGGAAAGTCGCTTATAGCGGTAAACAATAGCTTTGGCCAATTTCTTAGTATTAGTGATGACTTCAGTCTGTGAAAATCCTCTTATTTCCTTTGGAGTGTAATTATTCACCATTTTCTTATCATACAGCATTTCATCTCCAGAAGTAACTTTGATAGCGTTGAGAAATAAGTGAAAAGGAGGAAAAGGGACCACAAGTGAAGCCAGGATGGCCTTTTGACCTGGGGCCTGATGCCTGTGTAGGCTGCATTCTTCCCTCCGCCAAAATACACGATAACCTAAAAATAGGGGAAAATTGCATTTTATCCATCACTTGGTAGAAGGTCAAGGTCTGCATTGCAGTGCCGGGACGAGTGTAAGGCGCGCCTCCATTTTGGATGCCTCAATCTGAATGGCACATGCAGGTGTCACGACGATACATTTACCGATGGCCTGGCGAACAGGCGAGGGAGAGGGCGCGAGAAGGAGAGCAAGAAGGAGGTAGAGAAGGCGGAAGGAGGGGCCATTTCCGGAATGCACAGATGCACCAAATGCTAGATTTTACACATGAACTTCAAATGGACTTCTTTCTAAAAATTACTGCACAAAGTA